CAGCCGGGGCCTTCTCAAGGTCCGCGGACCCTCCGTACCAGCCGTCCCGCGCTCGCTCACCTCCTCTTACAACGTTGTCAACAAGTACGTCAATCCCCGAGCGATAGCCGACGAGACGAGCGAGACAGGCAAACCTCTCAGGCATCCGAAACGCAGGGGATATGATGAACTTGATCTTGCAAGAACGGCACTGACACAAGCGATAGCGATTGCGCCGGCGAATAGGCGCATAGGACGAAGACTATGGGTCAAGACGGTCGGGAAGAGCGAGCGAGGGCTGGCGGTAGTTGAACGATATTGCGAGTGGGTGGGGCGATGGGGGAATAAGCGAGTGCGAGGCGAGGGCGCGATTAGGGCTGGCGTGTCGAGTCGATGTAGGGATATCAATAGCTGCGGGAAGCGTGGGGACAGATCAAGCGAGAGAATCGAGGCGGAGATGCGAGGCGAGGCAGAGAGGAGGGTATTAGGCGGCCGCGACGGCCGGCTCGTCCTTCTTGGCCTCGACGTCCTTGGCGAGCTCCTCAGCGGGAGCGTCGACGGGAGCAACGACCTGCGTGGGCATCGTCGAGAGTCAGCCTCGAGCTCAGCTGAAGAAGTCAGCGAACTCGCACGCACCTCCTCCTTAGCGGCCTCAGCGACCGGGGCAGCCTCAACGTGCTCCTCCTTCTTCGGCTCCTCAACTGCGGCAGCAGCAGCAGCGGGCGCCTCCTCAACGGGAGCAGCAGCCTCGGCGGTCGAGGTCGAGGCCTCGGGGACGACGGCGGCGGGAGTCGACTCCTCAGCCGGGACGGCGGGGACGGTAGGGACGACGTCCTTCTCTGCAGGCGTCGGAGAAGGGAGAGCGTCAGCGTCGTCTGAAAGGAGCGGAAGGTAGGAAGATGGACGAACCCTTCTTCTCCTTCTTGGGCGAGCTGAGGAAGGCGCCGACCTTGGCTGTGAGCGCGCTCCGAAAACGTTAGACACGCTGCTCGACTCGCGAGACCAAGCAGAGCGCAGGAAGGAAGCGCAACGCACCCGAGAGACGGCGCGAAAGCTTGGTCAAGTCGCGCTTGGGCTTGTCCTCCGCCTTGGCCTGTTTCGTCGAAGCATTCACGTAGTCAGTCTCTGACAAGAACGATGTCGACAAGCCGACGAGAAGACAAGCTAGCAAAACGCACCGACTCGTCAACCTTGACCTCATCCTTCTTCTCCTCAGCGGCAACAACTGGCTCGACCGGCTTCTCCGCCTCAGCAAACTCCTTGCCCTGCTCCTCAGTCGGCTCGTCAACAGCCTTTCCAGCCGGCTCGACAATCTGCGGGACGGGAGCGGTGGCCGAGGCAGACGCTTCGGCCAAGGCGACCGTCTCGGGGGCGGTGGTCGTCGCGGGAGCCTCGGTAGCGACGGCGGGCTCGACGGGAGCGGCGGCGGCAGGCGCGGAAGCCTCGATGACGGGCTGGGGCTTCTCCTCCGTCGGGGTCTTGACTGCGAGGTTCGAGCGACGAGGAAAGGTCAGCTCAGGTCTGCAACGACGAGCGAGCGAGCAAGCGGTACGCACCCTTCTTCTCCTTCTTGTCGCCGAAGAACGACTTGACCCTGCACACGGGAGCGGCACAGCACACGCATGAGAGTCAGCTTCCGCCAACCTTGCCACTCAAGAGTGAGCTATTGCGCCTCGAACGCACTTGTCAAAGACACCGGGGCTCTTGGGCCTGTCGTGCTTCTCCTTCTTCTCCTTGTGCTCGTCGTCGGACGACTCCGCGGCAGCGACGGCGGGAGCAGCAGCGGGCTCCTCGGCGGCGACGACGGGGGCGACGGGCTCCTCGACGGCGGGGACGTTCTCCTTGGCTGTGCGGGGCGAACGACAAGCGTGTGTCAGCGTATCAAGGAAGGGAAGCGAGGTTGAGAAGGTGAGAAGAGGAAGAGAGAGAGGACGCACGAGTCTCCTCGACCTTGGCCGGCTCGGCAACGACCTTCTCCCTCGTCGGCGAAGTCGAGTTGCTCTGTTCCACCACGCGCAAACAGCTCGTCAGCGAAAAGAACACGGAGAACACGCTCGTGAAGAAGGGCTGTGTTTCGAACGAGGCGAAGTCTCATCTCGCTCGTTGGCGAGAGAACAGTTCCGCTTCGCCCGCAGCAAGTTTCGCAAGGACGGATGAGTGCACAGGGACCTTTAGTCCGCGTACGCTCGCAAGGTGCAGTCGTCGTGGAGAAGACGGAGAAGGACGGAAAGGCCGGCCGAAGGTTGCGGATGTCGCGTGAAAGACGTCGTCCTTCCCAGTCACGCGCCGCAGTCGTTCGCGCTCGCCACCGCTCCGACGCGCGCGCACACAACGAGAGAGCCAGCAGCGTCGACCACGGAGTGTGCACGGACACCCAAGGCGCGGACAGAGTTGCGGGGTAGGCGAGAGAAAAGGCGAGCGACGAGAGAGAAGGCGCGGGGTTGGGTGAAAGCGCGCGAGAAAAGCGTGCAGAGATCCCGTCGAACGCAAGCTCAGAGTACGCACCTTGGAGTGGAAGAGCTTGTTCTTCAGGTCCCCGAATGGCGAACGCTTCTTGTGCGCCGCCGCGGGAGCGTCGTCCTTTGCGGCGGGAGAGTCGGTCGAGGCGGGCGCGTCCGTCGTGGCGGGGGCTTCGCTGGCCTGTGCGGCGGGCGCGGCGACCTCCTCGACGGCCTTGAGCTCGTCTGCGGCGGGAACGGGGGCGGGGAGCGTGGTGACTTCGGCAGACATCTGTTCAGCGACGAGAAGGAAGGGGCATGAGCGGGGCGTGCAACGCGCGGGAGGGCGTGGGAGTGGCTCACCGTGCTCGAGGGTGTGAGTGTGGGTGTGCTGGAGTGCAGAGTGGGCTGCTCGAGTGCGAGCAGAGGGTGAGCGAGTGAGCGGGAGGAAGGAGAGCCTGTCGAGGAGTGAGCGAGTTGAGATGAGCGCGTCCGCTCAGTCCCCTCGCTTGGCCCGCGACTGCACGATAACGCTTTGCAGTCTGTGAACTCGCACGCACGAAGCTGTCCTGTCCAACGCTCGCAAGGGAATGAGTGAGCGAGCGGGAGATTTCCGTCGGGACCGGGTGAAGTAGACTGGCTCGCTCGCTCTGCTGTGCCCTGCTGCTGTGGGTCAACAAGCTAGCTGTACACTCTGCTGCATTACGGATTTACAAATCAGAATCAACAGCACGTGGAAGAAGAGAAAGGCGAGCTGGGACAGGGGTCCGCTTCCTCGACACTTGCGCGGCCTGCGACGTTGACTTCGCTCCCTTCTCCTCCTCCACGTATCGGGTTACTCCAGCTCGAAGCGCCACTCTCTCTGCTCGACTCAGCACACTCGACTCCCACCGCCTCACTCCCACGCCCGCTCCCTCACACGACCCACCCTCCTTCGTCGTCCTCGCACCGCCTCACTCAGCACCCCCCCCTTCACCCGCTCACCTCGACATCTCATACCCAGTCAACTCGTGAGTCTGATCCATCCGCTCTCGGAGGGAGTACGGGAGTTGCTCGGGTGGAAGGGGCGCGGAAGGAGGCGGGAGGGACGCGCAGTAGACCGCCACTCCTCCTCGGCGATGACGGGGCCGGAGGAGTCGCTCGACATGAAGGGAGGGAGGTCCTGTCGGAGGTACGGGCAGAGTTGCTGGGACTCGGAGAGAATGCCAGAGGAGCCGCCACGCTTGGAGAACCCGCTCGCTGACCAACCGACTCGTTGACTTGGCCTCTCGCTCCCGCCTCTTTGCCGCCCGCCCGCTCCTCTCCTTATCGCCCACGTCCCTCACCTCCCTCAGAACCACCCCACCAGCACTCCTCCAGCATGCATCTCTTCGTCCGCGACCTCTCGGGCCACTCGCTCTCGTTCGGTACGTCCGCTCGCTTGTCCGTCCCCCGTCCGTCCGTGGCTGACACTCCCTCGCTCGGTCAGACGCATCCGACGTCTCCAGCCTGCAATACGCCGTCGCAGACCGCACCGCCATCCCAGTCGAAGACCAACGCCTCGTCTTCGGTTCCTCGCAGCTCGTCTCCGGCCGAACACTCTCGTCGTACGGGATCGAAGCGGGAAACACAGTCGGCCTCGCATTGAGGTTGCGAGGAGGCGCACCGAAGAAGAGGTGTGGGTTCATGTTGACGACGACGGATAGGTGTTCCCAGGCGGCGGTGAGGATCGTGGGAGACTGTCAGTTGTGCTCGGCGTCGTTTTGCTCGAGGCACAGGCTGGCGGAGGGTGCGTTGCGACGTTTACCTCCTTGAAGTTTGAATGGTTTTACTGACGCTGTTGTGCGCGGCGCAGACCACTCGTGTCCGAAACTGTCGATGTGCCGAGAGGAGGCGTTTGAGCGCAACAAGGTGCGTCTCCCCTTCTCCTCCTCTTGAGCCAGCTCGCTGACTCACTCGCGCTCACGCTCGCAGGCCCGCCTCGAAGCCGACGCCACGCACACCGAGAAGCTCGCGCGCGTCTAGACGACCCACCAGCACTCGGTCGCCGATTCCCCCGCTCACGCTCTCGCTTCGACCACGCACTCGCAAAGATACCCCCCATTGCCCCCTCACAGACTCGACCTGCCTGACACACATACACTGCATCTCGCGCCCTTCGTCCCTTGTTGCTTTCGCCCTCCCTCTCCCTCGCTGTAACCCTCGTCCCTCGTGCTCGCCCCGACTCCGCCTGTTGTTCTCACCCACTCACACAGATCGCTAGCTAGACCTAGTCCGTTTGCAATAGTCCGCTCGAGTAGACTTGGACGAGGGAGAGTGACGAGTGGATCCGGCTACTTTGTGCGAGATTGCCGAGGCTGACTTTCCCTTGGTCGTGTGAACTGGTTCAAGTTCCTCACTCTGCTACTTCGTGCGAGTACGACAGCACACGACAGACTTGCTGCACACTCCGCACGACAGCTCCTCTCTCCACGCAACCCCCCGCACTCTCCGACTCAACAGGAGATCACTCGGAATCGACAACCAGCGAAACGATGGCGTCCTCGTCTTCTGCTCCCGCCAAACGCTTGAGCCAAGTCGTCAGCCACATGGCGTCCCCTTCCACCTCGGGCAGCGCAGACGGTGAGTCTCCTCGCTACCGAGGGAAGGGCCATCCCGGTCCTCGTCTCCTTGCGGGGTCGGCCTCGCCCTCTCCCTCCCTCTCTCACCCTCACACAACCCCACTAACCCGCCCAATCGTGCCCACGATGCAACTCCCAGTCTTCCACTCGACACCCTACGCACCACCCGACGCCATCTTTGCCCTCACGGCAGGCTACCAGCAGGACAAGTTCGACAAGAAGGTCAACCTCGGCGTCGGAGCCTACCGCGACAACGAGGGGAAACCGTTCGTCTTGCCCGTTGTCAGGAAGGTGAGTGGCGCTTTGTTGGGCGGATCCGAGCGCGTCGGGAGGACGGGGGAGGGAGGAGGACGCGTCGGAGGGGAGAGAGGGGTGGAGGCGTCGGGACTTTCGCTCGCTCAACGGGGACTGGGGGTGGCCGAGCGTGGAGTGCACGGTGTACTGACGCTGTGCACGCACGCACGCAGGCCAAGCAGATCCTCGCGAGCGACGACTCGATCGACCACGAATACCTCCCCATCGCCGGCCTGCCCTCGTTCGTTTCTGCGACTTCAAAGCTCATCTTCGGTGCGGACAGTCGCGCAATCAAGGAGGACAGGGTCGTGACGTGCGTCTCTCCTCTTCCCTCGACTTTCACGCGGTGGTCAAGCGCAAGAGGTCGGATCCCGGCCTCCCATCCCGGTCGACGCGCGGGTCTGCTTTCGCGGACAGCCGTCGGCTTACACCTTGCTGTGCGTCTTCGCAGGATCCAGACGATTTCCGGGACAGGCGCGAATCACTACGGCGGAGCGTTCCTGCAGAGGTTTTACGAGCCGTGGCTGGGGAAGAGCAAGGAGGAGAAGAAGATCTACGTCTCGAATCCGACATGGGGTGCGTGCCGCGTCCCTCTCTCTCTCCAGGACATCGAGCTGACATCCATGAGTGAACCCACAGCGAATCACAAAGCGATCTTCAACAGCGTCGGCTTGACCCCCGTCGACTACCCCTACTACGACTCGTCGACGATCGGACTCGCCCTCTCCTCCTTCCTCGACTTTCTTCGAACAGCGCCAGCACAGTCCGTCATCCTCCTCCATGCGTGCGCGCACAACCCGACTGGAGTCGACCCGACGAGGGACGAGTGGAAGGAGATTGCCAAGATCTTCAAGGAGAAGGGTCACTTTGCTTTCTTCGACTGCGCGTATCAGGTGCGTCGAGCCTGTTCGAATGCGAGCGACTGCGGGCTGACGAGCTGGGCGCGCAGGGCTTCGCATCGGGCGACCTCGACAACGATGCCTGGGCGGTCCGACACTTTGTCTCCGAGTCGATCCCCCTGCTCGTCTGCCAGTCCTACGCCAAGAACGCCGGTCTGTACGGCGAGCGCATCGGCGCACTCAACATCGTCGCCTCCCACGCAGGCGACGTCGAAGGCGGTGCGGCGCGAATCAAGTCCCAGCTGCTCATCCTCCAGCGTCAGGAGATCTCGAACCCTCCGACGTTCGGAGCGCGGATCGTCTCGCTCATCTTGAATGACGAGAAGCTCTTCGCCGAGTGGAAGGAGGACATCGAGACGATGGCGCATCGGATCATTGCGATGAGGGAGCGGTTGCATGCGTTGCTTGTCGACAAGTACAAGACGCCGGCGCCGGGCCCGAACGGGTGGGACCATGTTGTCAAGCAGATTGGCGTGAGTTGCCGCGCGTGTTCTCGTCCCGAGTCGAGGGCGTGCGAGCTGACCTTGTCCTCGCCTTTCGCAGATGTTTACCTTCACCGGCCTGAATCGTGCGTCTTGCCTCCCTTGCGAGGTTCTCCATTCATCGCTTCGCCCCGCTCTCGACGGAGCTACCTCATTCAACCCGCTTCCCCGGAGACTGACACCTCCCCTCACCTCTCACAAACAGCCACGCAATGCAAAGCCATGGTCGAGAAAGGCCACATCTACATGACCGCCAACGGACGAATCAGTATGGCGGGCATCAACGACAAGAACGTCGAGTGGGTCGCCGAGTGCATCGACAAGGCGATTCGCGGACAGCTTTGAGCGTACGGTTTCCGCTTTTTCGTGTTCGTGGTAGTACCCCCACCCTGTGACTGCTTTGATTCCCTCTGAGATCCACTACGCAATCAGTACCGCTTCGAAACAGAACGCTTGGATGAGGGAGTAGTCGGACAGTTAGCAAAGAGAAGGTCCCGCCTCTTCCTCCCGCTCCCCATCTCCTTCCTGACATCCTTCAGAACCCGGCGCGGGCAAAGGCGCGCTGCGAGATGCCGTAGATCGCTTGCTGGCGGTGCGAGAGGCGGCGGTGCGACACCGCAAGCGAATGGAGCGAAGACTCGTGAGGAAGGCGAGGGTTGCCGTTCTTGTTGATGCCCTGGAGGAGGAGCGGTAAGTTTCAGCGTGGCATTGAGAGGCGGAAATACACACCTGACTGGCAAGAGCCGCGCGAAGCGCGAAACTAGCGTCGCTCTCGTACTGCTTCCTCCGACCAGCATCGGGGACAGGGCGCTTTTCCGCCGCCGATGCAGACTTGTCAACAATCTGCAAAGGTTCCCCGGGCTGCGTGCGGAGCGTTCAGCAATGCTCAATGAGACATACCGCACCGAGAAGCGACGGGACGAACCTCCAGGGCGCGAGCGATAACAGGGAATGCTTTGGCATCAGTCAAGGGCGGCTGGATGTGTAGCTTTGTCAGTACTGCAGTCACTTCCTTTGATCATCAGCAGGGACCCACCAGCGACTTCGGCGAAGGATACATCCCCCGGTTTCTCTTGACATGGGAAAGCCAGCCGTCCAGCTCAGCGATGGCCTCCGGCCGCTCGTCCACGTCCGAGTTTGTGAAAACTCGTGTGAAGAGGCGCTTGAAGTCCCTTGAGGTCATCGTGGCATTGCGTAGCGGAGCATACCACTCGTGGAACTCGGTATCGGCCTCTCTGAGTGCTCCCGTACGCGCATGCCTGCTTGCCGCCCGCTGGTCCGCTGAAGCTGTTTCTGAGCGGGTGAGAACTGGGGTCCTGTCTCTGGCGATGTCGCGGAAGCAATCCTTCAACTCCTTGACGACGAATTCGAACTGGGCGTAGAAGGGGTTGGCACCTTGTCCAGTCGGTCGTAGATGCGCCGGCTCAAGTGACCAGTCGCGATGATATGGGCGAGGCGGCATCGTGGATTAGCGAAAAGCGGGTTGGTGAAGGAGGTAGAGCTGGACACGGGGTGGACACGCTCTGCGAGACAGGAGGTCGCGAGAGCCGGCAAGTCCGCGGATGGCTGTCTGAAGCAGTGAATACGGACTTCGTGCAACCCCTCGCCTCCAAGTAGCCAAGATAAGGACATGGCGCACTTGAAGCCGCGACGAGCGAGCCCTGAGCGGGTAGGCAGGAGTTGCGAGGGAGGGGAAGTGCTGCAACGGGGGCGACATGGTCATCATCGCGGCGGTATGACAGGCCAGTCAGAAGCAGACAGCGCGAGAGCGTTGAGAGGCCGGAGGCAAGGAGGAGGGAGCGAGTGAGGGTCGACCCGCTTACAGCTCGTCAACAACGCTGAGCGAGCCTGCTGAGCATCTCCAGCGCCCGAAGACATCCCTTAAGCCCGCCTGCGACCCGCCTCACTCGTCCCAGTTTCCCTCACCCTCCTCCCGCTCCTCATCAGTTCACACTCGCCGACCATGTCTCCCATCTCCGACACGCTCCTTACCACGCTCGCAAACGGGTTCGGCACACTTGCAGTGGTCGGTATCGTCGTCTATCAGTTCCTCGAGATCAACGCGAAGCGGGAGCGTGAGCGGCTGGCCGCCGAGATGCGGGCGCAGTAAGCGGGGTGAAAGGGAGTGACTGGCAGGGCATTTCATGCGAACGAACTACGCGTCTCAATGTGCGCTTGGATGGCTCCCTATCCTTTCGTGCCAGTGCTGACGCTCTCCACCAGCAAGACCGCCTCGCCTTCGCCTCACCCGTCAAAACCAGCAGCAAGACGACGCAAGATACCCAGCAGTAGTTGCAACGATACCCTCATTGGAGTGGAGCGGAACAGGGTTGCAGGGGGAGCAGAAATCGAGGAGATTGGATGTTCACCGTTGCCTGACTCGCCCGACAAAGTTGAGATACGGCACTCTTTCGTTGCGACGCAATCATAGCGGTGCTACACCGTCTACCGCCGCACTCAGCTCGACCTGCATCGCTTCTACGTGGCCGCCTGCATCTGCTGGACTGCCGCTCCCTTCGCCGCCAGCTTCTGCGCCGTCCACCTTCGCCCGCTTGGTCTCCGGCTCCTTCTCGCTCGCGCTCACACTCGTTGCCCGACTGTCTCCGTTCTCCTGCTCAGTCGCCGATCCCGCCACAACAGCCGCAGCGCTTCGCTTCTTCCCTCTTCGTCCGCCAATCCCCACAGCCTGCGCATCCGCATTCTCGAGCACCCGGATCATGCTCAAGATATAGCCGCCGTGCGACATCCCTTGCATTTCGGGATGTGTTCGGCCGGGCAGGACTTGGTATTGTCGCAGGAACGGCTCCGTGATGGTAGGGGAGATGATGGCGGGGTGGTTGCGGAGGGCAAGGTTGGCGGAGAAGAGGAGCTGTCGGAGGATAGAGAGGTCAGCAAACTCGAGCTGGCAAGGCAAGAGGCGGGTACGCACCTGGACATTCTGGGAGTAGACGACGATCGGTGCTGAGCCACCGATGCTGGGTAGTAGTCGCTCGATAACCGATAGAGGCTCGTATTCGCTCGCAATGAGAACGCTGTGCAACAAGCCAAGTGTCAGCGGTCACGCGGAGCCGAAAGGAAGCGAGCGAGAGCCTACCCGTCGAACCCGCCTCGGAAGTACTCGTCCCTCGCGTCCTGCACCTTCTGAAACGTCGCCTTCCGCTTCCGCAGCTTATGCAGCTCGCGCGTATTCCGCTTCGGCGCGCTCCCTTCCTTTCCCTTGCCCTTCGCAGCCTCCGTTTCCCGCTCCTTCTCCTTGTCGAGTTCGGCTAGCTCGAGTGGCAGGTCTGGCGGCGACCAGGACTCGTCTGTCGCGGCCCAGTGGATGGACGTGATGGGCGCGATGTCGGAGGGGGAGAAGTTGAAATGCTCGAGGAGATGCAGGTCGGGAGGAGAGTCGGCGTCGTTGATGACGCAGATGCGCCCGTCGCCTGCCAGACAACACCCCGTCAGAACAAGCGGCACGCGAAAGGGAAGCTGCAGCTTGAGGGCGCACCTCCCATCCGTTCCACCGCTGCCGCAACGAGCAATCCACCGATGTCTTCGACGACTAGCAGCCGACTGCCAGGCCGCACGTTCGCCATGGCGAGCATGTTGGCGAGCGTGTCTGGTCGGAGTTCGCGCGTCTTTGAAGGCTGCTTCTCGAAGTGGTACTGGGCGATCATGTGAACGGTCGGCTCGAGCGGCGTGAACATCTGGAGGTACCTGCGGGAATGGCGCATGTCAGGCAGGTACGCTCGACACGATCATGCAGCGACGCACTTTGCCTCCTTCTTCTTCATGTACTTCTCCTTGCTGTACTCCGTCTTCAGCTCATAGGTCTTATGCTCCTCGATCTGCTTCTGGATGATCTCCTGCGAAAGACAGAGCAAGAAGTCAATATCGAGGACAAATCGTACGGTTTTGCCTCTGGAACACACCCTTCCGCTGAGCCCGCTCTCCTTCAAGGCCTTGATGTCGACGAACGAGAGAGCCTGGGCGCCTGACGACGTGATAAACTCGTTGTTCGCCTCCGTCTCCTCTGCAGCACAAGCTCGTATCAGCATCTTATCACTTTGCGGCGTCTCTCAAGCGAACGCACCGATCTCGTTGAGCGTGACCTGGACCGTCGAGAGCTTCCCCTCCTCCGAGATCTCGTACGTGTGCCCGTACGCTCGCCCGACCAGCTCGTGCCCTTTAAAGCTGCCGTATTTGCCAAGCGAGATGGTCCTGCGGGCCCCAGAAGGAGTCAGTCGTCCGTCACTTGGCTTCATCAGTTCAGCGAGCTCGAGGGGGAGAGATGGGCGACATCGAGTCGAACGCACCCGTTTGGCTGGATCTTGACCGGCTTGATGATGCCAGAGGGCAATTTGAGAAGCACATTGTCCCCCTGGCGGATGTAGGCGCGGGACGGCGTCTCCTTTGACAGTGAGGAGGAAGGGCGTAGTTTGGCAGACTCTGTGGCAGCTGGCGCCGGTGCAGCCTGTTCAGTCGCAGTCGCAGTAGTCCGTAACTGCTCTGCTTCAGCCATCGTAGCAAAAGACGAGCGGTGTGAACAGCGAACGACACCAACCTCGACTGCGCTCGCTTCCTCCGCCTCACACCCTCTCGCTTCGACTTCAGCTGGACTGAGTGCGATGGCGAAAAGGAAGGACGCCACGAAGACGGTCAAGCCAGCAGCGGCGCCAGCTCCTTCACCGTCGAGCAATCCTCGCATCCCACCTCCCCGTTCAAAGCCCAGCCCGCTACGCACCTTCATCCTCCTGATACGCATAGCGTCATGCTGCTTCGCCCTCTACGTCTTGTGGAAGCGGATGCACCCGCCGAAGGCGGAAACGGATCTCGCGGAGGACGACAAGCGGATCTGGTTCGAGGATATCGAGGTGGACGAGGTTAGGCAACAGGCTGTTCTTGAGGCTTTCAAGGTGCGTCACAGCTTGCGTACTCGTCAGGAAATCGAGCTGATGGCAGAGTTCCCTGTAGCATTCGTACTCGGCCTACGAGCGGGATGCGTTCGGCTTTGACGAGTTCGTTTTTGTCCTCCCGCTCCTGAATCCTCTGTTCCAGCTCATTGATGTGTGTTGAACGCACAGCTATCATCCCATATCGCACCGCGGTTCCAATATGTCGCCTGCTGGACCTGTCGGCTACTTCGTGATCGACTCGCTCGACTCGCTCCTCCTGACAAACTCGACCAAGGAGTACAAGCGGGCTCGAGACTGGGTCGAGAAGCTCAGCTTCGACCTCGACGACAAGTACCACACCTTTGAGGCGAGCTTTCCCTCGGTGTACACCCCTTGCTGCCCGCAGACTCGGCTAACTCGCTTGCGCTTCCCTCGCAGATCACGATCCGCGTCCTTGGCGGTCTTCTTTCAGCCTACCATCTTTCCGGCGAGTCGGACCGGATGCTCCTCGACAAGGCCGTCGACCTCGCAGACCGACTTCTGCCTGCGTTCGACACCGTACGTCTTCCTTCCTTCGCTCCGCAGCATGTGCTGACCTCTCCGTCGTAGCCGTCCGGTCTGCCGCTCAGCTTCGTCAACCTGAAGACGCGCCAAGGTATCGCGGACAAGGACAACCGTGGCTGGACGAGCGTTGCGGAAGCAGGGTGAGCCGGATCGTGCGAGGATCTCCTCGAGGAGCGAAGCTGACCTCGCTTGTCGTCTCGCAGCACTCTCCAGGTCCGCATGATTGTACGCAGCTACCTCTCCATGCGCTGACCCTTTCAGGACACAGCTCGAGTTCAAGTACCTCTCGCATCTCACCGGCAAGAAGGTCTACTGGCAGAAGGTGGAAAAGGTGAGCTTCGTGCTCTCTTGATGACAGCAATGTGCTCACCGTCGGCCCTCGCAGGTCATGGATGTCATCCGCGAGCAGCCGAACAAGGACGGCCTGGTCCCGATCTTCATGCGGTGCGTACTACGCCTCTTACACTCTTCCGCGGCCGATTCCGCTCACACAGCGCAATTGTAGGCCTGACACCGGAAGCTTCGTCTTCTCCGACATCCGCCTCGGCTCGCGCGGCGACTCGTACTACGAGTACCTGTCGAAGCAGTACTTCCAGACGAACCGTACCGAGCCAGTCTACCTCGACATGCACAACGAGGCGATGGGCGGCATCAAGAAGCTCTTGCTGAAGAAGAGCGCGACCAAGGGCCTGATGTATGTCAGCGAGTTGCTACCGAGGCGGAAGGCGGAGGGTACCTTGTCAGTTCTCACTCGTCTACCCGTTGTTCAGCATCGTCGCTGACTTTGATACCTGCAGCGAGATGGTCGACACTCCTAAAGCGCGTGAGGCCTGATGACTTGCCAGCGAACGCGACTAACACTTATTCACACGTTCGCAGCAAGACCACCTCGTCTGCTTCCTCGGCGCGACTTTCCTGCTCGGCGCCAGCAACAGCAACACCTTGCCTCTCCCGCCGGACGAATTGACATTCTCCGAGTCGCAACTCGATGACTGGGTCGCCGGCAAGGGTTTGATCCGGACATGCGTCGACACCTACACAAGCAGCAAGACTGGTCTCGCGCCCGAGGTACGCCTCGAGTACCTTGCTGGGGAGCGCACAGGCTAATGCACGTCTCCTCAGATTGTCAACTTCTACCTTCGCGCGGCCGATGCGAAAGCCGCCGGCCGCGACTGGTTCATCAACTCGCGCAAGCTGACCTACCCCGAACCGCCTATCGATGCTCGCAACATTCTTCGACCGGAGACGGCGGAGAGTTTGTTCGTTGCCTACCGCGTGACGGGCGACCCTATGTATCGCTCCTGGGTGCGTGTCCTTCACTCCCTCCACGCGCAGGTAGGATGCTCACCCAGCTTCTTGCGCAGGGATGGACGATCTTCCAGGCGTTCGAGAAGCACTGTAAGCTGCCCGCTGGCGGATATGCTTCGATCCGCGACGTAGATGCGCTCCCCGTCCAGCACGAGGACCGGATGGAGACCTTCTGGCTGTCCGAGACACTCAAGGTCGGCCTTCGCTCAACCGCAGCACTCGAAGCGACGTACTGACACTCTTGCTGCTTCCCAGTACCTCTATCTGCTCTTCTCCGACAAGAACCTCCTCCCGCTCGACCGCTACGTCTTTTCAACCGAAGCGCACCCGCTTCCCGTCTTCACTCCCACTCGCTTCCGGTAGATCAGCGCAGATTAGATGCAAAGCAAGGAGCGGTCCTCCTCCAGCTCCTCGGTCGCGCTGTCACATCGATAGAGTGTATTCGCAGGTCCTACTTGATCTTCCGCGTCTCCTTCATTCCGCCTGTCTTCCGCTGCATCCCCTCATTCTCCTTCGCCTCCTGCAAGACATCGACAGCCGCCTCGAGCGTCTTCCGCCATGCGACCACCGCAAAGCCGACCAAAGAACCGATTGCGTGGCCTGCGAGTGCTCCGACGGTGGGCGTGACGGGCCATTTCTGCTTACTCGCATCATCAGCGGATGTCACAATCCAGAAGGAATCGGGGAAAGGCGCACCTGCCAAGGTCGGTCCCAGTCGAGAGGGATGGGGAACGCGCCAGTCCATGCGCCGACGAGGGTGCCGACGGCTGGTGCGATGAGGACCAGCTCGAGGTTGTCACTCGGGCTGTTTGCGAACCAGTCAGCACATGACCAGGTCAGGATGAATGGGTGTACTCACGAAAGGGAAGAGACGAGTCGAAGCCAGGCAAAGCGGCCGTTCGTCGTCGCAACGGGCGGCAGAGCGATGGACAGGGGAAGGACTGCTAGAACGGCGAGGAGAAGGGCGAGGAGGAAGGTGTGCGTGACGTTGCTGCGCGAAGGATGAGCATTAGCGAAGTATGAGAAGGTGTGAGGAACTGCCTCACCTCGTCAGAGGTGCGCCGAGCAGAACGATCGCGCCGTGCAAGGTGAGTGTTGCGCCGAGCGTGATCATGACCGCTTGAGGAACGAACTGCGAGTCAAGACGTATTAGACTCGGAAGAGGACCTCGAGGGAACGAAGAGCCTCACCCGCGTGTCGATCGAAGCGAACGCAGACTGCCCGTCTGCGCGCTTCTTGAAGAGTCGTTGGTGCGGCGCCTCGCCCTTCAGCGCATTGTCCCAGAGCTTGCCCAAACTTCCCCGGAAGGACTTGCTCTCCGTTCTCGTCGTGACCTGCGTGTCCGCCTTCGCCCCCACATCCTTGTTGGCTTTCTCCGCTTCAAGCCTGCAGCTCCGCGCCCAGTATCCGAACCATCCCTGAATTATCGCCAACAATCCGCAGAGGAGGGGGAGCGTTGAGAGGGGATCCCGGATGAGGGAGGCGACGAAGCGAGTTGGCGCCGGAATGGAGACGTCGGGCAGGGTCACGCTGGACGAGGTTACGCAGGAGAAGAGTACGGCGACGAGTTGCAGCGGCAGGCGGGGCAGGAAGTGAGCGAAGGGGAGGGGATCCCGAGGATGCGATGAAGATGGGGAGGGAGTTGGAGGCGCTTTGCCGGACGCAGAGCTGGTCGACGCAATCTGAGACGGAGTCGCAGCAGCGCTAACCTTCTTCCTAGCGGCCATGGTGAGGATGGCGAGAAGTTGCGAGCGGTCCAACTCCAAGGGGGTCCCTCGAGACCTCGGACCAAGTCTATCGCTCGCAGCGTGCTCTCTTACGCAGCGCAAAGAACGGCGAACAGTATGCGATGACGGTAAACACCCCTCGACAAGCGCGCCACACCCGTACGACCGTACAACAAGCGTTCTCTTCCTTCCCTCCGTTCAAGCGTCTGCAGGCAACTCGCCCACGCGTTTGAGCTTGAGCTTGTAGTTGCTGACTGTGAAGGCGAGTCAGACAGGGTCATCAGTGCCTGTATCGGAGAGCTGAGCGGATCGCGGAGGCAGAGAAGGACGCACTCTCCCTCGAGATCTGATTCGAAGTCATCATGTCCTGCGGCCAGAGGTTGATGATCTGCCAGAATCCACCCGTTCAGCATCCGTACTAGATGAGAGAGCTGTGAGTGGGTGAACGCACGCGCTGGTACAACTGCTTGCGAGCGTTCTTGACCGAGTGCGGCTTCTCGCGGTTGACCTCGCGTGTCGTTGCCTTCTCGAGTGACCTGTGGACAGGCAAACCTGTCAGCATCGGACAAGCACCTTCGCACGGGGAGCATCACGCACTGCTTCTCGCTTATGAGCTCCGACTTCTTATCCTCGAGCTCGGAGACCTTGTACAGCGCTTCGCGCATCTGTTCATTGAAGCGGAAGCGCCACTTCGGTTCGGCCTCTGCGGAAGAATACATTTTAGCCGGAGGGACAGGCTCGAAGGGGAGGAAGCGAACTCACGGCCCTTCTCGTCATCGTCGTCCTTACCCGGCGCAGGTGAACCTTCGGTGCACTCGGCTACGGCGATGAGTGGCGTCGTGATCGCGGGCGAGCCGCCGAAGCCGGGCGTACCAGGCGTTGGTTCGGGCGTCCGCCTCAACAGGTTCGTCGCCGCCGACCCTCCACCCTCCGCTTGCTGCTTCTCCCACTCGGCGCGCTTCCGCTCAAATTCGAGGCGCTGTGCATCGTAGGACTGGTCGATGCCGTCCTGGATGACCGAGAGGAGCTCGTCCTGCTGCGTAGTCATGTCGAGGATGCGCTTGTGGAACACCTCCCTCTTGATGAGTTTTTTCATCGTAAACAGGTTGTAAGGAAAGATCTTGGGCATCTCGGCGAAGAAGTCGTCGTCGTACTCCTCAAGGTCGAGCGCGTGGTAGGCGACCGACGTGAGCAGCTCCTTGAGGTGCTGCGGAAACTTGTTCTTGATGATCCACGGTTCTGCGCGACGACGAGCGCGTCAGCTCGCTTGCTTGGAACGGTGAGTCGAGCGGAAAACCTCGCACCCTTCTTCGACTCCCGCTTGAGCATGTCGAGATCTTCCTGCAGCTCGGGCGAGAACTCGCCCTGTACATGTGACGGCAAGTCAGTCGGCGCGCGCTTTGCGAGGCTGAAACGTTACTGACCTTCTTGCGAACCTTCTTTGGCGGTTGAGCTGCTGCGCCGAAGGGCGGGACGGACGCGCCTGACTCGCTTGGTCCTGCGGACGCGTCGGCGTCGTGCACTGTAACGCTCGCAATCCCGTCAGCTCGTGGTCCAGATTAGTTCAATCGGCGAGCGCACCAGGCTTGCCGTCCGCGCCGACCACAACCTTGTGCGTCGACTTCCGTCTCGTCGTCGCCACGGGTACGGGATTGCCATTCTCGTCGAGCTGGGATAGGGGTGCCATGAGGAATATGAGAGCGAGAAGGAGGGGTCGAACGCACCTTCGGCTTGTTCTTCGAACCCTTGACCCGCCCGCGACGGGGCGCGACCTCGACCGGACCAGCGCAGACGAAGTAACCCTCGCGCTTCGGGCGGGCGTAGAAGCGAGGCTGAGAAAGTTGGGGTCAGCTCTTGCTCGAGATGAGGGAGAGGCAGGTCGTAAAGTTACCTCGTACAGGGCGACCTCTGAGTCGTCGACGAAGGGATCGTTTGTATCGTAGCCGCCGAAGCGACCGAGAACGGCGTTGGGTCCGCGCTTGCGACGTTTCTTCTGCGAACAGGATAGATGATTCAGTCAAGACGAACCAGAAGCAGTCGGAATCGCAGGAACCACGCACCGGAGGCCCATTCTCTCCCGCTTCTCCCGCCTCTGCAGCTCCAGGCGTACCCTTGTCGTCCGCTTTCTCCTTGCCCTTCTTCCTCCGTCCACCTTGTCCATCACTCTCGCTGCCCTCGTCATCGTCACCGCCCTCCTTCTTCGGCTCGTCCTTGATGAAGCCCGCGTCTTTCGCGAGCTGGACGATGTTGAACTCGGGCGCAACATCGTCCTTGCGCGGCGGAAGGGCGATCTCAAGACGGATCGTAGGACGAGGCTCTTTGGGCGCGAGCGGCGGAGGCGTAGGCGTCCGCTGCTGGCGCCTGCGTCGCTTCTTCTTCTCCTTCGGCTCGCCCTCGGCACCTTCCTTCCCTTCTCCATCCTTCATCTCGGCATCGCCACCAGTGTCGTCACCCTCACGAGCCTTCTTGGGAGACTTGGCCTTCGCCGCGCCGCCGTCTGCCATCTCGACATCCTCCCCGCCTTCGTGCCTCTCGCTGGTCGTCGAACTCGAGTCGTCGTCCGAGTCGTCTTCCTCGCTGTCCTCGTCGTCCTCCTCGTTCTCCGTAGCGCCGACCTTGGGAGTCTCGTCTCCCTCTCCAGCTTCCGAACCTTCTTCTCCCTCGTCAGACCCAGAGCCTTCTCCCTCGTCCGAGCCAGACGCCTCGTCCTCGTCCGCCGCCGCTGCAGCTCCTCCGCCCTCATAGTCCTCGTCCTCCTCGCTGTCCGAGTCCACGACGAGGATCTCGTTGCCCTTCGAGTCGAACCCGAGACTCTGCCTCGCCTTGCCGGTGCCGCCGCTCGACTCGCGCTTCGGGAGAGCCGGCTTGGGCGGTGCAGAACCGTTCTTCCTGTTCGCTGGTGCAGGCGACGAGGCCACAGACGACGATTCTGCGGCGTTTTCGGCGAGAGCCTTTGATTCCAAGCGACCCAGCCACGACGAGCGTGCAGCCTCTGCGTCGCGTTCGGCGAATGGGTCGCCGTCTGGATGGGTCTCTGGCAGGGGCATGTCGCACTAGCAAGCCGTCCGAGAGCGAGGAAGCGGGAGAGCCTTGAGTTGCGGAGGGCAAGCCAGTCGCGTCGGGGGTTGCGCGACGACAACACCGCGCTGCTCAGCTGGACAAGCTGCTTGCCAGTTCAAGCAAACCTACAGATGGTCTCTTTGCTCTCCCGTGACGCGCCAGATTCTTCCACGGCGCGCTCTCTCGAATCGCCCAACTTCATCGCTTGTGGGGGAAACAGACAAATCTCGGGTCTACAGCAGTGCCGCGGGCTTCCAGGTGTCGCACACCGAGCAAGAGGGCTGCTCACACGGGCCTGGTACGCCCAGCTGCTCGCCGCCTGTCCCCGGAATGTCCGCGGAGACTCCTACCTCGCTTCATCTCCCTCGCTCCTCCCGCCCGCTGCGTACCGAGTTTGCTGCTTGCTGGGATCGCGAACACTCGAGGCTGAGAGCCTGACAGCTGAGGTGAGTCTTCCGTGCCGCGTCTCGTCAGCCCACCACGCTCACCGTTGACTCTCGTTTGAAGCTATCGCGGCGATGCTCTCCCCAAAAGGCCGGCTCAAACCCGACAAGTCACCCCCGACAGTCTATCGTCGCGTCGCCCATCACCACCACCGGCGCGCAGAGGAGGATGCAAATGCTGAGCTGCGGGAACCGAAGGGAGAGCACGAAGGCTGGTTTGGCAGACTGATCGACAAAGAGCGACGGCACCATCGCCATCACCACCATCAGCACCAGGAGCGGGAGAACGAGCGGAGCGGATCCAGGGACGAGGACGCCGCCGAACGGGACAAACGCAGCAGGAAGAGGAGAGACTCGTCGGGTGCGCCAACTTCTCGTACGCTACATTGATACAGTCGCTGACACTACGACACTACCCCTCTGAAGTCGTCGAAGCACCGGACGCTACCGACCAAAATGCCGCGGGAGACGAGCCGAGCGGTGAGTCCACCCCGAGCGTATCGCGCATCTTGGGCTGACATCTCGTCGTCCTCGCAGATCCTGCTTTCGAGCCTCGCTCCGAGACGAGCGAACGGGCGAGCAATGGACGCGACTCGCCACCACCGCAAGACAGCGATGGCGATGCGACAGATGGTGCGTTCCTTGTCCCATTCCGTGCGTTGCAGAGCTGACGCTACAGCACTCGTTCTGCAGTCATGACCGACAGTGACCATGATCCTACTTCTCCTACACTTCCCGCTCCGCCTCAAGCAACGCCGCCCACGACTGCTTCCGCATCGTTCCCCCGACCCGCACCTCCGCCAGCCAGTTATGCTGCCTCGCCGTCTCCTTCGGCTTACCAGAACTCCAGCCGCCCAACATACACTCCTTCTTACCCGACAGCGGCGTATTTGCTCAAAGCTGCTGCACCTCAGCCGCCTCCTCCCTCTTTCGCACGACCAGCTTCGACTTCGCGGCCGATCTCGACAGCGCAGCAGCAACAAGCGGACCTTCGTTTTATCGCGAGTCATCCTGCGCCGACGCCGCAGGTGCGGGTGCAGCAGAGAGCGACGCCATCGACTGGACGTCCGTTCGAGCGGCGAGCGACACCTTCGGCCCAAGGACTGCCAGGTGCTTTCGCTGGCGGATCGTCCAGTACGTTAGCGCCCAGTCCGCCTGCAATGCTGTCTTCAGGTGCGCTTCCCATCTTGCTGTTGACGAACGTGGCCTGACTCTTGCTGGCATCATGCAGCGCCATCCCGACCTCCTTCGCAAATTCCGCCTTCTTACCCTCAGGCTACGCCATACACCTCAGCGCCCGCCGCGGGCTCGCCGCCGCCTCGATTATCACTCCCAGGCGCCTTCCTCCCGCGCGTGTCGAGCGCTCCCACAGCCGCACTTTCCCCCGCTTATCCGCCAATCCAGCCGCCGAATCCTGCGTACCAGGCTACGCCTCGACAACCCTATCTGCCTGGCGCATTCGGCTATTCAGCATCTCCGCCCGTTCCCTTCGCAACGCCACAAGCGTACGCCCAGCCGCAGCCCAGCGCGCCCCATAGCGTTCCAGCTCCGGCGGCAGGCTACTCATCGAGCTCTCCGCTTCTCTCGCCGACGCCGTACATGCCAGCTCAGCCCGAATCGCCATCCTCCTCTCCACCTTTCTCGCCCATCGATTATCCCGTCAACTACGATGCTAGGCCCGATTCTCGGTTCACGCCTCCTGCGACTCAGGTTGTTGCACCACCGCCGCCTGCGCAAGGATCGGCGTACGCTCAGCAACCTGTCGCAGCGACTCAGCCTATGGCCGCCGCGAGCTTCGCCTATCCTACCTCGAGCTATTCTCCTTCTGCCGCATCGAGCCCGGGCCCAGCGCAAGCCTTCGAGCCTGTCGCCGCGTCCAGTCAGGCGCCTGCTACCCCCTATGAGACGCGCAGTGACCCGCCTTCGCCCCGCTCTCTCGTAGCCGCACCACCCGCCGCGTCCGCCTTCGAGCCTCAGATCTCTTCAACTGCCGGAGCTGCGCCGTCCTACCCTTCGTCAGATCCAGCCAACGATCCGCCCGACGATCGCTTCTTGCCGCAGCCGTCCTCCTCGGCGGCATCTATGGCCAGACCGCCACCGTCCCAGGACCAGCCGGCGCACAATCCGTCTTCTTCGGCCGCCAACTTCAACTCTGATGGCGCGGCGAGCGACGGCGACGACGACGACGCTTTTGTGCCCAAGTCGGAGACGCTCTCTCGCTCTGCGACTCGTCCTGCGGCGGGCGGAGCGGACGATGCGAGCGACGACGCAGACTCATTCGACGCCCGCCGACCGCGCCAAGGAGATGCGCCAGGTCGCCGTGACGATGTCGGTCAGGATGAGCAGTCAGGCGACGCGTTCCAGCCGCGATCGGCCCGCGCAGACGAGGGCTACGACTCTGAGCCGGACGGACAGGTCACTCAGGCTCCTCGCACGAACGACGGCAGGAGTGGAGGGCCCTACGAGCCTCAAGAGCGGGTGCGAGACTCGTCGGATCTGTCGACAGGCGAGGATGGCGACTCTCGCCGACCAGGTCCCGACGATCCTGATCCTCAGCCCGACACCGCTTACCGCCCGAGCGATCCAAACGATCAGCAAGACCAGTCTGATAGGCGTCCTCGGCAGCTCGCCTCGGCAGCCCCCGGTGATTCTTCCGCTCAAGAAAACGACAGCGGCGACTCTTTTACTCCTCGCGCCAGATCTCACGACGCTGATACCGGCGAGCCTGATTTCTATGACCAAGATGCGCATGGCCTCGGAGACGGTCGTCCGGGAACGAGACGAGCGCAGGATAATGCGGAGGACGACATCCAGGGCCACCAAGATGCGGAAGACGACTTCAGCCCTCCCGCGGCAGCCGGCGGACGGCCTCAAAATGACACGTACGCGGATGCCGTTGAAGGGCGCGCCGGAAGGCGTGATTCACGCTTCGACAACGATGATCGGAAAGCTCGCTCGACTGATCCCTCGAGCCTGTCCGACGACGAACTTGATGCCGGCGATTCGGGTGCGTCCTCGGCCTGCTACTTCGGCGATTCTCCATTGATGAGGATACGCTCGCTACAGCCTCGAAGCCCGACGACGACGATGTTCGTTCTCGCCCGGGTTAGCTGCTCGCGACTACTCTCGCTCTCACAGCAGGACTGACTCTCTCCGATGCTCGACGAAACAGCAGCAGCAGCAGCTGCTGCTGCAGGTGCAGGTGCAGGTGCAGGTCTCGGCGGCGCAGCCGGCTATGCTGCTGCTGGAGGATTCGACAAAGATGATGGCGACCGGGGAGGAGGGGTTACGGACGCCGAGCGCGGTGCGCCGCTCGTCTTCGACCCATCGACAACGCCTCGAGTAACTGATGTTGATACAGCGCTAGACTCGGACGCTCGCAATGCGCCCAGAGACGACCTAGCTTCCGACGAATCTCCCGCTGCACGACAAGGCGGCGCCGACGACGGACGCGACGCTTTCGAGCCTGCCAGTCGCCGTTCTCGCGATGAAGACGACGGCAACGACCAGACGGCGCCTGACCAACCGGCTGACGACGTGCGGCGCTCTTCCTTTCACCGAGGAACACTTTACTGACGCTGCTCGACAGGCATATGCGCAGGATCAGCGAGATTCACGAGGAGGTGCGGATGCACACGCGATCTCTGCAGAACTGCGGCTCATCCGTTTGACCCTCGAATTTGCGCAGGGCTCGCAGACACGCCGCCCAAGGAAAATTGTGCGGGTCTATCCTCTCTTCGAGTCATCCCTGCGCGTAGGGCTGACTCGCTCTTCCCTGCAGTCGCGAACGACGCAAGTGTCGGAGACCGCGATGACTTCGCCGACTCCGCTAATGGCGCAGGTCGCGATGCTTCCTTCAATGACGGAGCAGGCTCTCGGTCGGATGGACGAGATCAAGGTTGGTTCAAGCCGCACATCGGATCCGCACTGTGGACTGACGGCTCTCTCGCTTGCAGGCTCCGGTCGAGCTGGCGACTTCGGCGGCGCACAAGACGACTTTTCGGACCCCGGCGACGACTTTGGGAAGGGAGGTCGCGACACGGCTAATGGTCGCATGGATGATGTTGGCGGCGACAGCTTTGCGGGCGGTCAGGACAGCTTCGCAGGCGGGCAGAACGACACCCCGAAGGACAATCTTGCTGGCGGGCAGGACAATCTTCGCGACCAGTACGACTTTTCGAAGGACGGCATGGGTGGCGGGAGCGACTACGGCGGAGGTGGAAGCGGGTTTGGCGGAGGGCGCGACGACGACTTCGGCCAGAGCGGCCTTTCGGGCGATCAAGGTGACTACGGTGGACGCAACGCGGCGGCAAACGACGATTGGGGAGGTCAAGGCGGCTATGGAGGCGGAGGGGACGATTCTCGAGACCGGAACGACTTCGCCGCCGGCGGCAACGACTTTGGGCGCGACCGCGATCGCGATGCCTCGGGACGAGACGATTCCCGCGACGGAGACTTGCAGGGCGATGATTGGCAGGACCAGGCGGACGATGACTGGCGCCGAAGGGAAGACCGGGGATTGGGGGACGAGGAAGCTTCCGGCGCGGCTCGAGGTGTCGACGATGGTGCGCTTCCAGCAACTCGTATCAGACGGCGTCAGCTGATGCCTCGAGTCTAGACTACGAGGATGATGCGCGGCTCAGGCGTTCGCATCGGAACCGTCGTGGTCGAGATGAGGAGGAGGATGAGGACGAGGAAGTGATTCGAGGTCTGTTCGAGCTCTCTCGCTGCTATCGCGACGTATCTAACATGACCTCGAGCAGCGCGTCACGCCTTTGATGGAGAACGAGCCCAGCTCGAACGACTTTTGCGCGGTCGCTCGACTCCGAGTAGGCTCGTCGCAGCGTTGAGCGCGATCATCCTCAGCTGCAGTGCTCTACGTTACGCGCAGCATCTCGCGGGCTCCAGGCATCTCGAACCGTACCCCGGTGAGCTCCCTCGTTCAAAATTTGCGAAGGGCTACTTACGTTTTGAGAATCGACAGACGCGCGAAAACTACGAGTGGACGACTCCCTCTTCGGTAAGTCCTCTCCTTTCGACAGAAGAGCTCACATGGAAGCTGACCGTACCTGCTCACAGTCCAGGCGATGAGCCACTGCGAGCGAGACCTCCGAAGCGAGCTGGAGGCGGCGCGGACCCGCTCGCGACGCTCTGGACATGCTCGCAAGGTGTACGAGCAGGTCAAGTCGCAGCTTGCCGACGTCCACGCTCTACAAGCCCGCCACCACCAGCGTGCGCAGGCTTTCGCGTTCCTCCTCAGCGCGTCTAAACTCACACTTCCGCGCGCAGGTCTCCACCGCAAGCATCTCAATGAGCTCGACAACCCGTCCGCAAGTCGCGAGGAGAAGGGTGCTGCCGCAGCGAATGGTTCGTTTCTCTCACTCCGTCCCGCTTCTTTCCCGAACGAATCTCAATCTCGCTTCGGACAGCGCACTACGTCGCCGTCCACGAACTTCATTCGGCACGTCTGGCGCAAGCGCATGCTCGTCGCCACCTCGAAGACTGCGAGGAACACGGCTCGGACGCCGATATCGAGGAGGCGAGAGACAGGCTCGACCAGGCTGACGAGCGCGTACGACGAGCCGAGGCTCGACTTGCGGAATCGGAAGAGGCGGCGCACGACTCGGCAGACGCTCTTCGTAAGCCTTTGCGTTCGCGCTCTCTGCTGGAGCTTCGCTAATTCGGATCTTCTGCAGCTCGACAACACCATCTCAAGATCGCCGAGAAGAAGGTCGACGATGCTCAAGAAGAGTTGGATCACCTAGAAAAGTCAGGAGCGCCGCCCGAGGAGATTCATGAGGCGAGACAGCGATTGGCGGCTGCTCAAAAGGAGGAACGTCACGCCCGGGCAGCACATGAGGCCGACGCCGGTGCGTCGCGCTTTCCTTGCGGCTCGGAATATGCTGAACAATTCCCGTCGCAGGCCAGATGAAGGACCACGACCAACCTCCCGACTCGCCCAAATCTCCTCGTGTGTCAATTTGCATCCACTCTCGCACTCGTCGTTGACATCACGCTGCTTCACACAGCTGAGGAGCATGCCGCTGCGGTCGCTGCGGTCGCGCAAGCTCGCCGACATGCTGAGCGACATCCCGACGACCCGAAAGCTCGACGCCACCTCGAAGCGGCCGAGAAGGAGCTTCGCCACGTCAATGAGCGTCACGAGCGCCAGCACAAGGGTGCGGACTGCCCGCCACAAATCGCATGAGCAGAACTGATTCAGTCGTCTTCCCAGATCTCGCCGCCGAACACCGCCGGCTTCGCTCCGACCCGAACGCTCGACCCCAAGACGTCGAAGAAGCGCATCGTCGTCGTCAGTCTCGCTCGAGCCAGCTCTCTTCGACACGTTGCTGACACTCCTCACTGCAGATCACCTCTCTTCGGTTCACGAGGTCGCTCGCCACCGTGAGAGTCTATCCGACGCCGAGCAGGAACTCCACGAGGCCGACAGGAGCGCGCCTGACGACCACGCTCGCATCGCCCATCTGCGCGACAAGGTTCAGCAGCACCGAGACGCACTTGCGAAGGCAGAAGGGGAGGAAGCGGCACTTCGGAACGGTCTCCGTGCGTAATTCGCTCGATTCACGCTTTCTGGCCGAGTTGACCCTTCCTTGCTTTCGACAGATCCTTCACACCGACTTCAGGCAGCTCAGACCGCGCACGAGCATGCCGTCTCGACCGTCGACCGTCGCCGAACTGAGCTCAACGAGCTCCGGAATGAAGGCGCTTCGCAGGCTCAGCTCGAGCATGCGGAAGAGCGGCTGCGTCGTGCCCAGGACCATGCCGCGCAGACGTCTCGTCATGTCGAGGTGCTCGCTGCACGCCGTGACGGTGCGTTGTTCGACGCATAGGCTGTACCTCAGGCCACTGACAAGCTTGTCTCTCTACCTTGACAGGCGAGCAGCATGCTCACTGGTCTGAGCGCACGCCGGAGTTCCACAACGAGCATGAGCGTCGTGCGTTCGATGTTGTCGTCCTCCCGACATCATTCGCCGGCCAACTCATTCTCCTTCCCCGCAGACCACGCAGATTTGAGCGCAAGATCTCATCACCAGCACCATCGGCTTCTTCACGCCAAGGCGGAAGCGCTCGCCCATCCCGAAAACCGCGACAAGCAGGCAGCTTACGACCGCGAAAGGGACGCTCACCGCGCTCTCGCAGCCGAAGCGAAGCACCACAAAGCGCATACAAGTGCGTACTGTTCGACTTGGTACCCAAAGCACGTGTCTGATTACTGCGCCCGGCAGGTCGCGCGCACCGAGTTCAGATTGCGGAGGATGCCGCGGCGAGCGCGGGAGCTTCGCTTGCCGACGCTCAAGAGGCGCATGTCGCAGCCGAAGAAGCGCATCGAGCGCATCCGACGGCGGAGAACGAGCGACGACTCCGAGCAGCCGAGCATCGCCTTCATCTCGCGCAGGAACGTCACGGCGAGGCTAGCTCCAAAGTCCAGCACCAGCGGCACAAGGCGTCTGTCGAAGGTAGGCAAAGCCATCCTGCCTGCATACAACAGCTCGCTGACGCTTCCGTGCTGCAGAAACGAAGCGGAGGTTGGAAAGTCTCGATGAACGCGCCTCAGAGGCGGAGCGGCGAGAAGCGGAGCGCGCTCGTACGTTTGCGCCTCTCTCGGAGCGGGCCCAGTTGCTGATGGGGTACTCGCGCAGACGACGATGCGCTGCGACGGCATCACCACTTCCGGCATGACCTGCTAGCCCGGCGACATCAGCAGTCGAACACCTTCGACGCGAGGCTGCGGCAGCGCCGCACAATCAGGCGCTACAAGCTGAACTGCATGAGCACGAGGAGAAGCTACGTCGTCTGAAGGAGAAGCATGATGCGCATGCGCGAGATCACCCCGGTGCGTTCTCTCCGTCTCTTTCGCTCCGCTTCCACCGCTCACGTGTTGTACGAACCATGCAGATCATCACCCATCTCTCGAGTCGTCGCATGTCCAAACACGGGAGCGCTACGAGGGTGCGCTATCGGCTGGGTTATCGCCTGCGTTGCCAAGCTGACGTGCCTTTCGTCGCCGGTAGATGCCCGCCGTGCCGCGCACGAGGCTCGTCACGTTCCTCTCTCGGCTCAGCAGCAGCGAGAACATGCTGAGAGATGTGCGTAGATCGCTCACGCCGGTCCCGCTCGAATTGACCTCTTTTCTCCAGATCACGCCGCCGCTCATAATCTTCATGTCTCTCATCGTCACCATGCGATGGCTGCTCTCGAAGAGTCCCGACGAAACTCCGCAGACAACGATGCGCAAGAACGAGTTGTCCAGCATCTCAAACAGTCCGAACGGTTTCGGGACGAGGCAAAGCACCTGCGATCGCAGACTAGTTCGTCCACGGCTCAGGTCGCTCTACCGTCTCTCCCTGACGGTTCCGTCGCGCCTCCGCATACAGGCCGTCCCCATCGACTTCACCATGCTGAGAGTGCCGCCGCCGATGCGACGCACGAGGTGCAGAGAGCGAAGGACGAGGTTGATCGTGCGCGAGCGGACCACCACCGAAACGAATCCGCCGAGTCCGCACATCATCTGTGGGAGGCCGAGCGGCGCCACCGCCTCGCGCAGGTGGCCTCGGACCACGCTCATCGCCGCCTCAAGCGACAGCAGCACAAGATGGCGGTCGAAGGTGCGCCTGCTAGGCCATTCTGTCTCAACTTCCGTTTGCTGATGCTGGAATTGGTCGCAGACGCTCGACGAAAGCTTGAGTCGGCAGAGGTGGGTACAGCTGAGCATGAGAAGGCTTCTCGAGACCGTGCGTCCATCTTTTCTGGCAGATCACGGTCACGGCGCCTTCTCACGCACTCTCCGCAGATGCTACGGCACAACGCCAGCTACACGAGCATCGGCAGCGGGAGCTTCGCGAGGACGAGGAGAAGTTGGCGACTCTGCGAGAGGAGGCGCGCGAGCATCCGTCGAATCGCGCTCTACAGCTTCATCTCGACCAAGAGCAGGCGCGGCATGATCATCGAGTCCGCAAGCATCGCACTCACGACCCGTCACACGCGCATGATCTCGACGAGCCAGGCCCGCCCGTCGCTGCCGAGCTCCCAGCCTCGCCAGTTGTCCACCATCGTCGAGCGGAACGACACGAGCAGCATCAAACGGCTTCGACGTCGCATGACCAGCGCCGTGTGCGTCGCCGCAGCTCGCAGCTCTCCAACTTTTGCCTTCGCTAACCTCGTCGTTTCGTTCGCAGCCCCATGTTGAGCCGCATCCTTCTCAGGCGACCGCAGAACCACCTACACAGACTGGTAAGCTGCTCGCTATGCTTATCGTGCATCATGCTGACAAAGCTACCTCTCAGCTCAGAAGCACGGTACGAGAGCCGCCCTGTCCATTCTGCTTCCCACGCTGACTCTCGCCTTCCGCTTCTCAGATCACGTCGAGCCACACGCTCACCACCGCTCTCTCGACAACTCAGCCAAGTCCTCCTCGCATGACGACGGTGCGTCAAGCGGCCCACATCGCACCTCAGCAGACCTTCCTGACTTTCGGATATGCTGCTGTCGCAGAGCACCAGGCTGCTGTGCACGCCCGACAACACGCAAGCCGGCGCGAGATGGAAGCCGCTGCGAACCTTCACGCAGTCAAGACCGCCCATACTCGAGACCCGACGCACGAGTCGTCTAAGCGCTTGACCGCAGCGAGGATGCGCCTCGCCGTCGCCTCTCACAAGCATCGCGCAAAGACTCTTCATGAGCGAGAGCACAATAAGGGCACGAGTGCGTCTGCTTCGCTGTACGCGTTGTGATTCCTCGTCTGACGACGCTGGGCTTCGCGCAGGCTTGGACGCTCGACTCGGCACGGGTCGCTCTTCGCACACCGCCACAGAGAAGCATGTCGAGGAGGTCCGCCAGCGGCACCACGCAGCGCAGGAGCGGCATCGACAAGCTCCTCACGACGCTGCCGCAGCAGCTGAGGTCGAGAAGCACGCCCACCACCTCAAGCTGGCGGAGGAAGCGCATGCACGCTCGGCGAGTCGGAAAGAACACCTCGAGCGGAGACGGAGTCACAAGCGTACGTTTGCTCGCTTCGATCAACTTCAAGCCGCACTCACCTCCGCGATAAGGCAGATTGGGCCGCCGAAGTTTCGAAAGCCGAACCCGGCAGCGATGCACATGAGCACGCCGTCGTTCGTCGTGAGTTGCTAGCTCTCCTCAACCCGCTCAAAGCCTGGCTGACTCCGCATCTCTAGACCACCGAGCTGCGACACGGCTCCTCCAGTCGCGCGAGGCAAAGATCAAACACCTCTCCGATCAACTGGACCACTCGAAGCATCTCGGCGGCGACGACCCTTCCAGCCGACACCACGAGCATCACAAGTCGCTTAGCCAGCGCCTCGAGAAGCAGCGCGCCAAGCTCGCTCGCGAAAAGGAGGAGCACGAAGCCCTCTCTCGCCACCGCTCCGATATCCTCAAGAAGCGCGAGATGTCGCACGTGAACGACGGTCATCGTCGACACGAGCACGAGCGCGCACATCGCGAGGACGAGGCGGTCAAGCATATCCACGACGAGCACGAGCGGGAGGCGGCGCGTGATCAGCATCGCAAGGCCGAAGCGGAGCGCGCCGAGCATCTCAAGCAGCGTCGGAAGGACCGTCGCGAGGAGAAGGCGCGCGAGAAGGCTGCTCGAGCGGAGAAGGCGCATGAGAAGGCTTCGGAGCGGGTGAAGCACGAGCACGATGCCGAGGAGCGGCGCGCGAAGAAGGCGGAGGAGAAGAAGGAGCGCCGAGCGCACAAGCATGCCGACTGGGAACGGCGGCAGACGCTGCAGGGCGAGGAGCGAAAGAAGGCGGACGCGGCGCATGCAGCGGAGCGGGAGCGGAGGCGGAAGGAGAAGCTCGAAGCGGACGCGAAGCACAAGGAGGCCAAGGCTGCGGAGCGCGCAAAGAAGGCGAAGGCGAAGGAGCGGGCGAGGGAGGCGAAGCGCGCCGAGCACCTGCGGCACGCGCGGGAGAAGGATGAGGCGAAGCGGAAAGCAGCGGCGAAGCGGCATCGCGAGCAGCAGGCCAAGTTCGAGCGCAAGAAGGCAAAGGCGAGGTCGCGCAAGGCGAGGAAGGAGGCGCGCCGGCGGATCAAGATCCCCAAAGTAAAGAAGCGAGCGGTGCGCATGCCGAAAAGGAGGAAGAGGTAGTCGCGAGCGAACTGTTGCGCTGTATCACTCGTTGTTGCACTCACTCGCACGAGCGCGAGCTACAAGAAGTCCTTCATCTCCTCCTGGAAGCGCGCGTAGTCGTCCATGCCTGTGTCCGCCTTGCTGCCGGTCTTCCCCTGTGCGCCTACGCCGATTCCCCGCTCGCGCATCTCCTCCATGAGCGTCTTCTTCCGCTCGACCGGCTCGGCGCCCTCCTCCGCTCCCTGTCCTTCAGTGGCTCCCGCTCCTCGCGCCGCATCAATACTCGTCAATCCAGCCTTGTCCAGCCGCGCCTTCTGCTGCGCCAGCTTCTTCCGCATCGCAGACGGTACAAATGCCGTCGCATCTTTCTTCAGGTCGCGCAGCTGCGGCGCGGCAGAGATGGTCGCGCCGCTTGAAGCGGCCGCAGTGCCGGAGGAGGAAGCGGCAGGTGCGAGGTTGAAGAAGGGGCTTGGGCCAGATGGAGGGGCGGGTGCAGTCGAGCTAGGAGGAGGAGAGGCGGATACGGTAGGCTGGACGGGACCAATCGCTCGGCCTTGCTGGAACGCCCTGTTCGGTCCGCCCTCCGAGAGCGGATCCTGCATGTGCATTCCGGGCGGTGGAGGTCGTGCGGGGAGACGAGGGTGTCGAGGACCGGTTGGTGCACCGGGAGGAGGAGGGAGAGGAGGACCTGCGTGTGGAGGGAAAGCTGGGCGAGGAGGGAGAGCGTGAGGAGGTATAGGCGGTCCGGATGGGCGCGAGGGGCGGGAGATGGTGATGCGGGAGGTGGTTGCTTGTGGCGCAGGAGCAGCTTTTGGTGGCGGTGGACCGGGAGGAAGAGGGATGTCGTCGTCGTCGTCTGTGTCTGAATCGTCGGAAGATTCGTCGGCCGCCTTTCCGCCCGGAGGCGGTCCCGCGGGCATGACGATGTCGTCATCTTCGTCTTCATCGTCCTCCTCGTCCGAGTCTGCAAGGAAAGGGAGAGTCAGGACGCCGTCGAGATCACGCAGGCAATTCAGACTCACCGTCTTCCTGTCCGACCGGCCGGAACGCGGCCATCTCTTCGGGCGTCGGGATGCCCATCCTCGCCATCGCATATTCGGGCTTCTCGCGGTACGGCATTCCAGGCGGCGGCGCGCCGTACGGGTTGTAAACCGGATCGTAGTAGAACGACCGTTCGGGATGCTTCAGGCGACCTTGCTTGTCGTACAGGCCGGACGGTTCATCGTTCATTGCTGCGTCGTCGGCGGTGTCGTTGGACGGACGGTCGGGGAAGACGAACTTGCGGTGCTCGGGGTGAGCGGCGACGTCTGCAAGAGGAGAGAGCCACATTCAGCACGAGCGGTCTCTTCGCCTCATGTGAGAGGGCGCACACTCGTCCTTCGCCTTTTTGATTCGCGACAGCTCCGCCCTCAGACTTGCCAACTCATCCTTCTCCGCCTTGCTGAGCGGAGCCTGCTGCGCCTGCTGGCTCAAGCGTCGGATATCCGCTTCGATAGCTGTGGACGCAGGAAGAATCGCGTTAGGTTCACAACACTTTCTAAGCTCAGTACGCGCGTGGCAGCAGATTTGCCCGGGAATACGCAAGCGAGACGGACGAAACGCACGCTTCGTGTCCTTTTTCACCGTCGCAACCTCCTTCGCCTGCTCCCTCCGCTGCTTGTTCTTCTTCAACTCCGCCTTACGTTGCGCCTTGCGATGCGCATCGACTGGGTTAGATGATTTGGCCATGGTGATGCGCGATCAGGAGGAGAGGGGAAGAGGGTGATTTGTCGCCGGCTGCGAATCAGAACGAAGTGGCGTGCCGACAGAAGGTGGCTCCAGTAGGTTCAATTAGGTGTACGCCTCGTTCGGTCAGTCTCGGCGCGTAGTCGGCGAGTAAGAAGGGGCGAGAGATGGCGGAGATGCAGGTCGACGGGGACGAGGGCGAAGGAGTCGCAGCGGCGCACAGCGGATACAGGAGCACAAGGGAGCGTCCCAAGAGCGACAGCGAGACCCTCAAGCCGTCTGAGCGCGGTCGAGGTGAGGTGCTCCTCGTGAGAGTCGTCCGCGAAGGTTGCTCTCCCCAGGTTCATTCGCACGGCCACTCGCTGGCTCGACGCTCGCTTTGCTGTGCTCGCGAGGACTGCCGCAGCTTCGCCAGGCCACCGTCGACCGCGCTGGCTGGACCGGCTCGTCTGTTTTGCTCCCCACCTCCTCTCGACGCGACCCATCTCTCACGGTGAGCACACTCTGTGAAAACTCCCTGAACGACTCTCCAGACTGACGAGGAGCTGCTCACACAGATACACGAGCCATCACGACCGCTGCGACTGCGACTCGACCTCCCACCCCTCCTCATATCGCTCCATCCGCTCGCGCCCTTCTGAGTCTCGCTCGACATGTCCGGGTACCAGTACCCGCACGAGCCGAGCGCCGCCGACTACGACTACCATGGCGGGCACTATCAGGGCGCTTCAGGCGTGGCGGGAGGATCGGGCGGCCTGCCTGTCTCCATCACACGGAGCCTGCGAAATCAAGGCGGCCTGTCCATCAACGTCGGCGAGGCAAACAAGGGCGACGTCGACCAGGCGCATGCTGCGCACGCCGTCATGAACCACGAGCAGTACGACGCGCAGCAGTACGAGCATGTCGACCGCGGGTTCGACGGCGACGAGGAAGGCTCGTTCCACGAAGGTTCGGATGAGGAGGTGGCAGAAGCGCTACAGGGCGGGCAGCATCGCTTCCGCTACCAGCAGCACCACGACGACGAAATGCACGGCGGGCAGGGGATGGAGCACGACGTTGACGACGAGGAAGTCGAAGGCGCGGAAGAGGATCTCAACGCCGGCGAGTTCAGCGACTCCTTGTCGTCGTCGCCGTCCATTCCCGACGAAGACATCGACTTCGGTCTCGTCTACGCCCTGCATACCTTCCTCGCGACAGTCGACGGCCAGGCCAGCGTCGTCAAGGGCGACAAGCTCCTCCTTCTCGACGACTCGAACTCGTACTGGTGGCTCGTGCGCGTGCTGAAGACGCAGGCGATCGGTTACATTCCCGCCGAGAACATCGAGACGCCTTGGGAACGCCTCGCACGACTGAACAAGCACCGCAACGTCGACGTTCGTTCAAGCTTTCGCTCCCTATGTTTCGTCTCGCTTGCTGATCATGTGCCTACCCTGCAGCTCACCTCGGCTACCCAGCAAGACGTCATCACCGGCCCAACTTCCTCCTCCGCCCGAACACGGTTCATCTCCCGCATCCCTCCCTCGCAACAACCAAACCCTCACGAGTCGCGCCACCCATTCGCGAAAGGCGTTCCTGCATCTCCATCGCACAAGGATCACCCGCGCAACATCTCGCCCCCGCCTTTCGTCGGTCGACCAGGCAGCAGTAAAGCCAAGACCGTTGGTTTTGCCGCGCCGACGTACTACGCGCACTCGGCGACGGGCATGACGGACGAGGAAGGAGAGGAGGACGGTGAGGGATACGAGGAGGGGATGGATGTCGAGGGCGACGAGGGGGACGAGCTGGATCGGCATCCGGCCGAAGGGTTCGAGGAGGACGAGGAGGAAGACGGGTTGCGGGCGGGTGCGAGGGAAGAGTCCGAGTTCTCCGACGACCATGAGCATCACCAGGGTGCAGCGAGTGGTCGGCAAGAGCATGAGGGCGTCTTCGCGGACGGAGAAGCGGAGGGCGAGGAAACGGATGGCGAGGCGGACGACGAGGATGACACCGCCGAGGCGCGACGAGGCCGTTCTCCGTACGACGAGGCGCTGCGACCATCGTCATCGGCTTCTGCGCAAGGAACGGACGAGGCGGCGAAGCGACAACATTGGGAGCGCGAGTCGGCCGCTGCGTTGCAGGCGCAGGAGCAGGCGGCGCAGGCAGAGGCGCACTGGAAGCGCGAGCGGGATGCGCAGGGGCAGCAGCAACGCGCTCTCAGCCCCCGCGTCGACTCGATCGGCGCTGCTCAGGGTCGCCGCCCCCTCAGTCCGGCCGACGCCAATCTGCAGCAGCATGCGCAGCGTCTTGCGCCACAAGACGGTTTGTCGCCTCGCACTCGCCAGACCGACAACTTCGGCCTCTCGCCGACTCAGCCGGGCCCATCTTCGCTCGCCAGCTCGACTCGCTCAAGCCGCTTCGACGAGAACGACTTTCTCGACTCGGAGGCGCCGACGAAGAAGCTCACTGCGACTCCACCTATCGCGCGAGACGAAGATGCGTCACGCTTCGACGACAATCTTGGCCGCTCACCAACGTCACACCCTCAGCTGCTGCCCGGCGGACAACCTCCGCGACAAGTCGCGCAGCAGCCCTTGCGCGTTCGTGGCGTGGACCTCGTTGACCCTCGCGACCCTCGATACAACCGCATGCTCCAGCCTACGAAGCAAGCGGGCGAGGACCTCATTTACGAGCGGGTCGTTGCGGACGCCCAACGCCAGCAGCGCATGCAGGCGCAGGTGGATGGTGGGGCGCGCAACGGGAGTCTCGATTATGGCGTCGGGAACGAAGGCGACGCCAGCTTCGGCTCGGTCGACACGCACACGTCGTCCATCTCGGAGGGCGTTGGCGCTTCGGGCTCGAAGAAGGGTCAGCAGGCTCCGACGACGACGGAGAAGAAGCGCAAGAGCGGCGGCGGTATCCTTGGTCTCTTCCGCAAGAAGGACAAGAAGAAGAAGGGAGACTCGAAGGACGAGAACGTCGTGCGCAGCTCGGAGGATAGCGGCGTCCTAAGCCCGACCTCGACTGCCTTCCGTCGCAGCGGTTCAATCAGTCCTGTCACGGCACAACAAGCGCCGAATGAGCGCACATCGTCGCGAAGCGGCGCACCCACCGCTGAATCGATGTTCTCGACGGATGCCGCCTTGCGCCAGCAGGAGCTCGAAGCCAAGCAGGCGCTGTACCATCAGTATGGCGTCTCGCGGGCTCCGGGCGACATCACCAACACGATGACGCCGCGAGGACAGCCCGGTGGTCTGTCGGTCAGCGATGCCCAGTCGCAAAGCCGCCTCAGCGTCGAGGGAACCGGCAGCAAGCGCAACTCGCTGCAGCTCCTCAGCCATCCCGCCTCCGTCGTCGGTCCGACCGGATCGCTCGGCTCCCCCAGCTCGCTCGGTCCTGCCGGCCAGCGCATGCGGCCTGGCAGCTTGATCGGCTCGCCCAGCATTCCCGGTCTCGAAGTTCCGCTCCTCAGCGTGATGCGCGTCTTCGCCGGCGCCAACATCGACTCAGACGCAACTTTCAAGACCGTCTTGCTCAACCAGTCGACCAACGCCGCAGACCTCGTCAAGCAGGCAATGCAGCGCTTCCGCCTGACCGGTGCCGACCTCACGCGGGATGACTTCTACCTCACAGTGAAGGAGCTCGGCGGCGACGAGCGACCTCTGCACGACATCGAGAAGCCGCTCGAGATCTTCGAAGAGCTGTCGGAGCGAGCAGGCGACGAGTCTGCTTTCCCGCCGAACGTGCGCCGCTCTTCCGTCGGCAGCATCAACTCCATCTCGAGCAACCTCTCGCTCAACCCGGCGATCGCACGTTCAGGCGTCAACGACTGGAGCGACGACTCGGCTGTCAAGTTCTACCTGCATCGGCGAGGCAACCCCGACTCGCCTCTCGTCGGCCAGACTCCGCTCGACGGGGCGGAAGACTCGTTTGCCCAGCACTCCTCCGAGCACGACACGGCTTCCGACCACACTGCGACACCGCAGCTCGGTGTTCCGCAGAACGCACCCTCGTACCGCTTCGCCGTCCGGCTGCTCATCCACCCGGGCGACCTTCCCGAGAACGTCGTGTTCGACCCCGCCAGCAACGCCATCATCCCGAAGGCCGTCCTCGCCGAGCGTCAGCAGCGCAACGGCGGCTTCTCCGAACCGCAATCGCCCAGCAGCCTGTCCAGCTCGCAGCAGCCGAGGGAGAAGATTATCTTCTTCCCGAAAAACGCAAATGTCAGCGAAGTCATTGAGACAGCCCTCGACCGCTTCGGCATTGTCGATGGCGTTGTTGACGGAGGCGATGAGGTGGAAGACCGGGTCTCGAGGCGGCGAAGCGTTACTCGCGTCAAGTACAGCTTGGCAGTCCTGCACGAGGGCAAGGGTGCGCCAAATCGTCTCTCTCAATCCTTGGTCGTTGCTAACGCTGTTCCCGAATCCGTAGAATCCTTCCTCAACGCCTCGTCCAAGTTGCTCGACGCCTACACCGCTCCACCGCTCTTCAAGGCTTACGACCGGTCGTCAAAGGAGTTCCGCCGCAGGTCGGCCGACACGAGCTTGATTCTCGGCAGCTCCGCCGACGTCCAGACGACCGACCCAGTCTTCGTCATCCGCCGCTCTCCTCTTCGCTCGACTGCCGGGCGAGGCGGCGTCCTGCCGCAGACTATCGACGAGCTAGAAGAGTTGCAGCAGCGACGACAAGCTGAGGAGGACGACGAGCAGGAAGTCCTGCGCGGATCGCCCAATCCGGCTACGGGTCCTCGCAGTCACCGCGACATCATCGCGGCTCAGCGGGCCGCCAGTCGAGCGAACCAGCAGGCCATCCTTTCGGCGCAGAAGAACGGCGAACAAGGCTACGATATTGCGATTCGGGACCAGGGCACCATCCGCAGCGCTCGCGACGTCGACAACGACGAAGTCCGGTACTCGTACGTCGACGAGAGCGGCGCTGAGACCGACATCAGCCGGATCGTCGAGAACGAGTGGCAGTCTAAGGGGCGGCCAGGCCCACCGCCAGACCCCGTCGAAATGCACCGACCAACGTCGAGCTTCTCTCGCACGGCCTCCGCAGCGACCACCACCGATGCCGACTCGTTCCGTACCGCACCCAGCTCGTTGCCAGACGGCGCAATGGCGACCGACAACGAGAGTCTAGCCGACGACGACCAACAAGCCATCGAGGCTCTGCGGAGCACCAACCTCGACATTGACAGTCCTGTCTCGGCGTTCGCCCCGGAAGTCTCGCCATCGGTCGCTTCCTTCAAGACAGCGATGGCCGTCCCGCCCGCCGCTGCTCACGAAGACGTACTTAAGGACGCTCTCGGACCCCGGCCGACGACGAGTCCGGCGCTCGACGAGAACTTGCAAGACCGCCTCGAGCGAGTCCTCGCTCGCGTCAAGGAGGAGAAGGCCCGTCGTGCAGCTTCTCCAACTGGCGCCAACGTCCGGCCGCGGTCGTTCATGAGCAGCAGCACGTCTGCGACGCCCACAGGCCGTTTCTCGCCGGTCAACGTCGGCATCCGCTCAGCCTCGGCGATGGGAGGTCGTCGTTCACCCTTCGGAGACGGCATGCGCGACGCGCCGTCGATCAACCAGCTCATGTCGCAGTCGACTCCGCCGGCTTCGACGTTGCCTCGAGACGGCGCCTCGGCCCACGCGAAGAAGGATTCTATCGCTTCCGTCTCGTCTACGGCTTCGACGACGACCGACCAACTCTCGACGCCTGTGACCGGTATCTCCTCCGGCTTCACGCCCGCCTCGTCCGCCAATTCGAACCACCGGCCGCAGATCGTCTATCGCGACGACTTCGGTTACGACACCCTCCTCGCGATCGTCGAGGCGGACTCGCACGCTCCCGCGCGACAGCCCGAGCAGGTCTCGCCCGAGGATGCAGTGCTGCACAGCCTGTTTGGCCGCGGTCTCGACAGCGTGCCCGACTTGCACCCGGAAGTGCGGTCCGCGTACGAAGGTCCCGCGAAGGCGCTGGACGACCTTGATGCAGTGCGTCGCTTCCTGTACATTGCGTGCAGCGCTGTTGCTCACCCTCTCCTTTGCAGCGACTCGACTCTCTCCTCGTTAGCCTCGTGCGAGCCTGATCGGACGTTCCATTCCTCTCTCACGACGAACGACTCTATACCCCCGGAACTCTCTGTCCTCCTTCATCCCGCACCACTTTGACAGCTTCAATATCCGAGTAGCGGCCTTCGTTGTGGATACCGTTTGACACGCCAACTTGGCACGAACTCACCTGCGGCCTCTCTCTCCTCCTCGCCTCGCCCTTCTCCCACACTCTCGCGTTGCTGATTCCCGCTTGTGCTGCTGCATCATGCTCGACGACGGCAGGCCTCGGGACGACCTCGGGATCTCTCCCCGCCGCGCGCCCGACGACGCGTCTTGTCCCGCTTCATCTCACTGCCCATGCTGGAGGAGGAGCTTGCTCGCTCGCTTGCTAGGCTGGACCACCTGAATCAGCTCCTGCGCGAGGACGAAGCCAGCCTCAAGCAGCAGAGGGCCGCCCACGCCGCGTTTCTGCGCAAATACCCTTTCGCTCGCACTGCACCACCGCCCGAACCTCCTCGCGCTGCTCCGACCCAGACAAGGACCGCGCCGGTCGAGCCAAAGGCGGTGGCTCCGACATCGTACGGACGCGGTGAACACCCCAACTCGAAGAAGAACCTCGCCCTCGGTCGCGGAAGGTACTGGCCGCGACGCGAAAGGTCGCCCTCTCCTCCCGCTCCCTCCGCACACCCGACTTCCGGCTCGAAGAGACCCAGAACCGACACCGCAACGTCGCAAACTGCCAAAGCCGCGCGCGAACCGATCGCGACTGTCGCCCAACGGTCTGTCGCGGCCATGGATTCGAATCCTTCTCCCGCCCCTCAACAACCTGCTTCGCGACCACACCGACCACGCTATCTGAACCGATACGTCGCTCCTGGACCGCTCGAGGAGCGGCTATGGCACCTAACGACGCCGCTCGAAGAGTACGACCTCAACTTTGCCTTCGACCTTCCGCCGTACGCGCTCGTGACGGACGGAGTAGTTCTGACTCCGCTGATAGTCAGTTCCTTGCTCTATCTTGCTGTAGACGAGCTCTCACTGACCACCTGCTGTCTGCCAGCCTTGCCTTCACGCCCGCCGACTCTACCGTCTTTATAGCACGCACACCGCCGGCTTCGCCTACCTCCCCTACGGACCCTTTCCGACCTTCGAATCCTTCCTCACTTTCATCGAGATCCGTCGGCGACAGACCGGATCGTTCTTGTTCGTCGTCTACGATCGCTTGCTCGAGTTTGACGACGGGAGGAGCGAGGTGGACGGTCTGAGGGAGGAGCGCATAGCGGGCATCGTTGGCATCAAAAGTTCAGAGCCAGAGCGAATGGCGGAGATTGGGTGCGTTTCCGCTGGCTGCTCTTTCAGCACGCTCACCTACCTTTCCATTTCTTCCCGTCGCACAGGCATCTTCACATCCCCGCACCCTTCCAACGCAGCCACATCTTCACCCACGCCGCCTACCTCCTCCTACAATGGCTCTTCTCCAGCCCCTTCCCCTCCATCCCCCCAGGCTCCCACCCCTTCACCACCTTACACGGCCTCGGTCTCCGGCGCGTCCAATGGGCCGCTGGCTCACGCAATACCGCATCAATCAACGCCGCTCTCCGCCTGGGGTTTCAGATGGAAGCGTCCGACCAGCAGTGGGAGCGGCCGCTTGCGAAGGATCGGGGAAAAGTCGAGGGACTTGAGCTGCCAGAGTTTGTGCAGGGTCAGTGGAGGGAGAGGGAGGAGGGCATCGGGCTGGGGAGGCACAGTGCGTTGTTGAGCATGGCCTGGGATCGATGGGAGAATGAGGGCAGGGCGAAGCTGGAGATGATGGCGGCGGAGAGAGGAGTCGTACGGCGCAAGGCGAAGGACGTGCTTGGCGACCTGCTGTAGCGCTTGCACTCGATAGATTCGGTTAGCTGATCGCGGACCTCGCGGAAGTAGTGCAGAGCAAGCGGGAAACTGGCCGCTCTCGCGACATCCGTCAGACTGGCGAGGGTATCGAGGTGGATTACCATTAACAAGCGGCACAGCCAGGAAGAGGTACAACCGAAACGACGGAAGAGAAGGAAAGCATGCGAGTGTGTGGCGACGGAAGGCGAGAAAGGGTGTGAACGAGGCGTCTACTCTAGTTGACCGCGGCGCTCGTATTCTTCCAGTCGTGCGATTTGTCTGCGCGCAGAAGCGATCAGGTACTGCACGAGAGCGAGGGAGAGACGTCGAACGCACTGGTCGCGGATCTTCTCCTGCCACCGCAACAGCTTCGCATGCTCGTGCACCTGGAACCCAAAGATCCTCGGCCTGATCCTCTCGACCTTGGCCGCCGCCTGCGCCCCGAGTCCGCCTCCACTCAATCCCGCCTGTCCGCCCGCTCCCTGTCCCGCACCCGGTACGCTCTTACTCGGGATCATGCCCGGGTAGACCATGAACAACATGTGCGCGAAAGTCGAGCCGAAGTAGGCTCCGTCGATCGAGCCGTGTCGAGAGGACTTTGGCGAGTAGAGGTCTTCGCAGCGTGGGCAGTAGAGCTTGACGGCTTTTTGGTAGGGGATGTCGGAGAGGCCGAGCGGGAGGAGCGATTGGCCGTAGCAGAGAACGCGGGGGCAACGGCCAAAGTCGCCCTTTTTGTACTTCTCGATCTGTACAACGAGGCAAAGTGAGCGAGAGCGAGGCTGAAAGTGGGGGCAAGCGGGACGCACCATCTTGGACAACCCTCGCGACGTGATGACATATCGCGCGTGGATCAGGCCGTACAGATGCCGTGCCGACGACTCAAGCTCTTCTCGCTGCTCGTCATTCAGGTCCTCGTCCGCTGTGCGAGGTCAACGCGGGGTCAGCTCGACTCGCTTCTGGAGACGCGCTCGAACGGACGCACCCGCTGTGTCAAGGATCAAGTCCAGCGCCGCCGAGTACCCGCTTACTTCCGCATTCAAGCCCGTCAGGTTGAAGCGGTCCTGGATGTACTCCTCATCGACCTCGCAGAAGTACTCGTTGCCCTTGGACGCGAGGAACCAGCTGCGGAAAGAGGAGAAGAGTCAGCATCACTCGCTGACCAAGGGCAGCCGGTTCGCGCAGCACGACGTGGTGCGAGAAGCTAAGCTCATGTCGTGGGTGGTGCGAGAGACTCACGAGATCCACGAGTTGGCGTAAGAAGGGGAAGACGAGATGGACAAGTCGTCGGCCACTGCGAGTGAGGCGTCGATGGTAGTCAGCTCTCCGTCCAAGAAATCTCCCTATCCGTCTCAGCCCGCTCGCAGGACAACAAACGCGACTCACTCGTCGTGCGAGGCTGTGCGCTGAGCTGATGAAAGAGGAGTCGACGTCGGGAAGGACTGAATGTGAGGGTGTGCCGGTTCGCAGGGCAAATCCGCGATGCCTAAGACGCTTCCTGAGCTGCTGTCGATCCGTCTCGAGCCGGTGCGGCGGCGTGAAATGCGAAGGAAGGGGTATTCGAGGCGCGAGGAGGAGGAGCGTCGACGCCGCTCGAGCTGGACTGTGAGCAGTCGAGGCGAGGTGGCAGAGTCTGTAGACAGCAGCAAGCACTCTTAGCAGCACGAGCGATGTAGGACGGAGGGAAGAGGCGATCCCTCGGTTGTAATCGGTGAATACAATCGAGTTTGTATTGAACTGAATACAAAGTAGCCCCCCCTCCCTCGTCCGAGGACGACGATGCCTTCCCTCAGTCCATCGACCACCCGCTCGTCCCCTCTCCAATCCTCGAATCCCGCTTCGCTTCGTGGGACACCGAGCGCCGCACGCGCAAGACGGAGGAAGTGAAGCGGTGGGATGGTAGGGTCGAGGAAGAGGTGAGGAGGTTGGGGTTGTAGACTGCTCCCTCTGGCTCTCAAGGGGGGAAGGGAAGACTGGGGAAGAGAATGGGTTGCAAGTGGTGTTACAACGAACAATAATGCGATGCGAGATAGAGAATGCTCGTGAGAGAGGATGGGAAGCGTGAGGAAGGGTAGAACGGCTACCGCTTCTTCGCCTTGGTGTCGAACCAGGTCTTCATTTGCTTTGCAGAGGTCTCGCCGACTGTGAACACTGCGACAGACTCGGTGCTGTCAGTCGTGTGCACCGCCGGACGTAGCTCGACACGAATCGCTCGAAAGCGATCCTCTTGAAGCAAACTAGCAAAGAACCGACCAACTCACACTCCTTCTCCCACAAGTCCAGCCCCTGTGCAAACTCGTACGCCGCGCCCTCTCCACCGTGATCCGCGAGCGAATGCTGGCTCTGGTCCATGATCTGGACCAGACGAGTCTTGAAGGAGTGGTCGAGGATGGTGGAGAGGGTCGGGTCTTCGATGCTGCGGTCAACGAAGGCGTCAGTGGAGTGTCAGTGAGCTTGTAGAGAGTCTCGCCGGGCGAAATGACGCGAGAGAAGAGCAGCAAGGGAGGGGAGAGAACCGCGAAACTCACAGGCTCAGCAAGCGCATTCCGCCGGCATAGAACGCGCCACCGCCCCCTCCTAGATTCCGCAAGTGCACAGACTCGGGCGAAGCAGACAAGGCGTTGCGGACCATGGGCGAGTACGCTCGAGGGAGGGTGAGGTCGATGGTGTCTCTGCGGACGGCTTCGACGGTCAGCGGGCGTCGCGAGTGAAGGGCTGGAGGGACGCACTGCTCTGATAGCTTGCTCGCGAGCCAGAAGGGGAGCTCGAGCGAGGTCCCTGCCCGCAACTGATGTCGCGTCCAAGTCGCACAACAAGGCGTTTTCCCGTCGTCAGCGCGCGTTCGTACGAGTGAGCTTCCAGAGTGAGCGAGAGCTACACGCACGTCCTTGTCTGTGCCGCCTTCGAGGTGTCCTGCGTTGGGGATGTCGAGGAGCACCTTGGACGGGAGTTTCTGCGCGTGCCACTCGACGAGGGTGAGTTCGCGTGTTGCGATGGTTGCGGTGGGAGTGACTGACTGTTGCGTCGTCGAGGAAGTCTGTCACCGAGTACCACGACGCCATTTGCGAGAGTGAAGGGATACAATCGGAGGTGTAAGGAGGATCTCTCGCTTCCCAAGCGCTCTTAGGCTCTCGCTGTGGCCTTCATAATCGTAAGAGACTGAAAAACGATTCTCAGACCCATCAAGCAGCCCCTCGGAGGCTGTCGAAATGTCGTCGAAAATGGCTGGCGGCGAACCCACTACTCTCTTCCTTCCACTCCTTCACCCTGGCTCGCTAGAAGCGCTCACTTGCCCGTGCACGTTTGAGCACTCACATGCCTACGCGCTCATCGTGGTCGCCGCCGCCCGCACGCCCTCCTTCTGCCGCATCACCTCCCCGTCCTCCGCCATCTTCCGACCGGTATCTCTCCCACCCCTCGCGCAGATGAACACTGCAACAGCTTGCGACGCTTCTCAACGGCACCGCAAGGCGAACGAAGGCGGGGAGCTGCTCATCCTGGGTTGCGGGACACAGCAGAAGCGGGCTGCACTACCTCGTAGCGGGAGAAGCGGGCTGACGGCGCGGAAACGTCTGTGGGGCTGTCGCGCTTGCGAACACGCTGTAGGGGATCGTTTCGCTACACGGGGATGAGGTGCGGAACCGGCAAATGGTTCAACGCCTTTGGAGGACGTCGCTCCGCGTCCTCGACCCTGCGCACGCTTGCTGTGCTTTGGTTCGTTGATGTTTGTTCCGCTGGCCACGCCAAGCATGCGGTGTCGAAGCCAGGTGACCTGACCTATTGCCTGTTACTGCTCTTGCGCCTGTCTTCGGATTCTGCGCTTCCTCCTCCTTTCTTCGCCCTTTCCTTGTCGGTCCAGCTGCAGAGTGGTTGCGCGCGCACAGCACCGACACATCATAAAGCTTACATGCTACCACTGCTTTCCGCTTGCCGTGCTGGGCTCTCCTTCGGCCGTGGCGCGAGCAGCGGGCTTTTTGCATTGGAGGGAGGGCTTTGAAGGGTCGCGAAGAGCTTGAGCGGCCGTTTCGGGCCGCGCAGGAGCTGTCAAACGCTTTCAGGGAGCGAAAGAAGTGCAGGAAGCCTCAAGAGAAGCCCCAACAACCCTTTCCTCCTCCTCCTTTCTTTTTTTCTTTTGCTATCCGCGAGCTCCGCCCGCCACACACCCTGCTACACGTATAAGCGCCTAACCCTGTAGACGCCGCACTCATACTTCAAGCTCCTGATTCTCCGCCCCTCGCACCACCTCCTCCCCTCACCAAATGGAGAACTCGCTCCCGCCATCTGTGCAACCCTCAACGTCCAGCACTGAAGTCCATGTCGTTGTCGCGCACCATGGGCAGGAGTGTACTAGGTACTCCTCCCTCTTCCACTCGCTCGGCCTCCACCCAACTTCTCTCGACTTTGACTTGTCCTCGCTTCCGATTACTCTGCGCAAGTCCCGCTACTCGCTCGCGATGTCCTCCCACTCTCCCTCCTGCACGTCGCCCCGGTGAGAGGTCGATTCCTTCCCCTTCTCAATGTCGACCTTGCGAGCGGGAACGGCAGGGAAGCCGAAGGTCGTCGTGAAGTCGGCGCCGTGCAGGTTCATGCCGTGCTTGAGGAGGACGACGCCGACCTGTACGATATTGCTGGCGCCAACAACGTCGCGATGGTACCTCGCGGAGCATACAGGGCAGATAAGGACGCGGTAGAAGGGGCGAGAGCTCGGTTTGCCTGTCGTGGTCACGTGCCGGAAGTACGCAAGCCTGCGAGTCGAGTTGTCAGTCTGAGCGTTTGCTGCAAACAGTGAGCAGACCGACGCACCACTGAAGCTTCGCCTTCCGGCATGTCGGCTTCGGGCAGATCGAAGAAGTGAAGGCTTCGTCGACAGTCGTGGCGAGCGCTTCGACATCTGGGCGCGCTTGGCCGTGTCGAAGCATGTTGCCGACGATGGCGTGCCCGGCGTCGATGGCATGCTTGCCGCGGACGTTGTCGGCTGCTGTGCCGCCGGCGCCAACGAAGACGAGAACCTTCGAGCGGCGCTTCGGCGGCGTCTTGATCGGGTCAGGCAACAAGGGAGGCGCAGCGGATGAAGAGGTCGAGGATGAACTTGCGGCAGCGGGCGGGCGAGGTCGGGCTGACTTTGCCGGTTGCGGAACGAGGGCATCGAAGAGCTGTCGGCCGAGTTGAGCGGTGACAGACGCATACTTCTGCCGCACTCGGAAGCGCCCGGCTGCAGAGTCAAGACTTGTCAGTCAATGAAGCGAGGTGTGCATAAAGCGGGTGACGCACCCTGCGACAGTCGGCCTCGTCGACGATAGAAGCGACCAGTCTTCTTGCCGCCAAGCTGCACCTTCACCTGGTTTCGCGACGCCTTCTGCTGGAATGCTCGAACGTGTCCATTTTTGACCAACACGGCTCGAGCCGATCCCTCCTGTCCGACAACCTCGCTGTACCCGACTGCCGAGTACGTCGAGCCGACATCAATGCCGATAATGGTCGTGCCCGCCTCGATGGAGCCAGTCCCATCTTCTCTAAAGCCGCAGAAGTGACGCAGGGTCGCGAGCGTCGTCTTGGCTGTCGGCGAGAGGTGGGGGAGAGGGAGGGCGGCGATTCGAGGGCGGGAGGGACGGTGGAGAGGATAGAGGTTGAGGTGCTTCTGCGCAACCTCGGGGACGAGAAGCCCGTCTTCGTCGACGAATCCGGCGCGTGAGCCTGTGAAAGGCGAAGAGCCGTCGCTAGGTGGCTGAAGTGAGCGAAGGAGGTGGAAGAGCTTGGTCGCATTGGGGTCGGCGACGAGTCGGTTGAAGAGGCTGCCGACGGTCATCGTGTGAGGACGAGGGGCAGAACCTGTTGCGCCCGCTCAGCGTCAGTACTGCCTCAAAGTGTCAGTGGAACAGGCGACGCACCGAAGATGTAGTCGAGAAGCTTGCGACTTGGAGATCCGAAGTCGAGGTACAAGACCTGCAGTCGCTTGTTGCCGAGCCGGACGAGTCCATGCGGGGCGTAGAGCTTCGAAGTCTTGAAGAACGTGGCTACGACTTGAAAGCGGTTCTGGATGGCCAGTTCTTGCAGCTGCGAGAGCTTCGGAGTGCTGGACGAGGTCGAGCACGCTGCAAGCACACCGCGGAGCTCTTCGGCAACCTTGCGCATCGTGTCGACGATGTCATGCCGGAAAATGGCGGAGGATGAACTGTCGAATTCCTCGGCGCGAGCTGAGAGCCGTACACGAGCGGCCTCAGGCGCAAGTCTCGTCAACGCGGCTAGTCGGGCGTGTGCTGCTGCGGTTGCAGAGAAGATGTCGCTGAGGGCGAGACCATCGGCGGTCCTGGTTGAGGTCGACCAGAGGCCGAGTTGGAGGATGAGGCAGGCGAGGTGCGGACCGAGCACACTGAAGGACCTTGGGGCATAGACCTGTAGATTTGAGTTGTCAGCCCCCAAGGCGGCAAAGGGAAGGACAGTGTTGACCTACGATCGAAGTCTTCGCGGAGTAGGCGGTTGCGAGGTATTCGGACAAGACCTGCGGCGGAGCAGTCTGCGTGCTGGACGGAGTAGGACGAGTCGTCGGCGCCGTGTGTTGTTGAGCAAGTGAGGTCGCGCGTCGCAGCTGGCACAGGATGATTCGAGCAGACGAAGGCGGGAGGATTGTCCGCGCTTTGCCGCTGAGTGAATGGGCGAGGGCGCCAAGAGTCTCGTTGGCCTGAGCGTCCTCGAACTCCCCGGTGCCCGTCGCAGTCGAGTCATCTCCTTCCTCCTCTCCCTCCTCGCTTGCGCTCCCCTGCCTCTCCTTTCGATCCCACGACCGCGGTATCTCTGCGCGCACGAGCGCGACCTCTGCTGCAGTCAACCGCTCCTGCAGACTCCATCCCGTCTGCACTTGTCGCACTGCGCGAGGATGACCGGATGGGAGTTGGCGCCCGACGGTCTTGTGGCGTTCGTCTGCCCAGGCTGACTGATGACCTTGCTGGTGCGCCGGTTCGTGCGCCTCGTCGTAGTCGAGTGCAGCGGAGGACGTGACAGCTGCTGACATGAGGAAGGCGAGCAGCCGTGCGAGGAAGAGGAAGGAGGAGCGGGCGGCGTCGGCGACCGAGAGGGACGAGTCGCGCATGTTCGGTACGCGCCCGAGGATCTTGCTGACCTTGTTGACGAAGGCGTCGGCGAGGCGTGTTCGCTGCGTCTCTGCGTCGTCGTCGGTCACACAAAGCGGAGCACAGGCGAGGTGACGAGCGAGAATCTTGCTCAGCTCCTCCTTCTCTTCGTCCGTCAACGACGCGTCGAGGACTAAGAAAGGCTCGCGGACAGTTGCATCTTGCTTGACGATGCGGACGAGTTCGGTGAACTTGTCAAGAAGCTCGAAGGCGGTATGTCGCGCATTAGATGAGCTTGTTGCGTTGCGCGGGATCTGCATGATCCAGCTTGCATGCGTCTCGAAGATCTGGGCGCATGCGTCGACCGCCTCGCTCGGCGATGACAGGAAGCGGCTGAAGAGATCGCGCAACGAGATGAGCGTGCGGTCTTTGTCCGCCTTGTCGAGTGAGGCGGAAAAGTCGACGACGGTCTCTTCGAGCGCGGCGCGAGCTGTGGGCGTGCTGAAGAATGCGTAGAGCGTGTCGGGAAGGCGCAAGGCGAGCTTGATGCCGTCGAGTGTCTCGCAGGCGGCGACGCCGAGCTGCACGAGAGGCGTCAGCGACAGCTCGCCCTGAGAGATGTGCGACATACCAAGCTCTGCTGAATCCTCGTGCGAGTTGCCGGTGTAAGCCTGCCGACCCTCGACGCCGCCGCCGCGATCCGAGCTTCAGGTGCCGCTGGACCGACAAGGTGGTAGAGGAGCTGCTCCATCGACTCATTCACGCCGCGTGCCGAGGTCTTCTCTGCCATGTAGTTGATGCTGCACCAGACCGAGTCGCGGATGGCGTCGGGGCCGGACAAGAGGTTGCGCGCAAGAGAGGAGGACGCGTTCGAGTCAATCGAACTGGCGATGAGGTTCGGGATGAGGATGTTGAGGAGCCTCGGAAAGATAAAGTGCATGGGAAGGCGGATTGCCGAGAGAGTTTCGTAGACGGCGGGCGATTGGCAGCTGGAGGCGAAGTCGGTCTCGATGGTCGTCAACTTGAGGTGGCGCCAGAGTTCAGGGACCTTCACTTCAGCCTCGGCCTTCCCCTTTCCCCTACTTTCCTCCTCCGCATCCTCTTCTGTCGCTACTCCCGCCGATGCGACAGCTCCTTCCCCGGGCCCCTTTCCCGCTGCTCCCTTCTCCGCCGCCTTCTCGCCTGGCGCGTCCACCGCGCCCGCGTCTCCCGTCGTTCGTGACAAGCGGAGTTGCTGCCGCTTTGCGGCTGAACGGCCCGCATCCGCGGACTCTGGGACGACCGTGCCGAAGCCGCGTTTGCGCGAGAGAATCTTGGCCTTTGGCGCCTTCTCGTCGGTCGGAACAGGTTGGAGGTTGGTGTAGAAATCGACGACGGACGGTACGTGAGGCATGAGCCTTGTCGAAACGAGATTTCGGCAGGGTTTGGTCTTGTGCGAAGGAGGGTCGGGCGGCAGAGGTGAGAGATGAGACGGCTTCGGCCTGAGTGAGCGATCGTGGGGTCGGAAGGGATGCGATGATGTCGATTCGTCCATCTGACTTGCGAAGTGAGCCTGTAGCTCCGGCGAGAGGCGAAAGTTGTGGAAGACGGGCTTGATCTCCTGTCCGGCTCCCGCCTTCTCCGACCGCTCCTGAGCCACGACGTTCCAGGCGACAGCCTTGGTGCTGGACCGCTCGAACAGCGGCACATCGAGACCGCGCAACGCTGCGCTGGCCTCGCGGTAGTCCTCGAGGGTGAAGGACATGACGAAGCCTAGCGTGGCGAAGTACTCGGTCCACTCGCGCCAAGCCTCAGCATCGCCTGCCGAAGGAGGGATTGCCGGATTGCCCCACTCGAGGTTGAGGAAAGGGCTGAAGAGCTGAGCGGCGTTCCGAAGGTTGACAGGACCGAGACCTCTGATACCGCCGAGGAGGTATTCGTGGCCAAGCACGAGGCCGAGATGGGCGAGAGACGGACCGAACGACGCGAGCGAAGCAGCTTCGGCCAGTTTCTCCTTGTCGACGACGCGCAGAGTCGAGCCAGTCTTTGGCGAGCGGAAGATGAAGGCGAATCGGACTGCGCTGGCTGGAGAATTGATGACCACGTCGTTGTCGATGGAAACGACGCCCAATTCTTCGGAGCGACGGCCGGAGAGCATGGCGTTTAACTCGAAGAGGTGGAGGGGGCGGTCAGGAGGCAGGCCGGAGAAGGATGGGTCGAAGGGTCGGGCGAGTTGAGGGTCGAGCTGAGCGAGTGCGCCGTCGGCATCGATGAGAGGGTCGACGAAGATGGCTTGGTGTAAGAGGAAGGAGGAGTTGCGCTTGGCCTGGTGTGAACGACCACAAGTGTCAGCCCCGCTTATTCGCAGCCCAAGTGGTGCCCGTCAACTCACAGCGGCATACAGCTCTTGCGGGAGGGGTGCGCGCAGACCCAGGACAGTAGGCGGAACAGGCTCAAGGTCCGCATTGCCGGCAAGCGGTGCAAACGTTGCCCGAAGCAGCTCGATCCGCTTGTCCGCCTGTCCGCCCTTCCAAACTCGCTCCTCCTCATTCTCCGAAGCTCGCTCCCACCGCCCCCAAGTTGCTCGAGCCGCCTCAAGGTCCCGCGCGACACACTCCCACCACTTCGGCAACGGCCGCAATCGACCGTCGGGTACGAGGATGATCCGAATGTCAGATCGGAACTTGAGGAGAGGTTCGACAAGTCGTTCAAGTTCCCGCACGACGTGGTCTGCAATCGTGTTCTCGTACGCGTCGGGAGGGAGGGGCGGGCCGAAGGGCGCTGGAGGTGCGGTAGATCCTTGCGCCGACGACTGGGTGACCGTCGACTGGCGGAGTCTGGCAAGGAAGGGATCGTGCTTCGAGATGGCGAGCGTAATTGAGCGCAACGCAGAGAAGACGAGGGGGTTCGTGTCGAGCAGGAGGACTGTCCAGCAAGGCGTCCGTCGCGTCAGTCCAGCACAGTCGTTGAATGCTGAGAACTGTATCGAGGTGCTCACCCTGTACCGGCAAGTCCTTCACCGCCTGGACAAGTACCCTCCCATCCGTGCGTGCAGGCGATGGCAAGTCCTGGTAGGTGTCCGGGAAGAGCTCGATGTAGGCGGGAAGATGAGGGATCATGCCGACGTGTGCAAGCGTGCTGGCGGTGCTGCAACGCCTGGCGAGGTGTTGCGAAAGTCAGCGCACTAGCGATGATGAGGCAGAGGCGAGAGCGGAGCGCACCTGGCTTAAGCCGCTGTGTTCAGCCTCGGTGGAGAAGCAGGGACAGCAGCGTGCACGAGAGCAGGTACCAGCTACCGCAGCAACAGAGACGAGACGAGGAAGAGAGCGGGGGAAGGTTCTTTGCACGAGACGAGGTGGTCGGAATATCCGAGGAAGAGCGGTGGAGCAAGACGCGCTCACAAGACACTCGGAGAGCCGCGACATGTCGCCAAATACCGCGCGGAAACGGCCGTGGCGTCTCACCGTCGCGTAGCGGGGTCGACTTTGACAGAGGGCGTTGAACGCTGCGCTCTCGCTCGCCAGGCGACCCCTAGTCTGTGTTGCAAGTCTCTGGCACGGCAATACGACACTGTGTAACGAGGGAGTCAATCAGGCGAACTTGAGGCGGAGAAAGCGGCCAGCGTACATCAACCGAGCTTCTTGCGCTCCCTTCGCCACGCCTTGCTCGAGCGTCCGACACCCGAGAACTGCGTACAAGGGGATTAGCACACTCATATCCGCGTCACGCAGGAGGGCGACGAGCAGGGACTCCCACCCAAGCAACCCAAATCAAGTGCCCCAAGAGGTTGAGCTATCCGCTGCGCGACCGCTCCATCAAATCCCCGACAAATTCTCCCTGCGTCATTGTGTCAACCCGCGAGCGAATGACGTTGTGTTGGAAGGAGGATGGGAGGCGGGAGTTCTTGGGGAGTTGTTGTCGAGGTCGTAGAGGATTTCGCAGGCCGAGGGTGAGCGACGAGACTTCGTCGTAGTAAGAACGGGCAAGGCATCGAACGGAAGGCAGGAGCAAGTCTGTGCGAGCTTGCGTCGCGGCAGCGCGAAGCGAATAGCCTGCGAGCGGAAGAGCGTCGGTCAACTTTACCGCGCAGGCTCGAGAGGGGATGACGCACGATTCCGAGCAAGCTTGTATGGCCAAGATGCAGTCTGCTCAAGCAAGCAGGTCAGCCAAGCCATCATGAGCGAGAACAGCCATAAGTCCACAGGTGTCCCTCACTGGCTCGCGAGCCAGGAAGGCCCGCCCCCTCGATTTGTTCGCATCTCGTCTCCCACGCGTCCTGCTGCCTCGAGACAAAGCTTGGCGTACTCCGAAGACTCTGCAGAGTCTATCGAGGACCGGCGCGATCCTCCTCGACGCCCACATCTTGACCTGCATCGCGCGAGCCGCCCGCCTCGTCCTCGGTCTGCCAAAGCGAGCGCCTCGCAGACACGGCCCTCCTCGTTCTCCCGCTACAGACACTGCTGGGAGGATGGAGGAACGCACCTCGAACCTCGATCTCCTTCTCTTGCAGCTGTAACCGGCTTGAGCCTTCGAGCGGGTCGAAGAAGGCGAGCGAGCGTCCGGCAGAAACCAATGTCGGGCGAATCACGACGGCGAAACTCGGGTGACGTGGCTCGACATCCTGGCCACGGCTGTCGGCGCCGACGGTCGTGGCGAGGAAGTCGCGGTTCGCGCCCAGCGATCCGCAGCGACTCTATGGCCTTGAAACTCGGTCAGCAGGCTCAGAACAGCTCTGTCAAGAGATCGAACGCACTGCTAGCCCAGCACGCTGCCCGTGAGTCGCGTGAGAACCGTCGAAGTCCGGACCACCGTTGGAGGTCTGCTCGAAGGCAGGGCGCGGTGCGGCTGGGGCGGCATCGAGGCATTGGAGCGGTGGAAGTAGCTGGACGAATAAGCGAGGCCACACAGCGCGAGTTGAGTGAGAAAAGAGCCCCCGGTCGCCGTGGCTCGCGGCCAAAGTGGGATCGCAACCGGGCGCTCGCTCCCAGATTGGCCGCGCACCACGGCGTTCGCTCGTCTCCCTGCTGCGATCCACACCGCTAGGGCACTCAGACTGCTGCCCACCACCATCAGACCGTCTCCATCGCCCTCCACGCCCGCTCGAACGCCGTCGCTTGTCCTCCTCGTTCCCACTCGCAGGACCCGCCTACTACCTCGTTCCACAGCTTCTGGAGATCCAGCTGTCCTCGCGAGTCCAGGAGAAGGAGGCTGGAGACTCACGTGCGTCCTGCTCGTATCCCGCTGGCGTTCTCGGACGGTGTGGTGAAGGAGGAGGTCAACAAGTCGCTGACATTTGGCCTGAACTTGCGCACAGTCTACGTGGGCATGTGCGGGCACTGATGAGGAGGCAGAGATGGCTTTCGGCGGGTCAGGAGTGACGGCGCGCCCAACTGCAGCAACTCCTCCGCTTTGCGAGCAAGGCACCTCCACGACCCTTCCTGCTCCGGCGAGTGTGCTACGGTGAAGCGCATCGCCAGAAGATGTCTCAGAGGTTGGCGCCAACGAGCTAATGGTTAAGACCCAACGCTTCGACCGACATCTCCTCCTCGACCCGCAACTCGCTCTTCTCCCTTCTTCCGATCTCCTCTTCGGCTTGTCCTGCGCGACGAGTGACGCACTTTCAGCAACCCTCCAACGACATGCTACACACGCGCACGAGCCACTTGGGCTTGTCAAACCTCAGCCTGCACGACTGTTCCGACCATACGAGTCTCAAGGTACTCGAGCTCGTCGCGTCTCCTGCGGCGCTTTCCCTCAACACGCTCCGCTCGTGCCTAGCAAGCTGTAACACTCTCTCACTAATCAGTCTCGGGTGCGCACGATGTTGTTGCTCTCCTCGCGTGTCCCCCCGTCCGCCCCTCTCTAGTGAAAGCGTTGTACTGATCCGTTTCCCCCCTCTTTGCCACACACGAGGGCCATTCCCCCTGCACACCCATGCCTACGCACGCCTCGGCACCCTCGTCGCCGACCCTCGCCTTCCTCTCGTCCTTCTCAACCTCCGCTCCCTCCAGAAACCCTCCTCAAACCGCCCAAGTCACGCCGCTACGGCCACAAGCTCACCGCCGGAGCGCATTCAAAGCAAGGGCGACGCCTTGCGGAGGACTCACCGCCTCTACAACTTCGACAGTCGCTCGCGCGGAGTTCGAGGTGGACGAGTTCGTCGAGAGGGGCCCGACGTAGCGCCTTCGCTCAAACGTAATGGAGCTCGTCACCGCCTTTTCTACTCCTACAGCCCGCGAAAAGAGCAGCGCGCTCATGCGATGGCCGGCGATTGCGGTCGCAAGGGTCGAGGAGGAGGTGCCCGGAAAAGTCGCTCGTTCCGCGCTGAACAAAGCTGCCTCTGGTACTTTCGACCCTTGCGAGCACAACGAGCTGCAAGCGAGCCCCACTCGTTGCCTCCCTCACTCGCAACGCGACCCGCCAGTCGAGGCTGACCTTCCCAGCGCGAGCCGTTTCTGCTCGGCGCTTCCCACCCAGCACGGCGCGAGCCTCACAGCGACGATCGGCGGGATCCCCTCGCTCGGCAGCGCGCCAACTGACTCGGCCACGTCACCCTCGAGGTGAGTGACTTCGCGCGCCTCCCGCTCTCCCTCTCTCTCTCTCCTTCTCCTCTCCGACTCCTCACTTCTCCTCTTTCCGCCCTCCTTCGAGTCGGAGGTGAGTCTCTCGCACCCACTGACCACCGCTACACACGCGCTGACCCACTCCGGACCGCTCCCTCGCCCGTACCACCCACCCTCTCCTCCTCACCCTCGACGCCACCCAGTCACCCCCTCCCTCTTCTGCCTCGACTCGACCTTCGACGCCACCATCACCTCCTCCTCGACACCGCGAGTGAGTCCGCGCGCCTCCCGAGTCCGCCACTGCAACTCTAGCTGACCCTTCCCTCGCCTTCTCCGCTCGCAGCTCAACTGTCGTCAGGGACTTGGTGGACGACGCGCTGGTCCGCTCTGGGTCAAGGTCGACGTGTGAGTCCGCGGCTCGTCTTCTCCGGCTGCGATTCGACGGTAGGAGGACGGGACGAGGGCGACGGCTGACCTTCCTCGCTCGCACACTCGCAGCATCGTCGCCCTCGCCTTCGAGTGGCAGCTCCTGCAGCACGTTGACAGGTGCGCTCTCGCTCTCCTCCATGCGCTCTCTCCCATCGCCGCTGACCCGTCCGCTCCTCCACTCGCAGGCGTCGACGGTCGAGCGGGGTCAACCCCGCTTGGTCTGTCGAGCGTCGTTCAACCGCGCCGACCCGCTTCTGCTCGCGATGCTACCGTACTCCCGCACAACACATCTGTACGTCTCTCGCGTCGCCGGCTTCGTCGCCTCTCCCTCACGGTACTCACACCTGCTTCGCTCCTGCAGCGAGCAAGGCTTCTACTCGAGTGCCGACAGGACAAGCGTGTCTCTTACGGTGAATCTGCCAACTTCCGCCTCGCTCGTACCGATCCGCGCGCGCCGCTGACCTCGCCTTCGCACCTCCTAGAGCGGAACCTCGTACAACAGTCTGGCGGTAACCCGACCTCCTCCTGCGCCTCGTGCGCCAGCCTGCTCCTGACAGGACCGCTGTGCGAGGAGGCCGGCTGAAACCCGACCGCGCCCCTGTTTGCCCGTCCTCATGTCTTCCAGACGACAGTGCGCTCGCTCGGCTCGCAGTCCGCTTCGCTTGCTGACACGACGGTGGTTGCTGCTCGCAGAATGACCCTTCTGTTCCAGTTGTTGGGTCGCAAAGGCTCCTCTTGTAGTTCAGCCTGATGTGTAATCGGTCAGATGTGTAAATGTCTCACGACGCGCAATTTTTTTTTATGTGTGACGCTTTTATGCATTGTACTGTAATGGCTACGCTTACTACCGTGAACGCCTTGACAAGCGCACCGGGTACCTAAATTGCGAGCACTCGTTTAAAACGCGTGCTATTCCCTTCTTCACACGGTACTATGAGCTGTTTTATGTGAACAATGTTAGAACCATTCCATTAAACATTGCTTCATATTTAACGCCTGTTGCAGTTGCGTTTTTTGGGTCATGGACGACGGGGGGCTTAATGGTGGCTTGTGTTTAAACACACAAGGCTTCACTTCCTCTCGCTGCTCTCGCCAACACTCACGAGCAGCGCAGACAGCAAGGATGGCACCGCCCACAGTCAAGGACGAACACGACGAGTGCGCTCAGCCTGTCCCGCCGCCTCCTCACACCCTCCCTCGCTCCCCTCACCTCGCATCGACTTGACCGTGTCGAACACTCTCAGCTGACTCGCACGGGCACTGCTGCAGCCTCGACGACCTCGACGACGTTCTCGACGAGTTCAACGCGCCTTCTGCCCCGCGAGCGACCGCCCCTCCTCCTCCTCCCTCCTCAACCGCCGCCGCTTCTTCCTCTGTTCCCGCTCCCGCTACCTCTTCCTCCGCCCCGAAAGCGACAGACGATCTCTTCCCAGACCCCGACGACGATGCCCTGCCCGACTCGCTCGACTCGCTCGACCCGCAACTCGCGAAAGACCTCGAAGAAGGGATGAAGGCGTTGCTTGCTGGGCTCGGGCCAGGCGCAACGGGCGCCTCTTCGAGCGGCGAGACGTCGACTCCTGGAACGGGCGGGGCGGGCGAGGACGCCTTTGATGAGAACGAGTTCAGGAGGGTCATGGAGGAATTGATGAAGGGCGGTCCTGGAGCGGGTGCGGCGGGAGGTGCGGATGCCGAGGGCGCGGGAGACGACGAGGCGTTGCGGAATCTGCTCGCTGCGCTGAGCATGGGAGGAGAAGATGCTGCTGCGCCTGCTTCATCCGCCAAGTCCGCCCCATCTACCTCGAAACCCGCTGCTCCCTCTTCTTCCGGCCCCTCAACTCAACCCGCCAACTTCCAGGAAGCCATCGCAGCATCCATGTCCAAGCTGCGCGACTCGTCGACCTCGGCCAACGCAGCTGCCGAGTCGTCTCGCCCGGGCGACAACGCAGGGATGGCGGCGATGCTCGCGCAGATGGCGGGCATGCCGGACTTGGGCAACATTGACAGCGAGGAGGGGCTGCAGGACATGCTTGACGAGATGATGAAGCAGTTGATGAGCAGGGACATGTTGTACGAGCCGCTGAAGGAGCTCGCAGACAAGGTCCGTCGGCTGGAGTTCACTCGGCTTTCGTTAGCGCCGGATGACTGCAGTCATGCAGGTGCGATCCGCCCCGAAGACGACTGCTGACCCACATTGTCCCGTAGTACCCGGCCTACCTCGAGCAACACCGCTCAACGCTCTCCGCCGCCGACATCGAGCGCTACGAGAAGCAACGCACGATCGTCCGGCAAATTGTCGACAAATTCGAGGAGCCCGGAGCGGACAAGCAGCCGCCTTACACGCCTGAAGAGGAGGCGCAGCGGTCGGCGCGGTTGGATGCGGTGGTGGATTTGGTTGCGAAGGTCAGTCCGGGCGTACTCGCTGTTTGCTTACGACGGCGGCAGGCTCGCTGTCGCTCAGACTCGAGGAATGCGCTCCCGCGACTGACACTCTGCGTTTACACCTTGCAGATGAACGAGTGCGGCGCGCCCCCGAACGAGATTATGGGCGAGATGCCTCCAGGTGCGTCTCTCGCTGTTCCTCTCTCCTTCTTCCGCATCCTGCTCACTCGCGTCCTCTCCTCCAACGCAGGCATGGACCTCGGCGCGGACGGCATGCCCAAGGTGCCCGAGTGCGTGGTCTGCTAGGTCTCGTCGCCGTCTTCCCTCCTCGTGTTCTGCTCCCGGGTCTCTCGTCTTCCTCGCAATGCATCGGGTTCGTTTGTCAGGCTCACGGCAGCACTCCTACCGATCCTTCGAGAGTGTGGCTCGCTTGTAATCTCGACATTAGTAATCGCCTTACCTTCGCTCTCCTCGCCGAGGACGACCTTGCTCTCGTCATCCAACTCTTCAAAAGGTGCGCGACAGCTGTTGCTGCTCTTCAACTCGAATCCATCACTCGCACACAGACTCACCAGCGCTCCCGTCTTCTCACCGCTTGCTTCCACCTCGTCTCCATCTCCTCAACCCTCGCGACTCTCGGACACATCAAACAACAGGTGCGCTGCGGTTCTGCGTGGCGAAGCGCGTGTCTTGCGTCTCCTGGATGAAGGCTGACCCTGCAGCGTTGTTCTCGCCCCGCCACCTGCCCTTGTCCCTTCCTCCACCGCCTCCAACACCTCACGCTCGCCATTCCTCGACATCCTCCTTGTCCGCCTGCTGCCTATACGACCTCGCCTTCTCCTTGTACCTCGACTCCAATATCCACTCGCCTTGTCTCCCTTGTGCTCGCCTTGATACCGCCGTGCAGAACAGCATGGTTGCCGTTATCGACTCGTACGACGCCTTCAAGTCTGCGACTTCGCAGGACAAGCTTGTCATCATCGACTTCTGGGCAACTTGGTGCGTGGCAGAGTTTGCGTGATTCAGCGCAAACGTATACTGACTCTTGCCGGGTCTGCTGTTGTCTCTTGTCTTCGTGCAGGTGCGGACCTTGGTGAGTTGTCGATCGCTGCTCGACCGTAACGCAGGGCAGATACTGACGGTGTCCTGGGTGCATGCGAACAGCAAGGTCATCGGCCCCGTCTTCGAGAAGCTCGAGTCGTCGTTCCCCAACATCGGCTTCTTCAAGTGCGACGTTGACGCTCAGGAGGTGCGCCCCTCCCGCTCCTACATTTCTTGAGTGTCTGCTGATCATGAGCGGTGACACGCGCGCAGGAGGTCGCTGGTGAGGTCGGCATCAAGGCCATGCCTACGTTCGTCCTCTTCAAGAACGGCGAGAAGGTCGGCACCGTCGTCGGCGCTGACCCCAACAAGCTCAAGGTGCGTCGGTGCAACTCTGCCCTGTCTCTCCTCTTGAGTCGATGCGCTGGAGTTGGTACTGACGCATGTTGTCCTCGCGCAGGCCGCCCTCGAGCTCCACAACGAGTCTGCGTAGATTTAGGACAGCCTCTCCCTCGCTCTCCGCCGTCACAAGATTGTACGACTGCAGTCCATCCTTAGCTATTCGCAATCGAAACCGCAATCCGTGTAAACCATGGGCGAGTCCAGAGAGGAGGAGTCGGTCTGCCTGCGATCCTGGTCTCTCGCTCGCGCTTCTTCTAGCTCAGGGAGCTCTGTAGCGTCCAGAAAGCCGTTCTAGAGAGGCTTCCCGGCGAGTCGACTTCCCTTCCTCTCCTCTCCTCGACCCTCCTCTTTGTCCTCCTTCACCTCATCTCGCCTCACCATGGCGCACCTGAGTAACGAAGAGGTGCATCTCCTTCTCAACCTCGCTAGAAGTCGCGCTGACCCAGCTTCTCCCGCGCTCTCTTTCCCGGCACACGATCACCTTTCCCCCGCCCGCTCGACAACGACACAACACCGCAGTTCCTCACGCGGTTAGCGGCGCTGTTCGAGCAGACGAAAGAGAAGGGGACTGTCTTCCTCACGCAGAAGCGATGTGCGTTCCAGGGCTGTGGCCGACTCGCTCGCTCGTGCTGACCCTCGTCTTCATCTCCCTCGACCCTACTGCCCTCTCACGGTTCCGTGCTCGATCTCCTACCCGCCACCAGTCACCCATGAACCCGAAGCAAGCACCTCCACCTCAACAGCCGCATCAGGAGCGGACGTCGAGATGCGGGAACCGGACGCAGAGAGGGAATGGCCGTTGTTGATCCGCGCGACAGACGGGAACGGGAAGAAGGATGTCAAGGTCAAGATTTCTACGATTGTACGTCCTGCTCTCGGGTCGAGCGGAGCGTCGTGGGGTAGCGAACGACCTTCTCGTCCCTCTCCTACCTCTCCAGGCCGCTCTTGTCTCTCACTTGACTAAATCACGGACTTCCGTCATGACGCACTCGCAGGTCCAGCCCGCTTCCTGCGACTCCTTCCTCACCTCCTACTCCGACCTCCTCCGCACCCACTTCTCCACCACCCTGCGACCAAAACGCAAGAAAGCCGAATTGGCACGGCAACGAGCCCTCAAGCTCGCGAAGCGACGAGCAGCGAAAGCTAAAGCGCGAGGGGAAGAAGTCGATCCGGCTGCTCTGGCGGCGGCAGCGACGAGCGCGGCGGGAGGAGGAGGAGGTGGACAGTTTGTGTTGAGGTTGCCGAAGGTCGTTGGGCCGCGGAGGGGGAATGGAGTGAAGAAGCGGAGACGGACGCAGAAGGCGAGGGAGAAGGCAGTCGAGCGGTACAAGGCGGGCAAGGCGCGGAAGAGGGGCGCAGACGAGGCGTGAGGCTGCGAAGCTTGCAATGCCTTTCGCAAAGCTCGATGACGCTAGTCCGCTCGACGAGCGCGCTTGGGGAGACACTGCTGCTGCTGATAACAAGGACGATGCGCAGGGAATAGGCTGTTGCGAGCGAGAGAGACAGGCGGGAGATAGTACGACAAAGGTATCTGCAGGGAGATAAAGAGAAACTAGGATCAAGGGCGTGGTACGAACGGCAGAAACATGCAAACCTGGGTAGACGGCACGACACAACACTGTGGACGGACCTCACTCGACTTCGACATCCTCGCCTTCGTTCCCTGCACCCCAAACCCTCGTCTTCGCTCGCGGCGCCGCGCCGTCCTCCATGTAGCTCTGCAGCAGCTGCTGGAACTCGGGATGACTCGTCGTCCGTGCGTGGAGCGGGCGATGTCGCTCCGTGACCGGTTTGGGCGAGAGCGGCGAGAGGGCGACGATCGAGCCGCGAGGAGAAGTCGGCGTCGAGCGAGAGCCGGGACTCTGCGTTGGAGCGGGACCGGCGACTGTTGACGAGCGGTGTTTGCGCGTAGCGGTCGTTGCGGTGGGAGAAGAGGCGGCGGAGGGAGGGTGTCGCAGAGTCGACATGGAGAGGTCTCGCGCAGAGGCGTACGCTCGAAGCATGGGTCGGACAGATCGCTGGCCGGTACTGCTCGACGCACTGCTGCTCTTGGACATGGCGGCTGAAGGCGGTGCGGCGTTGGCGGGCGTTGGCGACAACGGGTCGACCTCCTCGTCGAGCTTCATAGGCGAGCTACCGTCGTTGCCAGCATCCGCGCGAAAGAACGGCGACGCCGCGACCAGTCTCGGCGACAACATAGGCGGGGTGTTACTCGCCTCGCTCGACCTGTCCAACTCGCTCTCGACATCCGCATCGAGGTCCTCGTCTTCCTCGTCTTCGTCGCTCGGCCGCAATTGAGGAGGCAACTCTGCCTCGCCCCGTCCGAGGATGGGCGTGTTGGGCAAACTGCGCTTCTCCGCTTTGCCCGTCTGGTCGACCTCGTGCGCGTCGGCGGTGACTTCTCGATCGACTTCGGCGAAATCGAACCCTTCGCCCTCTTCCGCCTTCCTCGCCTCCTCCTCGCCACTCACAGTCGACTCGGTCTCGGGCGTCGGTGCAGTCGAAGTCGTTGCGGTAGTTGAGGCAGAAGCGGCGGCGGCTTTGCGGCGCAGACGGGGAAGGGTGTGCTTGACGAAGACGCGTTGGGATTGGAAGGCCCGGCGGGAGGCTTCGAGCATGAGGAAGGCTTGGAAGACGTGGACGCAGTCCTGTGCGGATGGGCGCGTTGCGTAACGCGATCAGTGAGGTTGTCTTCGAGACTGAGCGCGCGGAGAACGCCTCCAACGCACCTCGAAGATTTCATGCTCGACCCTCACACCCGCCAACGCCGCCTTGTGCGCCAACAACGTGATCTCATCCCTGAGGACCTCCGCATCGCCCGCCTGCACCAACAGGGGTGGGAGTCCCGTAAAGTCGCCGAAGAGAGGGGAGACATAGGGATGTGTGAGGTACTGCTCGATCGACTCGCCGAGAAGACACTTGACGGGATGGAGGTGGTCGTCTTCGGTGTTGGGGTTCGGGAGGTAGTCGTAGGGCTGTTCGCTCGCTTCCCAGGTCAGTCCGGCTCGAGGCTAGGAGAGAGGGAAAGGGCGCACCCGGTTCGTCGTCCAGCTCTCGCACGACATGGTCAAGTCGACCCAAGGACTCATCAAAATGGCGCCAGCCGGCAAGGGGTATTCTTCATCGCGCAGGTACATGAGCGTTGCGAGACACAATCCTCCTCCTGCGCTGTCGCCGGCGAAGATCTGCTCCACACTCGTCAGCGATCTGAAGGAGAGGAGTGGTGGATGGGCGCACGATGTTCTCGGGAGGGATCTTGAGGTCGAGCGTGAGGCGCATGTAGGCTGAGACGGCGTCGTGCAGCTGGCCTGGGAAGCGCGTCTCGGGCGCAAGGCGGTAGTTGATGGCTGAAGAACAGGACGTCAGCGCTTCAGAGGCAGAAGTACGCAGGAGGAAGACGGGAACGCACCAAAGACGCGCGCCTCGCAGTACCGCGAGACCGAGATGGTCAAGTACCGATGCGTCTCCGCCGAGAACATGTAGTACGCCCCTCCGTGGAGGTACAAGCAGACATAACCGTCCTTGTTCGCACCGTCCTTCGCGCGCGCCTCGTCCCCGGTCCCCTTCTGATCCAGCGTCCACTCGCGCGTCATCTTCCTCCAAAGCCGCTTGTTCGTCACCCACTCGCCGCTGATCTCCCGCTGGCCTGTCTCTTGCGCGTCGTAGGGAGCGAGGATGCCACGGAGGTTGCGACGCTTGACGCGGAACGAGATGGGCGTCACGATGCCGTCTTTTGGAGTGGGGAGGAGAGAGCCGAGTTCGAGGACAGATCTGCGGAGTACCCGTGCGTCAGTTTGGAGCTAGAGCGAGAGGAGGAAGAGACGAACCGTAATCGTGCGAGGGAGGAAAGGTGCGAGTAGCTCGAGACTTCGCGGAGGAAGGTGGTGAAGAGGGTGAGCTCGACCCCCCATGACGGTTTGGGCGGGCCGTAGAGGTGATGCTGGACGAAGGCTTTCGTGAGGGAGGTGCCTGCGTCCGAGACGAGGAGACGGAAGGTCAGCGTGAGATCGGCATTCTCGCGATGCCTCCCCCGTGACAGGGCGAAACGAAGCGTACCCTGCTTTGCGAGGAAGGGCAGGTACTCCCACAGCGCGGGCGCGGTCGTAACCAGCTTCTGCCTGATACTCGGATCGGTCCTCGCCTTCTCGGGGAGCTGGCCTCCCTTGAACGGCTCGAGCAGCGCTGCCCAGCTCGCCAACGCCGTCTGTACCTCGGTTCCCGCGTCTGCGTCCGGGTCGACCGCTCCCCCAGGCGCCGAGACGTGTTTCGTCGAGAGCGAGGCGGGCGACGAGTGTTTGGGCGAGCTGGAAGGGTCGGGCGCGGCTGAGCCCCAAGAAAAGGGCCAGAGAGCCATGGTGTGCGTGTGCGGGAGTGCACTCGCTCGCTCTGCGGGTGCTACAGCTGCGAGTCCAGGGTGGCTGGACCGGAGATGAGGGTTGACGCCGGCTGCGAGGACGGGGCGAGTTGGCGGGTGGGTCAAGTCGATGCCAGCGAGTGTGGTGGAGCTAGTCACGAGTCGAGCAGAGCAGAGCAAGAGGGAGAACAGCGCTGTTGCCGAGCGAGGTCACGCCGTCGCCGAGTTGGTAGTTCGCCTTGGTCGCTCACTTCGACCAGCCTCGTTCGCAGCGTGCGCCGTGGGAGTGTGCTAGATACGCTGCTACTGGCAGGACTACACCCGCCACCGTCTCCCTCAGCCCGCCCTCGTCCTGCGCCGTCCTCACACGCTCATCTCGCTCGCTCGCATGGCCCTTCCTGCGACGCAACCCGCGTTGCGACGCTAGCGACTTCGCTTCCGCCTCGCCGGCAATCGCAGCAAGATCGCAGAACGTCGAAGCAGCCCGCCCGCTTGTCCGCTCTGCCTTGCCTTCTGAGAAGGTCGCCGCTCGCTCGCTTCCTGCTTCTTTCGCTTCTCTCGCTCGGCAAACGCTCCGGTTCATTGTCGACATGGCCAGAGCTACCCCGCAAAAGAGGCAGCTCCGACGGACGGACACACCTCGGGCAGCTCGTTCTGCTCGTCTTCCTTGGCTCTCGAAGCGGACGGACGACCCGCTTTGAGGCTGGGACAACACGGCATATTCAAGCTGATACAGAGAAATACTACAGCTGAGGTGGGATGCTAGAGAGTCGAGTCGCACAGCTACTGCCTCACGGGAAGGACCTGGCGAAGGAAATCGACATAATCCTTCGACGCCTGCTCGAATCCCTCGTCGACATAGATCGAGAAGTGTCCCAGCTGTTAACCTCCTCGTCAGCCCCGCTCTTCCAGGCTTCGGATCGGACGACAAGCGGACGCACCTCATACTCCTTCACCACTCCCCTCGGGGCCATCTTCGCCCACCCCCTCGTTGGTCCAGCAGGCGCCACCGTATCCCCTTTACAAATCGCAAAGAATATCGGACACTCGACTTGCGGAGCGTACGACCCGGGTCGGAGGAAGGGGATTTGGAGGGCCGCGCGGGCAGCGACGGTGATTGGGAGGCCGCGGGCTTCAAGGGAGGGAGGCATGAGGCGCTTGTAGCCGGACTCGACGTCCGGGGCGTTCATGAGTGCGACTGTGGGCTCGTGGGATGTCAACGGGAGGCGTTGATAGCGGAGAGAAGGACACAACACACCTTCGCCTGGCTTTCCCGCCAACTTGACCGGCACGTAGTCACCCGGCTTCCCGAACAACAAATCCTTGATGCCCAACGCCGTCAACGCAAACGGCGCGTACCATCCGAGCGTCGCGGCTGAGTGAGGACCGCTCGTGAACGGACATTGGGAGATGGCGGCTGCTACGCGCTTGTCTTTCGCTGCGACGGCGATTACGTGGCCGCCGCCGAAGGAGGTGCCGAATACCCCTACTCGTGATGCGTCTGCCAACGGAACCGCAATCAGCGAGAAAGAGGAGGAGGGAAGCGAGGGGCGACGAACCAACTTCAGGCAAGTTCCGCACGTACTCGAGCACGACGGCCCAGTCATCTTGCTGCATGTTCCAGTCGAGGATTTGTGGTTCTGAGCCTGTCGACTCGCCGAAGCCTCGGTAGTCGAAAGCGACAGCGGTGTAGCCTTCCTTCTGGAAGAGTTCGCAGTACCTGCTCGACGCCAAAGTCAGCTTGCGCGCTCGGAACGAGTCGCAGTAGACTTGCATCGACGCACTTGTCCAGTCCCATCTCCTTGACCGCTCCCAACCCGTGTCCACATACCATCGCCGGCCCAGGTTTCTGCGGCGAAGCGACAGGCGACGAGTACAGCCACGCAGCCATCCGCGCATTCCCAAAGGGAATCTGGATGTCACGGCGAGGAGGCAGAGCAGCCATTGCGAGTCGAGTGGAGCGTAGGAAGCAAAGGAGGGGAGATGTCAAAGCGGCGACTTTTGGTCTTGCGAAGGCCGGGCCGCAGTCGGAGTCGCTCGCTCGCAGAAAAACAAAAGCGCAAGACGAAAGGCAAGACTTCATAGCGCTCAACTAGCCCGATAAAGTCCTACTCGAGCACAACCGAACCCGCTCACGCCGAAGCGTTCGCAGCGGCCGGTGCCGCAGCTCCACCATGACCCGCTCCTCCCCTGGCACCCCTCGCCGCTCCACGTCCCGCACCGCGCGCACCACCCCTTCCACCCCTTGCTCCCTGCTGCTGCATCAACACTGCCGGAGGAGGGATCGCAACTCCTCCCCTCGCCTGCGGGACCGCACCCGTCCCCGCGACTCCTCCGCCCCTACCGCGCGTCGCAGCCTGGAACGGCACAGTGTGATTCCCGACTCCGAAGGCGCCGGCGTGAGGGACGAAGCCGCCCCGGCCGAGGTGAGGCGGTCCACCGCGGAGAGGGTGCATCCCACCTCGGATACCGAGCGTCTGCCCGAGACGCTGTTGCTGAGATTGAGGCTGGCCATTCGACGAGGCGGAAGCGGCGGGGGCTTTGCCAGTCGCGACGGCGTGGAAGGAGGTCTGAGGGGAGACGTTGCGAGCCGGGTTATGCATGACCTGGACGTTGCCGTTGCTGCGCGAGAGAGAAAGTCAGCACCGCCGCAAGACTGGAAGGAAGAGAAGAGCACGCACAGTCCACCACGACCACGTCCACGGCCGTTGGAAGCGGCGTGAGCCGGCGAAGGATGGAAGCCTCCGGCGGGCAGGCCGTACGCAGGCAGGACAGCAGGTCCTCCAAGGGGTCCCTGACGGAACCTGGCATTCTTGTTGACCGGGGCCGGCGCAGGAGCGGGCGCAGGGACGCCTTGACCCGTCGCGTACTGCTGCTCGGTAAGGTTGAGGACGGCGGACGGCGTGACGGTCGCACCGCGGTAGTTCGAGCAGCGTCCGCCGAGGCTCGTGCCGCCCATGAACTGCACGTCGAAGACGACGTCGATGAAGCTCGTCTGGATGCCGACGACGACGCCCTTGGCGGAGAGGGGAACGCTGCCGGTCTCGGCGACAGTGATGACGCGGTCGCCCAGCGAGAAGTGCTGCTCGCGGAGGCGAACAGACGAGTGCGCAGGCTTGAGGACGCCCTGGCGAGGAATGTTGTCGATGCGCGCCTGCTTGATCTTGTCGAGCGTCTTGGTCGCGGTGAGCTTGTCCTCGAACTTCTCGATCAGCTGGACGGCGTCCTGCGGGGATGGACGAGCCAGTGAGCAACGGTTCTACGTAACTGCACGAGACCGCGAACGCACCTTGTCAAGCTGCTCGGAGAAGAGCGGCACTTTCTCAAAGTCGCGAACGCCCTTCTCCTTGATCCAGTTGACGAGGGCCTTCATCCGCTCGTTGACCGTGTTGGGCGGGAAGAAGTCGGTGGCGCGGGTCAGGTCGCCCCTGTTCGTGTCGAGCGTGGCGATGATCTCGGGGAAGCTGGCCTTGTACTCGCGGATAAGCTCGATCGCCCTCGTGCTGTACTCCCAGCCCGACTCGGTCTTCCTCGAGTAGCCGAGGACCTTTTGCTGCTTCGCCTCGAACTTGAGGTTGAGACCGACGTTGACACGCTGGTCGCCCGAGTTGTACAGGAGCAGGCTCGACGTGATCTTCGAGAGCGTGAGCCCGCTCATGCCGACCATCCGTGCGACGACGTGCGAAGGGTGGTAGGCGGCGTCCTTGACCTGCTCGAGGCGAGCCTTGAAGAAGCCGTTCTCTGACTTGTCGGTTGAGAAGCACTGCAGGTCGAGCGGAATTAGCGCCGAGAGCAGGCGATAGGTGGATGCAGACTCACGGCAATGCGGATGCAGAGACTGTCGTCCTTGTGGTCGAGTACTTGCGCGGGCACGCCGTAGAAGAGCGGACCGAGGAAGAAGACCTTGGTGCCGACCGGGTACTCGATGTCGACGGGAATAGGAGGACGTTCCATATAACGGACGTCTTCGTTCGTGATGTGCGAAACGGTTGCCTGGAGAGCGAAGTCTTCGGTCTCGTCCTCCCACTCCTTCACCATCGAGCCGTCAGCCTCGCGCCTGAGACCCTTGAGGACGCGGGCATGCACAACGACCTCGACGTGACCAATCAAGCAGCCCTTCGACTTGGAGTAGACGTGCTCAATCCTGTCGGCGGCACGCTTCCACTGGTAGATCTCGTTCTGGGTGTGCGGGATGGGCCTGACGAGGCCGCTCGAGTCGATCTCGTAGCGGAAGAGGTCGTCCGAGACGGCATCGACGAGCGCCTCGCGGAGCATGGGGTAGTTGACGTAGGTGCGCTTGCCGACGATGAGACGGGCGATGTCCTCAGGCTTGATGCCCTCGAAGACGTTGTCGATCGAGATGACCATCGTCTCGCGCCGCGAGTCCGACTGGAAGACGTTGACGCCGTGGAAGCCGAGCGAGGCGGTGTGCGGGATGGTGTGGAGCGAAGGGAAGCCGGAGATGGCGTCCTTGCCGAGGAGAACGCCAGGCATGAGGCCGGTGCGGAAGGAGAGGCCGCCCTCGAGCGTCGGGAGGTGGAACGTCTCGAGGCGGGTGTGATTGTGCACGAGGTCGGGGAAGAAGCCGGGGAGCGATGATGGGTAGGTGACATCGACCGAGTCGTCGAAGACGAACTTGGTGCTTTCGCCAAGAAGGTTGCGCGACTTCTCCTCCTTCGTCAGGCGCGCCTCCCGCGTCGACATGGCTTTGAGCAGACGCTGCTCGTCGATGAAAGGAATCTTGACGACCGCCTCCCACTCCTGTTTCTTGCCGTTCATGTCCTGCTCGAAGCGCGTCGGGTAGAAGTCGATGATGGGCGACGTCGGGTCCGACATGAGGTCGCGGAACGCAGGCGGGATGTGCTGCGACGAGAGGTCGGGCAGGACACCCATGAGCTGCTCGAACGGTCGGAAGGGCTTGCCGAGGTCGAACTCGAACGAGAGCTTGTCGACGTTCTTCAAGTCTGCGGGAGGCGGACGATCGTGAGTACGACTCTCGAGAATGAGGGCAGACAGCGAGCGCACCGGTGATCTTGGGCGCGTAGTGATAGTTGTAGAACCAGCCCCACGAAGCGACGCCGGAATAATAGTACCGCAGGACCCACTGCAATCCCTCGATGTAGCGATAGACGAGCGTCTCGACCGCCTTCTGGTCATCCTGCGCGAACTCGAGCTTCTCCTGTGAACGACGAGGACGAACATGCGGAACGTCAGTAAGTCGACGACAGCCGCAACAGGCGGGGCGACACGCACTCTGTAGTAGTCCTTCTTCCACTCGACCATCTTCTCCTGAATCGCCTTCTCCTGCTCGGCTTCGGACTCGGCCTGCGTCAACTCCCTGGCCACCTCCGCCTTGACGTACTTGTTGAGGACCCTCCTGATCGCCGCCTTCCACTCCGGCTCGCCCTCGACCTTCTCGAGTCCGGGCGCAGGCGAGTCCGTCCCGCCCGTTGCGCCGTTCAGCTTCTTCACCTGCGACGGTCGTCGAATGCGCCCGTCGAGCGAGAGATGAACAATCCCAATCTCCTCCGCTTCGGAACTGTCCTCTCCCTCGCTCGACTCGTCACTCACGCCTTCGAGCGGGCCCTTCACATCATCGCTCTTCTCCTCCTCCTCTTCGCGCGCAAGCTCAACGAGCGCGTTGTCGAACCGGATCGTGACGAGGTTCTCGCCCTCGTCGTTGAATTCGTCGTAGGTAACTGAGAGCTTGAGGGCGTCGGCAAAGTCAGAGAGGAAACGGCGGTCGCGGTGTGAGGAGAGGGTGTTGGGGAATTGGAGCTGCGAGGAAGAGGAGGCGGGGAGGGTGGCGAGGTTTGAGAGGACGAAAGAGGCGACCTGGTCGACGATGTGCTTCTGCGATTCCGAGAGGACTGTGCGGCCACGATCACGGCACGCCAGCAGTCAGTCCCGCCTCGAGTACAGAAGGTGGATCGCTCGCGCCGGCAACGCACCAAGCTGGCCTCTCTGTCTCGCCTTCTCCGCCGCAACCTCCGCTCCTCTCCGTCCTCCCTTCCTCCCTCCGCCCCCACCTCCAAAGTCCGCCACCTCATGCTCAAACTGGTCGCGCTCGAATCCGCCAAGCTCGTTGAGGACGAGCTGGAGGCGCGGAGTGTTAAGTTTGCCGTGTTCGTTGAGGTAGCCGCCTGTTCCGCTCATTCGCAGTCAGCACGTGAAGCGCGGAGGAGAAACGGATAGAACGCACCAGCACCAGGCAAGATGCGCTTGTAGATCTCGAACAACTTGTTCAACGCTCCCTCGTTGATGTGCAACCCCGGCAAATGGGGCAAGAAGTCGTTTCCGACAAAGATGTTGAGGAGAATAAAGTCGTCGATGATGCGCTCGAGGTCGTAGTCGAAGGGGAGGGAGGACTTGAGAGAGGAGAACTCGTGGTCGAGGTATTCGCGGAAGAGGGAGAGGTGCATGAGGTAGAAATTCTGGTTCTCGAGGCTGTGCAGATCAGCAAGACGCAAATCAGCACACGTTACCGCGAGCGGGCTCGTGAGCGGAAGCGATCTCTCGCCAACACACCTCTTCGCCTTCCCCTTCCCGCCCCTCGGCCCAAACGTAACCTCCTCCCTCAGCAAACAGAAGTGCGGGTCGTGGCTAAGCAACCCAAGCATGATCAAGTCGGCATCGAGGCCGTACAGGCAGTGACGCATGTTGGGGTTGTAGCCTGGCTGGGCTTTCGCGAGGCGGATGTACTCCATGATCTTGTGTTCGCCTTCTCCGGGGACCTGTGCGTCAAATGCCCAAGAAACATCAACTCGAGCTCCGCAGTGAGGAGAAGAGGCGATAGAGCGGAGACGCCGCGCACCTCGTGGCCCGACAAGATGATCTCGACGCCCCTCCAGTCCGCGTCCTCGCTGACCTTCTTCGCGATAAAGTACTTGAGCTGCGCCGACAGCCTTGCCATGAAAGGCGTTCCTGCGAGGCGACCGAGAGTTAGTACGAAGCGGGAGACTGAGCCGAGAGGAGGGACCCTCGAAGACCCGCCACTCAGGCAAGGCCCGCACGCCCCGACCCACCCGGCGTGATACAATTACTGTCGAACCCTTCCTCCTCCGGTATCTCCTCCCCACGCCTCTTCGCCTTCTCCAGCGTCTCCTTCGCCTCCTTGGCCGTCCTAAACCTCCTACTCCTCTGCTGGTTCATCTTGGCCCTCGGCGCGACTCCGTCAACAGCCAAGAAGAAGAGCTTCTGGGGCTTGATGACGCTGAAGAGGTGCGCGACGTAGTTGAAGATGGCGAGGAAGATGTCGTGTTCGCTGATTCGGAACGACGCGTCATCGTCGTTCGGGTGGGAGCAGTTGTGGATGATGCCGTTCATATCGAGGTCTGGAATGGGCCTCGTCAGGTCGAATCTCGGGCCTGGTGCTGTGGCGGGAGGAAGTGCACGCACACAAGGCATCGAACTCTGGAATCCGGTTCTCCTGGATAAGCTGCGAAATGAGCGGATACCGCTCGCTGCGAGGAATAGGGTCGTGAGTACCAAACCTCTCTGACACGACCGTGCCAGGCGAGCCGGCGCAGACTGCTCGGGATGAACGTCGGTGTGGAGACTCACGACATGAAGCGGAAGAACTGCGTGATCGGCACGAGTGGTCAGCCTTGAGTCGATGTGTACACTCGACGTGATACTGTACGCGCCTTTGGGATGCCTGCATTGTCGGTGAGTGCGATGGTCGAGGGCGGGGGAGATGAGAGCGATGTGAGCGGGTTGCGAGAGAAGCAGTGAGTGAGAGCGGGTGCGCACCCATGGTTGCAGTCTAGCTGTGAGCCCTGTCAAGTCTGTAGCCTGTCAAGCAGCCCTGTGCGAGGTGTGTGGAGCGTGCGAGGTCAAGGACAGTGGCGGGGAGGGGAAGCACTTCAGCTCCTCGACAACGGCACAGATTGCTATGCCGATTCCGCTGGGCACATTGCTAGGGTCTCTCTGTATTTACTGGCTGCTCAGCTTATTTTACAGTGTGTGTGCGGGTGCCTTGACGTCCTCGTCGCTCGCTGACCCTGGACTTGCTCTCGCTGATTAGCTTGTTCGTGTGCTGCGTGTGATGCACTCGCCCGCTGCATCGACGTCGAGCGTCACTCTCGACCACTCGCCCGCGCCCACGCCGTCGCCGTCCGCCGCGACACCCTCCGCCGCTCCTCCTTCCCCCGCCAACTCGCCTGCACCCGCTGCCAGCTCGCAAGACCACGCGAAGCGGAAACGCACAGCGAGGGACAAGGACGCGCTCAGATACGCACTCACATCCGGGTTCGCTGGGGGCATCGCAGGTGAGCTGGAGAGCTGCTTTCCGCGGGACCGAATGAGCATGTCGACCCTCGCTGACCGTGCAAACTCGTGTTGCACTCGGAACAGGCTGCGTCGCAAAGACGTCCGTCGCACCCCTCGACCGCGTCAAAATCCTCTTCCAGACTCACAGCCCCGATTACCAGAAGTATGCCGGTCAGTCCGGCCCTCGTTCGCGCGCTGCGTTCGTCCTCATCATCTCGGTTGCTGACGGGTGCTGCATGTTGCGTCCGCATGCACAGGCACATGGACGGGCGTGTTCAAGGCGAGCAAGGCGATCTACGCCGAGACGGGCGTCCGAGGCCTGCTGCAAGGCCACTCCGCGACCCTCATCCGCATCTTTCCCTACGCCGCGATCAAGTTCATGGCGTACGACGAGCTCCACCGAGTCCTGATGCCGACACCCGAAGCGGAAACTTCGGGACGACGGTTCCTCGCTGGCTCGCTGGCGGGAATCATCACGACTGGGTTCACGTACCCTCTCGAGCTGATCCGAGTCAGGCTCGCGTTCGAGTCGCACCACTCGCCCAAGGATCGCGCTTCACTCCTCCGCACCATCCGGGCAATATACCAGAATCCCCCTCCGCCCGCCTCTTCCTCCTCCTCCGCTCCGCCGCCACAACCCTCACCCTCGCCCGTATCCTCTTCCTCCGCCTCGACACGACCCACTATCGCTCACTTCTACCGCGGCGTCTGGCCCACCCTCGTCGGCATCATTCCTTACGCAGGCACCTCATTCCTCATGTGGGGTTTCCTCAAAACCGACCTCTTCCCCTCCATTTTCTCCCCTACCTTCCGTCGTCAGAACCGCGCTCTACTCGATCTACTAGCCGGCGGCGTAGCAGGCGCGATTGGGCAGACGACTGCCTACCCGTTGGACATCGTTCGAAGGAGGATGCAGGTTGGACCGGTTTTGCATGCGGATGGGAGGGGGAGGGCGGGATTCTGGGAGACGGCCAAGGGTGTGTATCGGCAGGGAGGGTGGAGGGGGTTCTTTGTCGGCTTGTCGATCGGGTACTTGAAGGTCGTCCCGATGAACGCTGTCAGCTTTGCGACGTGCGTCTTTCTTTCCCCGTCTCCGGGCTGCGTTGGACTGACCTCTCGAATAATGCGGTGCAGATGGGTCGCGATGAAACGGGTACTAGGAATGGAGGAGACGCCTGGCGGAGGAAATTCGGAGGCAAAGAAGGAAGAGGGAGAAGGGCGGTGAGCGGAATAGACGGGCGAACGACTGTTGTACTCGCTAGATGCAGGCCACGCCCAGGATGGCTGAACGCAGGAAGGCCTTATCATATCGTCCTCAGGAGTTGGTGTCGAGCAGGGGTACTTCGAGAGTTCGAGAGAAACGCGGCGTCGCCGTTCGGCTTCTTCCTTTTCCTCCGGAGTGTTTCGAACGCTCTTTGCCTTGCTCTCCAGTCACTAGAGCGAGTTTGAGGACAGCTCGCGAAACTCGTGCCGCTGCGAAGGGTCGGCTTCCTCCGCAACTCGCGCTGCTCTCGCTGGACTGGGCTTCAGCGTTCTTTACGCCACTGGGGACGCTCTGCAGCTGCTCGAGACGCCCGCCCGACGCCGCTGGCTCCCCCTCACCTCGACGCCTCCCCACTCTCCCTGCCGACTCGCCCTCGACAAACACGCCTGCGGATACGGGAGGAGCGCACAGTGCTAGCGTAAGCGAGTTGAAGGACTGGCTGACAAGGTACGTCTGCCTTCTTAGCCCACGCCACGAACCAGAGCCCCTCCTGACCGCCTCATCGCGAAACAGCGCGCGGGCACGATGAGCGCCGACATCTGGGACGACGACGGGTGGGAGGACATGCCCGTTCTGCGCTCGTCCTCGACCGAGCCGACCGCGTCCATCTTCGACTCGGACTTGCGCGACGTCGACGATGCCTCCTCGAAGAAGCGGAGTGCGGGACCTGCAGGACCGTGGAACGCCCCTGCGCCTGCGAAGTTGCTTGACTCGCCTGTTGCGCCGGGGTACTCGAGTATGGCAGGCGCGTCGGCGACGGGAAACGCGACGGGTCGGTTGGTCGATGTGGGTGAGAAGGGCGCGACGGCCGGTTTGCGAGAGAAGGGCGACTTGGACGAGATGGACTACACCCGACTCGAACTCGACGATGATCCGGACGAGGACGAGATCTCGATGCGGACGCAGTACCTCTTCAATGAGGATACCTCCATGACGCCCCTTTCGCAGATGCAGCAGACCAAGACGCTCCTTACCGAGGGCCAGCGCATCGCGTACGTCGGTCTGTGCAGGCTCGTTGCGAGGGAGATGGTGCAGACGCTTGCGTTGGCGGCTAAGGGGGCGAAGGAACTCGATCCGGCGAAGGAAAGCTGCAAGAACTGGGCAAACAAGATCATGGGTCGGCTGTACCGGCATATGGACGTCGACAGTGCAGGTGAGTCGACATCGTATATCCTCTGCTCTCTCGTGTTGACACGGCTCGTCCGCAGAACAACGCATGATCGAGCAACTCGCAGAACACGGCGTCACGGCCGAAGACCTCGTCCCGTCTCTCGTCGCAACCTACACTGTCGACAATCCCGACTACGATCCCGAAGCAGCAGAAGCGGCGGCGAAGGAAGCGGACATTGCGCTCGAGGCGGAGACTGCGCGGAGAACGGCAGAGGCGGAGCAGCGGAGAGAAGAGGAGCCGATGGCGCATGCTGACGACGTCGAGGAGCGGTTAGGAGACCTTGCGCTGGGTCAGGAGGACACGGAAGCGGAGCCGCACGGCTACGTCAAACGGGAAGTGAGGAAGATCGAGAGGAGAACGAGCGAGGCGACGTTGCGGTCCTCTCCTCAGTCGCCACGATCACCTCGAACAGTTCGCTCGCCTCCAGAAACACCGAGCAAGCGACATCCGAGCGCGTTCGACGACTTTGACGACGGCGGTGACATCGGCAGTGCGCTCGATGACCCTCCCGCTAAATCGCCCTCCCCTCCGCCCGATTATCCTCCCGCGCCAGAACCTTCAGATCCTCCACCCATTGTCGAGCCGACCACCCCGAAAGCTTCCGCTTCTGCCCTTCCCGCCTACGACGAGCTCGACGAGCGGAAACCCGACAACTTCCTCCAGCCTCTCCCTTCCTCCCTTCCCGGCGTCACGCAGAACCTCTCGAGCCTCGATAAGACCGTCACGCTCGACATCCGATGGACGATCCTCTGCGACCTCTTCCTCTCCCTCATCGCCGACTCCGTCTACGACGCCCGCTCGCGCGTCTTGCTGGGCAAGATGGCTGAGAAACTCGGTCTCGAGTGGCTTGACGTCGTGCGCTTCGAGCGACGATTGACAGAGGCGCTCGAGATCCAGGAGGCGGTCAAGGACAAGGAGCACGAGGAGGTTCTCGAGGGTCGGCGGCTGAAGGACAAGCACAAACGGTACCTCATGATGGGTCTCGCAACTGTAGGCGGAGGACTGGTCATCGGTTTGTCGGCAGGCTTGCTCGCCCCCGTCATTGGCGCAGGTCTCGGCGCAGCCTTGACTACCGTCGGCGTAACGGGAACGTCAGGTTTCTTGGCAGGCGCGGGAGGCGCTGCGATCATCTCGTCTGGCGCGACGTTGACTGGTGCGACGATTGGCGGGAAGGCGATGGCGCGGCGGACCCGGCATGTCAAGACGTTCGACATCCAGCCTCTGCACAACAACAAGCGGGTCAACCTCTTCATCACCGTCCCTGGGTGCGTCCGCTTCCCTCAAGCTTTCGAGGTCCTTGCTCACCCGCGTCCGCGCAGATTCATGAACGGCCCGCGAGACGACGTCCGCCTTCCTTTCAGTACCATCGACCCCGTCGTTGGCGATGTCTTGTCGGTTTTGTGGGAGCCCGAGATGATGGGCGACACGGGCAACGCGCTCAAGATCTTGGCTTCCGAAGTCTTGACGCAGGCTGGGCAGCAGGTGCTGGCTGCGACGGTCATGACGGCGCTGATGAGCGCTTTGCAGTGGCCAATGAGTGCGTGCTCCTCTCCTTTCCTCCTTGCCTGAATTGCGCTGACAATTCGCTTGCAGTGCTCACCAAGCTCTCCTACCTGATTGACAACCCCTGGTCGAACGCGCTCGACCGGGCACGACAAGCCGGCGCCATCCTCGCCGATATTCTGATCAATCGTCGCCTCGGTGTCCGCCCCGTCTCGCTCGTCGGCTTCTCCCTTGGCGCTCGAGTCATCTTCTTCGCCCTCGTCGAGCTCGCCAAGGCGAACGCGTTTGGGGTCGTGCAGGAGGTGTACCTCTTCGGCGCGACCGTGACGGCCTCAAACAAGGTCTGGCGACAAGTGCGCGGGATCGTCGCAGGTCGCTTCGTCAACGGCTTCGCGATGAACGACTGGGTCCTCGGGTACCTCTTCCGTGCGACGACAGGCGGTTTGCAGACGGTTGCAGGCCTTCGACCGATCGAGCATGTACCCGACCTCGAGAACGTCGATATCACGCACCTCCTCGACGGTCACACGACCTACCGCTCGCGTATGCCGAAACTTCTCGCTTACGTCGGCTTCAAGGTCACGGCCGACCACTTTGATGAGCCGGATCTGGACCCTGAAGCGCCGGATCGCGAGGTATTGACGAAGGAGCAGGAGGAGGAGCGGCGGCTGAAGAAGGAGAAGAAGGGCTTGGGTATCTTTCGGCGCAAGAAGGCGGGCGGGACAGACTCGACGCCTATGTCGCGCGCGCCTTCGATCGACGAGTACGATTTGCCGCCGCGGCTATCGTCTTCGTCCTCGACGTCGCTCAACAAGATCTTGCCGGGCGTCTCGACGCAGGGTGGACGGAGCAGCTCGAGCTTGTCGGTCGCGACGAGCGGAGCAGACGTGGAGGCGACGGAGGAGAAGCAGGCGCCTTCGCCCAGCGCTCAATCGGAACAAGCTCAGGCTGCGGCTGTCGAGTCGCCTCAAGCCCCAGCATCTCCAGCCGTCCCTTCCGGCTTCGACCTGGCCAAGTTGCGGGACGAGGTCGCGCAGCTCCCGAAGCCATCGCCCGAGCGAGCCGCCAGTCTCCCGCCCCAAGAGCTCCCAACGGTTGCCTCTACTTCTTCAGCAGCGCGCGCCGCCGGCGAGTCGATCCAGAGAACGCCCTCCGCACCTCCTCCCGTCGAGCAGCCTCGGACAGACCTGCGCGAGCTAGACCAGGAACTCGATCCTCGCGAGCTGTTGCGGAGACAGTGGAACGGCGAGGCGGTCCCTGCGGCTGCTTCGGCGCTTCCACCTGTCGGTCCGCCCGCCGAGTCGGCTTGGGCGTCCGACACCAGCCTGCCAGACGACCACTACGCCTCGCCGACTTTCTCCTTTCCCTCGGCCATCCTCACCATTACAACCTCTGCGTCCGACGCGCCCTCCTTCACCTTTGGCGACTCGAACGGCTTTGTCCACCCGTCCTTGGACGACAGGACGCCCACCCACGACATGCCCTCCTTCACATTCGGCTCATCCGCCTCATTCAACGATGCGGCCTCCTTCACCTTTGGCGCTTCCGACGGCTCTCTCGAGCCTTGGGCGAAAGGCGACTCGGCGAAGAAGGCGAGCGACGATGCGCCAGATCCGGCCGGGTCATTCGTCTGGGGCGGCGGCGGCGGCGGCGGGCGGGACAACGCGAGTTCCACGACGCTGTCGACGCAGAATCCGTGGTGAGAGTGCGCTGTCGGTAGTGATGCATTGCATGTCCCTCCTCCCTGTCCTTCCCTCGAGATTGATAAGTCGGCGACCGGCGACGTAGCCGAGAGGGTGCGTCGATCCCTTCGACGGTGGTTCGTCTCTTTGCTCTCGTTCCTCTGCTCCGTACGCTGCGCTGCTCGACAAGAGCTACTGCCCAACACGGCTGCTTCTACTCGCTTGTCCCAGGTGAACGACCACCTCGCCTCGTCCAGCTCCACCGCCTCGAAGATGGCTCCGAAGATCACGGTTCACTGGTCCGTCGCAGGGCTAGCTGGGTAGTCCGGGTGATGCAGGACGGTGAGACTAATGCTCTGTTGCTGCAGGCTCGAGGACTCGCGTGCACAGCGCATTCTCTGGCTCCTCGAGGAGGTCCGCCTCGCTCCCTTCCCCTTCGTCTCCGCTTCCGGCTCACACTGCTTCTTTTCTCGCAGCTCGGGCTCGACTATGAAGGTGCGAGGCACTCGAACGTTTCCTCGTTTGCGTCCCGGCCCACCCTGGCCCTCTCCTCCCGCAGTCAAGCGCTACTCTCGCGACCCAAAGACGCTTCTGGCGCCCAAAGAGCTCGCGGATGTTCACCCTCTCGGAAAGGTGCGTTCAGCGAAGCGACTTAGGTCCTCGTTGGGGACGGAGAGATGCCATTCCTCTCCCGCCTTGTTGATGGCAGAAGTCGTCCAGTCTTTGACCATTTGCTCCCTCATAGTCACCAGTCGTCACCATCGTCGAGGATGGCAAAACTTTGACGCTGGCCGAATCAGGCGCCATCGTCGAGTTCATCGTCGAGCGCTACGGCTCGAAGCTCAGCGTTCCCGCCTCGTCCTCCGACATGCAGGCTCGCGCCGACTACCTCTACTGGCTGCACTGGGCAGAAGGATCCGGCATGCTCCCCCTCATGTTCTCCATCGTGTTCGCTCAGCTCCCCAAGCAAGGTCCGTGGCTCGCCAAGCCGCTCTTGAACGGCGTCTCGTATGGCGCGATGGGCCAATTCGTCCTCCCACGCCTCAAGGAGAACTTCCGCTTTGTCGAGCAGTCGTTGGCGGACAAGGAGTACTTTGCAGGCGGCCAGTTGACCGGCGCGGACAGTGCGTTCTCCCCTCTTTCCTACCCTGCAGCCGTAATCCAACCGTCTTCCTCGCGCAGTCATGATGTCGTTCATCGCCGAGGGTCTCGAATCTTCGCCCTTGCCGAACGACAAGTACCCCAACATCTTCCGCTGGTACAACTCGATTTTGGAGCGCGAGGCGTACAAGAAGGCGCTCGAGAAGGGCGGGAAGAACGACCTTGGCCGCTTCACGAGGTGAGGAGTATCTTCAAGACGAGGAGATGCGCTGTACCACTTGCTGTAGACTGAGGGACGCTGTAAGTCTGTTTCGCAAAGCGCGAGACTCCGCGAGGCCGAGGCGCTGCAAGCCGTGCTCGGACACGTTGGCGAGGACTGGTAGAACGGTGTTACGACAGCACAACAGGAGCTACAGACAGCACAATGAGAGAATTCGGAGTGCGAAAGGCGACGAGAAAGTGTAAGAGCCGAACTTAGGCCGGAGGGGGAGGGAAAGTCGCGCCGGAAAAGAAGGCGGTGTCTGTTCGACGACAAGCTCGTCAGGCGAGTCGGAGAAGACGCTGGGAGGAACACGAGAACGCACGCCAGTCGATGTCTCCGCCCGCAGGAGAGCTCTGCGTGTTCATACCCAGGGGCGCGGCCATCTGAGCTGACTGCGCGGTCGATGCTTGAGCAGGCGACGGGGCGAAAAGGCCGGCAGGTCCAGTCGAGGCCGCGAAGGAGCTCGGTGTCTGAACGGGCGCTGCGAAAGAGGTGGGAAACGGCTGCTGCTGGCGGGGCGGAAGGCCGAATTGCGAGAGGATGTCGCCTGCGACTTGCTCGATGCCGGGCGGGGCTATCGACGGGTTATCGGTCGGGAGGTTCCAGAAGTCGGGGAAGGAGAAGAGCATCGAGTGGTCGAAGGAAGTCGGGGAGAAGGCTGAAGCAGGAAGAGTCGCGGTGGAATGAGAGGTAGAGGAGCCGAACGGCGACGGCATCGGGTTGCCAAGCGTGAAGGGGTCGACGCCGGACGCGCCAAAGGTGGACGAGGTGTTGCCACCCGCTAACTGAGCCATGATTGCTTGATAGTCCGCCGCAAGCGTGCTCGTCCCGTTTGCGCTTGCCGATTCCGTTGACGGCGGGGGTTGAGCAAGTCCGTTCTGCGGGACTGGAGGCGCGGCAGACCAATCTGCGCCGAAATCGAACGTATGGCGGCCGTTGAACGTCGCCGCACTCAGGTCTTGCGTTGAGAACGGAAGTCCTGGTACGACACCGCGGTCGACTCGTCGAATCTTGTGCGACATCTCAAGCGTAGAAGCCGCGGTCGTATCGACAGGTGACGGCTTGTCCGAACCTCCGCCGCCGCTGTCGGCGCGAGACGAGTCGGCAGGACTGCGTCCGTCCGCCCATTCCTCCGGGTTGACCCGTTTCAAGTTTGTATGCTGAGGCGTTGAGGGTGACGAGGCGATCGGCTGAGGATGGCGAGCGGCCGGAGGTGGTGCACTCGTGAGAGCCGCCAGCGCCGTCAAGTGAGGGTGACACATCTGCGCCATGAAGGACGACTCGCGCAGCTTCTCGAGGACGTTGATGCACCGCTTGACGTCGCTTGCTGCCGAGGGCGTGAGGGTCGGGCGCGCGCTGCCTGGCGGCCCTGCCGGCGTGGCGAAGACGCCCAAGAGGAGCATGAGCCCTGCGTTGACGGCAAGGGCTGGAGCCCAGCTGTAGCATTTCTGGATGACGTTGCGCTGCCGGAGGACGTCGACGACATGGGCGGTTGCGCGGGCGGCGTTCGAGCAGATGGCGAGCGAGGGGAAGCCGAGTGCGCGAGAGCGAGAGGGCGAGACGAACTCGCGGTGCACGAGGATCTGCGTTTGGTAGTAGATGCACATGAGCCATGCGCTCTGGCAGAGGAGGTCGTCGTCCTGTTGAGCCGGGTTCCTGCGCAGGGAAGCGGATGTCAGCGGAGACCGACAGGCGAAGAGCTGGGCCAACTCACCATCTGAGGGGCTGCGCAACGTTGGCGAGCCAGCTGTTGAGCAACGAGTCGAGATACGTGACGTTTTCGACAACCTTCTCGCGGGTCAACTCCACCTTGACGCCGTACATGAGCCGCAAGGCCTTCGCCATGATGCGGTGCAGCTCCACGGCGCTCTTCCACTTCGTCATCTCGCCCGTCGGACTGGGCGCCGGGGAGACGGGACTCTCAGGTACCGCTCGTCCTTCCGCTATCGCTCGACGCGCCGCAAGTTCCCATTCCCACAGCGCATCGTCCGTGATCTCGAGCGGCAGCTCGACATCGTAGTCGTCTTCGTGCACGGCAGTCGGCCGACCCAATGACGACGAGATGAAGAAGTCGAGGCTGCAGAGGAGGTGAAACGCCCGCTTGCGAAGCTGGTTCTGGACAGGCGAAGCGCTCCACCTCGTCCGGTTCTCGCGGTGCGCGCCTGCGTCAATCGCTCGTCGTACCGCAAAGCCAATTATGGTCCAGGAAGTGAGGATGCTGGTCGCGCCGAGAAGCCAGGCAACGAGTAGGATGCTTGTCTGGATGTCGGCGAGGCCAGGTGCGGCGAAGGGCGTCGTGCTGGTCGCGATCGCGGCAGAGAAAAAGGCGAAACCGGATGCGAGGCGGGCTTGGCCAGGGAAGGCTGCAGCAACGCTGGGCGGAGGAAGGAGACGAGGATCGTCGACATAGCGAGCGCCGACGGCGCAGACGGCATAGTCTGCAGTCAGGGAAGGTGTCAGCATCCTACGCAGAGGAACGTTGAGGAACGACCACGCACACAAACTGCGAAAGCCCTTGTCCGTCCGCACCATTCCTCGCATGACACATTCCTCAAAGTACTTGCGGTGGATGAGAACGCTCAGGACACCCGAATGCTGCGCAAAGAACGCCTCGACGAGCTGTTCGCAAAGCTCGGTCGGCGGCATCGTGACTAGGCTGTGAAAGCGGTCGTGCTGGTCGGTCAAGAGAGTATCGACGAGTGCCGTCGTCTTGCTTGTGTCGAGGGGAAGCGAGACATAATCGTGCACGGACTGGACCAGGTGGAAGCCTACAACATGAGGAGTCAGCTGGGTGTGGGCGTGACGTCCAGGAGAAAGCCTACCGCTGCCTCGCCCGACGTAACGATCCTGCGCAGGCGAGTCCGACATTAGTCTCGGAACGACACACGTGCGAGCGAGAAGACACACTGCCTCGATGACGAGATCGTCCAGTCGTTCACTCAATCCCTGAATCGCATCGAGGTCGGTCGGAGGCGGACTGGGGGCTCTCGAGGACGAAGCCGTGTCGGTAGCGGCGAGCCCGCCGTAGTCCGAAGGTCTGGGTGCGACAGCGGCGGGTGCAGAGGTTTTCGGGACAGTGCTGCTTGGCGGCCCATCTTGCTTCGAGAGTGAAGAGAGAAGCCCCTCCATCGCTTCGAGACGCCGTTCGAGCGATTCGACGTAGCCCTTCGGCGGTGCTCGCTTCTGCGGTCGTTGCTGCGTAGAAATCAATGGTTCAGAGACCCTTCGTCTTTCTCGAAGACGAGAGCAGGCAAGAGGACTGACCTCGAAGGTGCAGGGAACACCCTGCGAGGCACACAGCGTGCACGGTTGCTCCGCCGTGGCTCCCTCGGGTCCTGTCGCTCCTCCCATCGCATCGCAGCGGATCTAGTTGCAAAGAACAGCACGCTCAGCATTCATGGGTTCGCGAACGAGGTCGGGGGGAAGCGAAGCCAGGCTCACCTTGCGCCGCCTGCAATTATCGCATGCCCGCACGATCCTGTTCTGCCTGTTCTTCGCCGCCGTACTGTCTCCATGAGCCGTAGTAGATGGCCCCGAACTCGCCGAAGTGCTTGCGAAACGATCAGGCGCCGCGTCTGCCATGTCTCCAGCTGCTCGTCGGCGTGCTAGGCTGTGGCTGGGAGTCGCTTGATGCTAGTGTCGAGCCGCGCAAGCCTGAAAACGAGCTGCTGAGGATGATTCGCCGCGAAGTCGGGGATCGCTTCCTGCGACGAGATGAAGAAGAGGGCGATGGGCGGCAGGGAGGCACTGGCGCTTCCAGATCACTAGCAGCAGCACTTTAGGCAGCAAATCGGTCGCTTTCAGCCTCGAACAGCGCGAGTGAGGCAATTGTCGCTGCGTGACACCGCTGGTTCACGGGAATCTCGCTTACCACCTCGACCTCTCGCTCTGTCCTGCTTCGGAGGAGTCGCAGTCACTCGCTAGACTCGCTAGCTTGATCGCCGCGCCGAAACGAAGCGTCCCCATCGCCATCCGCCATCCGCGGAGTGTCCTTCCACGACGTAAACGGACCGCTCTCGCTCGCGACAACAGCTTCTCGGGATCCGGTGCGGCAGAGGACATTCGGGACGATAGACGTTGAGCAGGACAGGCGTACGCGGGCCTGGCACGGCGGGAGCAAAGGGGACGACCCTTCTTCGGCTCCCGGATTTCCTCGATGAATCGAACACACTCGACACTCTCGTCGCGCTCGACGCCGACTGCGACGCCAAGAACATCTCCACATCGACCGCCGGCCATCACTCTGACCGCAGCGACGGCGAGGAAAGGTGACAACGGCTCTCCCGCTCCGAAGCACCGTCTGCCGCGGTCGCCAACAACGACGACAGCTCACGGCGACCAGCCTGTTCGACCAGCGCTACAGGGACGCGACACGGGTCCGGAGAACTACTATGCATCGGGATCGCAGACGGACGGAGTCGACGGAGACTACGACAGCAGCACGAGTGCGAGTGAAGGGGAAGATGCGGTCTTGCGGTCTCGCGTGTTCACCGAAGGCCTGACTGTCGAGGACGGGACAGCGTTGGCACGACGAGCGCTGAACGGGCTAGGCTCGCTGCCGGCGTGGGCAGGCGAACGAGGCAGGGCAGAGCACGTTCTGGTGGAGAAGCGGAGCCTGTCTCCCAGCTCGCTCAGGAGCAGCGGGAGCGGAACAAGCACGCACAAGGAGCGGTCCTGGGGATCCGCTCTACTCGACACCCTCGAAGGACACCCGCAGCACCACCGCGACAGGCGAAAATCGGCTTCTCCCGCGGTCGGTTCGGTCCGCGCGTCCCGCACATCCTTGCGCATCCGACCGTCTCGTCCGTCTCCTGAGCAACCCTCCCGCGAACCGACTCCTCCACTCACCCTCGACTCGATCAGCGCCGGCTGGAACCCCTTCCCGCTTTTCCACATCCGCAAATCCCTCATCTTCGAAGTCATCGTTCTCCTCATCCCCTTCTCCTTCGCTCTCTACCGCCTCTACACCATGACGCCTACCGCCATCTTCCCCTCAATACCGAAACTCCCGTTCCGTGCCATCCTCCTCTTCACCATCTCGATTCCGTTCATCGCCCTCCTGCGCCGAGAAGGCCATTACTTCAAGGCGCCCTTCACCGACGAGCGTGGATACCGGGATCCCAGGCTGGCAGACGACGGCGTCGCTGTCGCTCTGACTCTGCCGATCCTGCTCGCGTCGGCGGTCTACTGGGATACGTACGCGAATGCGGACGACACGGCTTTCGGCATTGGCCTGCCCGGCATTCGACCTCTCATCGATGTGTGGGAAGCAAACGGCATCCACGCAACATCCTCGCCTCGCCTTCCCGCCTCTTTTGATCTATCCGTCCTGTCTTCGCCCATCGAGCAAGCTCGCGCCCTCTTCACAGCGCGCTACGAGCTCGTACTCCTCACGGGGATCAACGCGGCGTGTCTGCTCCTCCACCTCGGACTCGCTCGAACAGTCTTCCAGATCGAGCGGCTGCCGAGGAGCAATACGAAGCGGTTCTTCGGATTCATGGGCGTCGCGGCGACGATCAGTGCGGGCATCTGGGCGCTGTGTACCATCGTGGATCACTACATGAAGGGTGCGCAGTCCGAATCTCTCGCACGCACGCTCTCGCTAATCCATCTTTCCGCAGGCGGCCTCCCGATCTCGCCTCTCGAAGCGGCGACCACCAGTCTCATCCAGCAGTCATCGTTCTACTCGGTCTCGCGTCTTGCTCGACGTGGCTTCACGCTTGGCGAGCTCAACGCCATGACAGCGGCGGGAAACGCTCTTTGCCTCGAGTTCTGGCGGTTGACCCGAGCTCGCGTATGTTCCGCACCTTCCCGCCTCTCTAGCCGACGAGGCTGACGAGCTGATTTCGCAGTGGTTGTACAAGCGAGGCTTGCCCTACATCCCGCTCACTTTCCGCGCCCCGACTCCGCTTGTCGCCTTCCAAGCAATCCTCATTCCCGGCGCCTATCTCGCCGGCTTCCTCCTCTCTCCTCTGCTCGTTATCAGCCGCCACATCGCCTCGAAGCCTTCACACCGCCTCAGATGGCCAACCGAGCGCGAGCGACACCGCAAGCTGCTTGCTCTCGGCGTCCTCGTCGGTCTCGCCGGCATCGTCTGCTTCATGCTTGGCGGGTGGGCGGGCTGGATGCTCGGCGCCGAGCCGTCGAGCTTCTTCCGCCGGCTGAGGAGACCGTGGGGATGGGCGGCTCGGTACTTCTGGTACGGAAACTCGGATGGTGTCGACATCGTCGCGGTTGGGACCTTCAACGCCATGCCCTGGTGGTCTCCTCGACGGCGGACTCGCGGATGGAGGCGCATTGCGCTGATCGGATACTGGGGTGCGACGATCTCGTCCGCTATCGGTGGGTGGCAGACGCACCTCGTTCGGGCGCGCAGGATCCGCATGAAGCCGCCCTCGCCGCAACCGAGCTTTGTCGGCAAGTCGAGGGACAGCAGCGGGACGGCCACTCCGACGGGCGAGGGTTTGCCAGCCGGGACGACCGCGCGAGCGACTGCCGCGGCTGCGGCTGGCAAGAGGTTGCTCGGAATGGGCATGGATGCGATGCATGGCGCATCGAGGATGGGCAATTCGCACGAGACGCGGGACACGCAGGTCAAGGTCGGCGTCGAGAATGCGAGGGAGGAGAAGGCCGTCCATGCGAGCCTGAACATGCGGCGCAAGTTCTTCCATGCGCTCGCGGTCCTTATGTTTGTGCCGGGAATCGCCATCGACGTGCGTATCCAGTCTCCTCTCTTCACTTACTGCTGTTCCGAAGCTGAAGTTGCGCCTGCCCGCAGCCGGCCTTCACCTCGCTCGCCTTCTCCGTCGCCTTCGCCCTCTTCACCTTTGCCGAATACGCCCGCTTCTTTGCCCTGTACCCCATCGGCGCACCCTTGCACATCTTCTTCTCCGAGTTTGTCGACTCGAAGGACAATGGACCCGTCATCATCAGCCACTTCTACCTTTTGACCGGCTGCGCTGGCGGTGTCTGGCTCGAGGGGAAGGGGATCAACCGGTTTACGGGTGTGCTTGTGCTTGGAGTTGGCGATAGTTTGGTGCGTCAATAAGATCGCGCGCTCAAAGCGCTCTTCGTACTGACCACTCCTATCCGCCAGGCCTCGATCGTCGGAAAGCTCGTCGGCCGTACTCGCTGGCCCGGCACATCCAAGACGGTGGAAGGCACAGCCGCCTTCGTCGCCTCTGTCGTTCTCTGCAGCTGGCTTCTCCGCCTGATCGGCGTCGTGCCGTCTTTCTCGGTGCGTTCGCTTCTCTCCCCGGGCATAGAAGCGATCTGACTGACTTCTCGCCTGCGCAGCTTCCCCGGTACATCCTCGCGGTCACGCTCGCCGGACTCCTCGAGGCCTCGTCCACTCAGAATGACAACCTCGTCATCCCGCTGTACATGTGGAGCGTGGTCTCTCTCCTGAACGTGTAGAACTCCTCCTCAGACCTCGCAATGTCGTTACTCTCCACACATGCGCGAGAGATTTGCTGAAGAGATCAAGGGTATCGACAGATACATGCGAAGGAAGACGTGCTAACCCTACAAACAGTCGTGAGCAACAGATGGTCAGGGGCTCGCGTCTACTTGGACTTGCGGGGCTTCTTCTTTGCCGGCTGCGTGTGAGCATCTCGTCAGTGAGGGTCGAAGTCACCTGGGTGAGCGCAAACACACCTCGTCGCCGCCAGCGCTCTTCCGTCCCTTCTTTCCCTTCGCACCCTTCGCAGGCGCCACCTCCTCGACAACCTCCTCCTTCTGCTCCTCTTCCTTCTGTCCAGCCTTGGCGTAGCCGTCGAAATCGTAGTCGATGCCAAGGTCGGCGAGCTTTTGCCGCTTCTTCTCCTCGCGCGACAAGAGGCGCTTCTTGATCGACTCTTGCTGCTTCTCCGTCTTGGGCTGTGCCAGAAGAAGAGGCGCTCGATGTCAGCGAACGCGCTCGAGCGTATAGCTGGCGGAAGCGAGCTTCTCGACGCACCTTGTTCCGCCTCGCTGCCTCCCTCCTCGCCTTCGGCACCACCCTGAACTTCCTGTTGGCGCCGATCCACATCTTCGGGTGGATCTGGTCGTCGGGAATGACCTTGCAGACGAGGATGTGGCCCGCGAGGAGGTAGTTGTCCATCGTCTCCTGGACGATCTGCGCGACCGAGGCATACTTGAACTCGATGAAGGCATAGTGCTTCGAGGCGCCGGTCTGTCAAACAAAAGCAGAGTGTGAGCGAGTTATACAGACGAATGGCGCGCGAAGTGAACGAACCTGCTTGTTACGCGACAACCGCAGCCGAGTAACCTCGCCGAACTGAGAGAAGTAGCTCTTCATCTCCTCCTCGTAGAAACCACGGGGAATGCGACCGAGGTAGACCGTGCCAGTCTTGGGCTGTTGGGGCGGACGAGGCGTCAGTACGGGAAGATCTGGAGTGAGGGAAGCCAGAAAGACGTACCTGCTTCTTCTCCTTGGCGTCCAGCTTCTTCTGCACCGACTCGCCCTTGATCTTCGGCAACTGCTCAACCTTGAACGAGCCCTTGCCCGCCTTGCCCTTGCCCTTCGCATCGCCAGCCTGTTCCTCCTCTTCCTCGTCCGAACTGTCCTCGCCATCCTCATCGCCACTCTCGAAGCCTTCGAGGTACGCGAACGCCTCGTCGTCCTCGTCCTCGTCGGCCGAGCCGTCCGCTTCCTCGTCCAACTTGACCTCGTCCTCCTCCTCCTCCTCCTCGACCTCCTGCTTCTTCCCCTTCCCCTTTCCCTTGGCGCCCTTCTTCTCCGCCTCCGCCGTCTTCTTCAACGCGCCCTTCTCAGGTTTGGGCGCGTCCGCACTGCGGATCTTCTCAATCTCCTCCGGCATCTTGTCCTTGAGGTCCTTCCTCTCGACGCCGTTCTTCCCAACCATAGGCGAGTCTCCCTTGTCCGCCTTGTCCTCGCCCTTCTTCGCCTTCTTGTTGGCGCCCTTGGCAGGCGTCTCAGGCGCGTCCTCGTCCGCCGCAGACTCGACAACACGGACGCGCTTCTTCGAGGCAGAACCGGACGCAGAGGGCGTCGCGGCGGCCGACTTGGGCGTGCCCTTGGGTGCAGCGGTCTTGTTAGCTTTGGGAGTAGCCTTTGCCATCGTCAAGAGCGTGTGCGAGGCGAGAGACGGAGAGCAAGAGGACGAGTCGGCCCCGCCGCTCGACTTGGGCGAGCTCGAGCTCAGCGAGTTGACATTCCTCACATAGCCAGAGTGACGGGCTAGCGAACGCTTTCTGTAGTACTGAAACGTAGCTTCCAGCCGGTCTTTGTCCCAAGCGAAACGAGAGCGAGATGGCGGAGGGAGAGGCCGGCAAACCCGCTCACAGTGACACTTCGCCGCAACTACAACAAGCGCGTACTCCTGTTGCGTTCGCACATCCTAGTCCGACTCGTCGTCCGACCCATACGCCGCAAGACTGCTCAGCCCGCCAACCGCCGCGGCCGGCTTCTTGACCTCGACGACCTCCTGGCCCTTCTTCTCCCTCAACTGTGCCAAAACCTTCAAGCTGTCGACCGCGTTCGCCGAGAGGATGCCGGAGGACCGTGAAGGTGCTGGTGCGGGCGCAGGAGCGGGCGGGACATGGTTCTGGTTGTGCGCCTGCTCTTCCGCCAACGTCGCCGCAGGAGGCGGCTCGATCCTCGCGCGCTTCTTCTGTCGTCCGTCGTCATCCTCCTCCTCAGCTTCCTCCTCAGGCGCCTCAATCTCGCGCGGCCCAACTCGGCCTTCCAACTCGTCGAGCTCGCGAACACGCTGGACGAACTCCGGGTCGAGCGCCTTGGCGATGCCCTTTTCACCCTCCTTTATCAGCCGCTCGTGCTCTTGCTTCTTCGCTTGCGGGTTCGGGTCCTCCGTCGCCCATCTGCGTGTCGAAGGGAACATCAGAATTCTGAGGAGAGTGAGGAAAGAGGGTAGGGGACTGACCGGACGTTCAGGATCTCCTCGTTGTCGAGCGACTGGTGCATCATCGCTTCCTTCGCAAACTGCGCGTTCAGCTCGGTCGTGTAGGTGACAAAGGCGACGCCTCGGTTCGTCAGGACCCGGACTGCGAAACGAAGGCGGGAGTCAGTCTTGCGCCCCTGATGAAAACAGGCAGGCCTGCTTCGACAGCGTCCGCGCCGTCAAGCCGCAACGCGAAAGACAGGTACTCACTTCGCTCGATCTCGCCAAACTCGCTGAAGTGCTCCTCGATAATCTCCGCCGTATCCCTCGTCTCCTTGATCCTTCCAATGTACAGCGTCCTGTTCTGCCTATTGAACGAGCCGACACCGCCCATGTCGTCGCGGTACTGTGAGTGCTTCTCGCGGCCGAAGACGTCGAGAGAGGCGTCGGGCAGGACGTGGGCTTTCGGAGGGAGGCGGTGGAGGTACGAACATTCGTGGCTGCGGCGAGTCTCAGGTCAGTACGCTTGCCTTCAATAGACAGAGGGTGGGCCCGCGCGCACCCGTAGGGACAGCATCCGCGAGCGAAGTAGAGGCAGATATACTTCTGGCCGCTCGCATCGGCGCGGGTGTATCCCGCGTCCTGCTTGACGTTGACCCTCGTCTGCGCCTTCTCCTGTACACCCATGCTGTCATACTTGTCTCCTCCGGCCTACGCGAATGCGGCAACATGTCAGCGGTGACGAAGGCTGGGGGGAGAAGGGCGACGCGAACTCACCCACTTGTGGTACCACAAGTTGTACGTCTGTCCCGTCTGCGGAGCCTCCCTCTTCTCGATCTGGCCCGGCTCGACCTGTGCAGGTACGCTCGTCAGTAGCCAGTCCCGAATGAACCGTCCATGGAGGGAGTGAGTCGGGACGGACCTGCTTCCTCGCCGGCTTGCGCTTGACCATGCGCTTCTTGGGCGGTGCAGCAATTGCCTGGTTCTGTGCGTCTGCGTCGGCCATGCTGGGCTGCTCGTGGCGCGAGAGGCGGGCTGAGCAAGTGAGGGGAAGTGGTGGACGAGGAGGGGGTAGGAACGAGTGCGGGCAAGGCGTGGGTGGGTGTGCGCGGTCCAGCAACTCCACAAACAAGCCAAGCGAGCTCTAGCAGGTCCTCCTAGCGGTGTCGAGGGTGCTGTTGTGGACAAACCCTCGCTCTGTCTCCTCCCCTTCACATCGCCAACTCGCCATGCTCGCTCGCTCCCTCTTGCGGCGCTCGGCTGCGACTCTGTCGAGGTCGTACGCTACCCACGCACCCGACGGACTCCCTCCCGTGCCCAAGTCGGCCACCATCAAGACCAGCGAGTATGATCCGGCCGACGAACCCGCCCTCGCAGACATGAAGTATCCCAAGATGTATGAGGAGTCGAGGCAGTTGAGGCAGAATCCGTTCCAGTACTGGGACAAGCAGGAGCGTGTCAACTTCGGCGAGCCCGTACGTCTCTCGTTCACCCACTTCGCATCTCGTCGATGCCTCGCTCTCGGCCCACCTCAGGCTGACTGGTGTATTCTCTTCGTCCACAGGTCCCCCTGAACGACGACTTGCAGAGCATGTGGGCGCCCGACTACCACAAGATCGCGCCGTCGTCGGCACTCCTCCAGCTGGGCATGGCGTTCAGCTTGATCGGCCTCTTTGCGTTCGCCGTGGCCGAGACTCGTCCCGATGCACCCGCTGTACGTGCAGAATTGAACGCTCGACCCTGCGAGCTTGGCTGACGTCTATCTCCTTTCCCTCGCTCAAACGAACCCGTTTCTCCCGAACTCACTCTCTCGCTCGTCCCGCATCTCCTACAGCTTCCCCGCGCATACCCCTACGACGGCCTCGTCAAGGAGCTCTCCGGCACCGACGACCCCCAGTTCGCCGTGAGTCGCGTTGTCCGGCCTTTCCAGCAGACTCATCGCAACTCACGCTGCTTCGCTTCACAGGCCCGGACGGACGCCGAGAACCAGGTCGACGAGTAAACGCCTTCTTTGTCAGCGAGGCTTCATGTGTGTCGAGCTTGGGAGGTGGTCAAGAAGGCGATGTAATCTGCAGTTTCCGTTTCTCCTTCTTTCGTGCGCTCTCTCCTACACCGCACGCTGTTGGTTCTCTCGCTCGAGGCTCGATGGCGAATGAACAGAGCTACACGATGCAAGATGGATGGTGCAGAGAATGAAAGTGTCTGTGATTGAAACGAATCTAACCCGGAAGAACAGGCGGAGCGTGAAGAGGCAGAAAGAACGAAATGCAAGCGGTCGTGAGGTGTATGAGTGTCCGTCCGGGCGTTTTACTCGAGCCCGAGCACCTCGGCAATGACGTTGTTGACGAGCGTCTTCTTGTCTCCCTCGATGCGGACGCCATACGCCGCCTCGAGCGCCTCGCGCACCTTCTTCTTCGTGACTTGGGTCAAGTCGGCCTGGCGAAGGTACTCCTGGACGTCGTATGCAATCTGTTCGTCGGAGGGGAGGTGGCCGTGCTGGCGGAGCGGGGCGGGGGCGGGCGAGGCGGCACGCGAAGGCGACTGCGAGAGCGAGACGAGCTGGTCGCCCGAGCGGGAGTAGGTGTGGCTCGGGCGAGCCGGAGCCGCATAGTCGTCGTAACTCGCCGAAGGGTACATGCCAGCTTGCGCGAGGGCGTTGGCGGCGAAGTAGCTCGTCGTCGATTCGCGGCGCCCGCCGAGCGTGCCGGGATGAGGCTGGTAGCCCTGCAACGAGGCGAGCTCGTGCTGGCTGAGCACACCGATGCTCGGCGCGCCGCCAAAGTGCTGCTGGCTTGTGGACCGCGCGTGGAACTCGCCCGAGCGGTATGGCGAGATGTCGCGGGCGGAGGCCGCTCCGTACGGCTGACCGTACGCCGACGCCGCCTCGTGTTCGCGCTTCGACGCCTCGATGATCTCGCCAATTGACTCGTTGTCGCCCTGCTGCCACAGCTCCTCCTCGAAGGCGGACCACTTCTGAAGCGGGATGCTGGCGGGGTCGAACTTGCCCTCGTCGTGCACGAGCAGGCGCTTGCCCTTCTCGCCGACAATCTCGCGCGTCGAACCCCACGAGAAGTCGTCCATCTGCCAGAACGAGACGATCGGGAGGACGAACGAGAAGAAGGGAATAGCGACGATGTAGACGAGCATCCAGCCGATGTGTTCGAACTTGCGGTGGAGGACGAAGATGATGACCTGGCAGCCGTAGATAGCTCCGATCATAATCAGGGCGAACGTCGGGAGCGGCTTGTGTTCGCCCGCAACCATGTAGATGAGCTGTCAGGATGAGACGAAGAAAACAAGTCAGCGTTGGCGGCAGTCGCGATTTCTCTATGGAGAACGCACGTAGACGATGTAGGCGACGGTAACAGGCGAGATGAGGGTTGAGGCGAGGTCTGCGGGAGGAGGAAGAATCAGCTGATAGACTCGCCGGTGAGAGCAGAGGAGCTGGGACGCACCGACGAGGATAACGAAACGCATCGAGAAGCAGCAGAAGCCGCAGAGTCGGTTGATGAAGAGGAGCTCGAAGAGGTTGTGGATGGTCGAGTTGATCCAGCGGCGACGCTGCGACATGAGGACCTTCCAGTCGTCGGGCGCGATCGTCTTCGCCTGGGCGTAGCGCGTGAACTTGAGCTTGTACTGCGAGAAGTGCTTGAGGATGACGGTCGTGAGGTATCGATCCTCGCCGAGCGAGAGCAGGTTCTGCGAGGGGGAAGGAGGTGAGCACCGCTACGGCGAGGAAAGGCAGCAGTGCGCACTTTGACGTGCAACGTCTCGACCTTGGTCTCGCCGTACTCGGCGAGGATGGCGTCCGAGATGAGGATGGGCTTGTGCTCGAGCGTGCGGATTCGATACATTGAGAAACAGCCGGGAAGACAGGTGACAGAGCCGAAGAGCGATTCGAAAGCCTTTGTCAGGTAGTGCGAGATGAAATACTCGTAGACTGCGCAAAAATGCGTCAGCCGTGTGTGAGAAGCGAGACTGCAACCGTACGCACCCTGCATCATGGTGGTCCAGGAGGCCTTGGCGTTCGCGAGCGAAGTCTCGCCGCACAGTCCGATGATCTTGCGGTCCTCGACGAAGCCGCCGACGAGGTAGTTCAGCGCGAGCGGGTCGACAGTCGTGTCGGCGTCGACCATCAGGAGGTACTCGTAGAAGGACGGGTTGACGCCGATGACGTTCTTGATCTGGTGGAAGATCTCGAGCTCGGCGGGAGCCATCGGCGAATCGAAGTGGACGCGGTTGAGGAAGCGCATGAGGAGCATCTGCGAGTCGCGCTTGCCGCGGTTGCCGGGACGGTGGCGCTCGGTAGGCTTGCCGACCTTGACGACCACGACGTAGGGAACGATGTGACCGCCCGCCTCGTGCAGTCCCGAGTACACCTTGGCCATGTTGTGCTGCTTGTCGCCGTTTCCGATTGAAAGGAAGCTGAGGGGCTCAGGGTCGATGGTCGGGTCGGCGCCGAGGATGTCGAGGACGATTTGCGGCGTTGGGCGGTCGTTGCCTGAACCGACGATCATGCCGTCGCAGATGATGAAGAGGAGCTTGCGCTTGTCGTCGTACTTGAGCTTGGTGAGCGAGTCGATGCAGGCGCGGAGCGAGTCTTCGCCTTCGGTGTAGCACGGGACCTGGCAGATGACGAACTTGTCGTAGTCCTCCGGCTTGCGCTTGCGGCCGAGTTGGAGTGCCGCGAGGAACTTGGAGCCGACGATGACGACCATGAGGCACGAGAGGACGATCAGGAGGTACTGCGAGAACTGACACTTGGCGGAGTTGCGGTTGTCGACCTTGCCGATGAAGAACAAGTTGCGCATGCAGATCTGCTGTCGCTGGAGGACGTCGGCCGGCAAGTTCAGCGAGTGGAACGAGCTGGAGATGTCGGTGCCCGCCTTGGTGCGGAAGAGGTCGACAATCGCGTCGGACATGAACTGGCGCGACGTGCCGGCAGGAACTGCTGCGCCATCCGGGACCTTGATGCCGCCGCCGCCGTTCTGGATATAGTCGGAGAAGTCGTAGACGTTGCCGTCGAGAATGGCGAGGTTGAGGCCCTTCTTGTTCGCCTCGCTCCTGATCGTGCCGGGCGAGTAGCCCATGAAGCCCTTGCGGTAGTTGTACCGCATGTAGACCATGGCTGCGCGCGAAGGCAAATGTCAGCAAGAAGTAATTGAGAGAATGGAGGCGGCACGCACTCTCGTAGTACCAGTCGGGGCGAACATCGGTCGTGTAGGCGCGGAAATCATGGTACTTGGCGACCTGCTGGATCGACGAAGACATGTTGGCCGACTCGAGGGTGATCCAAGGGCTGACGCTGCCGTCGACGCCGTTGCAGAGCGCCGAAACTTGGACCGGGAAGTAGTCGGTCAAGTCGCGGCCGCCGAGCTTCTCAATGGTGGTCTGCCGCACAGCATGAGTCGATCAGCGTAAGCTTCTTGCGTGATGATCGGGAGGCTACGTACCGTTGGAATGACGGAAGGACCGGGAATGTGCCGCGGGGCGAATGACGAGAAGTCGAAGACTTCGCCGCGGATGGCGACGAGCATGTGCGAGGGGTCGTTCGTATATGAGTGATCGTTGAGCTCTTGCGTGTTGTAGACGTGCTCAGTCGGGCACTGCGAAAGGGCTTTGCGTCAGTAAACTTGAAGTGGCAGTCGTGCGAAAGGAGCGCACGATGAGGGGACCAAGGACAGCGATGACGAAGATGGCGGAGCCGCAGAGGAGCCAGATGAGGATGCTGGGTAGCTCAAGGCATCAGTAGAGAGGATGCGTGTGACGAAAGACGCCAGGCAAACTCACTTGATGAGCAGCTTCTCTCGCCAAGCCATGCGGACGTCGCGCCTCTTCATCCCGCCAAACCAGCTCAACAATGGCGATGGCACCCACCAGGTGAATAGCCAGGTGAGCGCGACCCACCGCTTGCGAGCGGGGCTCATGCGAATGACCTCGACCGTCTCCTGACCCTCCTTGCCGTCCTTCGACATCATCTCCTGCTTCTCCGGCATCCCTCGCGAGTCGAACATGGGTCGCGACGAGGTGTAGCCGGAAGGGGCGAGCGACTGCTCCTCGTCGACGAGCTGATTTGCCGGGTTGCTGAAGTAGTCGTCCTCCCCGAGGTACTCCTTGCGCTCGTACTCGTACTCGTCGTCCTCGAAGGCGGATGCGCCTTTACGGTCGACTAGCGGGAGCGCCGCCGTCGAGGTCGTCTTGGCGAAGTCGTCGTTGTAGGCGCCGAGAGTCGGTGTTTCGGGGAAGGCGTAGGGAGAGTACGGGTCTTCGGCCAAGGTCGTCGCTGCCGAGCGCGTCATGATTTCTCGGATGTGCGCCTGCTCTTCAGGCTCCTCGGCGCGGAGGAAGTCCTCGAGGTAGCGGAAGGCGGCGTCGCTCAGGAAGACCTTGGTCTTCCCGACAGCCATCTCGCGATCGCTGAAACCAAGCAGCTCGCGCACCTTGACCGCCTTGTCGCGGTACATGAGCGCGCCGAGCGCCTGCTGTTCCTCTGCCAGCACCGGCAGCTGCCCATACCGCTCCCACCACTCGCGGATCTCGAGGTTGACGGCCCACTCGCCCTGCAACCGCTTACCGAGCTCGGCGAGCCCGAGCGCGCGGATCTGGTGTTTGAAGAGCTTGGTGTCGACCTGGTTTGGGAGCTGCGCATCGTTCGGTCGGAGGCAGAGGACGAACCATGAGCGGCTGGTTGCGAGGGTATTGAGGAGGAGGGTGATCGAGTCGTTGACTTCCTGCACAACCGAGCGAGTCGGACCTTGCGCCGCCTCGTCGCCGACTGCCGCTTCCGCCTCTCCGCCCGCACCGGTCGAGTCGCTGAACGGGTTGCGTCCGCGCGGACGACGAGTCGACGGTGCACGCCGTGGGCCAACCTTCTGGCTCGCGGCGACGAGAGTCTGCTCGCTCCGAGGGTGGACCTCAGTCTGGAGGGCACCGCTGGCGAAGAGCTGGCGGATGAAGGAGAAGCTCGATCCGCCTGTCGAGAGCGCATCGCGAGCGCCGGGAGTCGAGCGGCCATCTGCGCCGACTCGAGGAGCCGAACCGCCGAGGAGGGTGACGAAGTTGGGCGATACGGCAGCCGAGTTGTCGGTGAGGAAGTTCTCGGTTGAGTAGGTCGCCTGCCCGTCCCAGTGCGAGACGAGGAAAGTGCCAGGCCGGCCCTGCGCTTCGTCGCCGTCACGCGAGGAGAAAGACGGGTGGTTCGACCAGCGCTTCGACATGGCCTTGAGCATCGTCGCGTCCGTCTTGCCTCGCCGCCGCGATTGGTCGTCGACGATGTGGACGAGGCCGCCAGGCATGTGCGTGAGGAGGCGGACCGTCTCGGCGTTGCTGGTGTATCGTGCATCCAAGCCGGGCAAGCTGAGCTCCTCCGCCTTGTACTCGGCCTTGTTCGCCTCGTGCAGCTGCTCGAGGATGTATTCCTGCACACGCTCGGCCGCGAGGTTGAAGCAGAACGCCTCGACGCCGAGGCCGTCGCGGTGAGAGGTGGCGTGCTGAATCGGGCCGGGGAAGTCGACGAGCGAGATGAAGGTGGTGAAGTCGTCGCGGCAGAGCTTCTCGTTGAGGAACTCGCCGATCCAGCTGAAGACGAGGCCGTACAGCGTCGCAGCAAGGTCGTCCCTGTTCGCTGCTGCACCCTCCGCATCGAGGAAGACCTCGCACACCTCGCCCCCGACGAGCGTCGACTTGTTCGTCAAGGCGTACTCGAGTTCGGACGAGTCGACGCCGAGGAACTCGGCAGCCGTCTCGAGGACATGCACATTCTTGATGACGGCCGAATCCGCGTTGCGCGAGCGGTCCATGTGGAAGTCGAGGTTGCCGAGGTGCAAGATGGCGGCGAGGACCTGGCAGATTGACGCGACCGCCTTCTTCGGGAACCCGACCGCTTTGAACGCCTCCTTGAGCTGGCTGAAGCGGGTCGCGTCGGACTGGACGGACGAGGCAGACGAGCGAGATTGGGCGAGGAAGCGGAACGAGGTGTGGGCGTCAAAGTGGAGGTGTTGGCGCTCTTCTGGCCCTGCGCCGGCGACGAGATAGTGGAAGGCGTGGAAGTTGCGCTCGCCCGCTGGGGTAGACGCCACGCGCGACTTTTCGAGCGAGTACTCGAGGCCCTTGAGGCCCATCAATCGACCCTTCTCGTTGAACTGCAGCTCGGTGTAGCGTCCGAACCGCGATGCGTTCGAGTTCGAGATGGTCGAGGCGTGACCGAACGAGTCGAGGATGAAGAAGGCGGCGGGAATCGAGGTCGAGAGTTTCGAGCCCTTCTTGCCGGTTGGCGGGGCGGCGATGTCGATGAGCGCCTTGAGGACCTGACGAGACGTTTCAGTCTTGCCCGACCCCGTCTCGCCGCTACAGTCGACGCAACCCAGTCAGCTGGACTTCCTACACCTGGGAGCGGTCTCGCAACGCACCTGAGCACAATCGCCTGATCCTGCCCCGTCCTGCACATGTGATAATACGCCCTCTGCGCCGTCGCCCAAACATGCGGTCCCAGCCTGCCCCTGACTCCATCCGCACCGGTATCCGCATACTCAGCCCTCCAGTCCGCCAACGCCTGATCGCTCGTCGCATGCACAAACTGGAACGGGTTGACTGCGAGTGTGACGCGAGGGGTGATGTGCGTGTAGGGGAGACCTTCGAGCAGGCGCGCGCGGAGGAAGGGGACGAGGTCGTCTGTTGAGAGGGAAGGGATCGAGGGAGGGAGGGAGGCGAGGTCCGGGCATGAGATGGGATCGAGCTCGACTTCGTTCCCGAGCGCAGGGGACTTGAATGGGTTGTTGGACATCCTGGACGGACGAACAGGGCGCGCGAAGCTGCGTGCGAGGAGGGGGACGCGGGCGCAAGCGAATGGAAGGGGTTCAGTGGTGCGTCGGCGATCTGACGCGACAACGAGGACAGCGCACCTCGTCTGAACCCTGCCTGGTCCTCTGCGACTGCCTAATGCACCTGCTGATCTACTCGGCGAGGCGCGGGAGGGGTGTGGTGGCGCGGAGAGGTTGGTCGAGCGACGAGGGAGCCGAGGGGAAGGGGGACGGACGCTCGCAGCGAGTGCTTGCGCTCGAGCCGGTCCAAGCGGTCTCTGAACAGCCGTGCAAGCCTAGCAAGACGCGAACACCACGCAAGCAAGCCGTGCGGGCGAGGGGATGCAGCGGACAGCAGCTCGCCAAGTTGGACGACGGACGTCTCGGGTCGGAATTGGCGGCGGCGTCAAGTTTGCGATGTCAATACAACAGGGAGCGACACTTGATGGATCGTAAGAGAGTAGAAACAATGAACGGGGGATGTACGGCACTGCAAGAGAGAAGAATCCGGAATCAGGCGCGGAGATTTGCGAGCGGTCGTCAAGTGTATGGAAGAGGCGGGAGCGACAACGACGATGTTGCGGTCTGTAAGGGCGGGCTCATGCCGAGGTGTCCGCCTCCGTGGCCGTCGACGAGGTGATGGGGCACGGCGGGCGGGGCAGACTGCAACCCGTTGCTGTGCGTCGCAGGCGAGTCGTTAGACCTTCGTTGCTGGTGGCCGCTCGCCGAGTCGGTCCGCTTGGCGTGCGACGACTCTTGCGACGGCGCCAGTGCGTGATTCTGCGGGCGGGCGGAGGTGAGCGCGTCTTCTTGGCGATAGGGATCGTTCGAGTGGGCAGCACGCACCCTGACCCGACAGTGCCTCCGAAGGTTGGACATGACCGCGAACCCTCGATTGCACGTGACGCAGGTGAACGCTGTGAGAGTGGGCAAAGACAGGGTTCGGTCAGTTCCAGAGCGCCTCCCGGCCAAGCACACACCGAGCGCGCGGGAAAGAACGCACGTTTTTCCTTAGTGTGCGTGAGCTGGTTGGGACGAGGAGGGAGAAAGAAAAGTGGAGGGTTGTCGAAGAAAAGATCAGCGTCAGGGTCTCGCAAGGGGGGAGATCTTCTCCCGGACAAGAAGCCGGCGACGCACGATGTGGGTCGCGAGCGCACTCGGCCGCGCAAACTTCTGGTCGCACTCGCTGCACTGGTACTTGCGAGTCGCGGCGTCCTTCGGCTCCTTGCGTTTGGGGGTGCCGCTCGACCCGCCCTGCTGTCCCTGCCGCGCCGACGAGCTGCCAAAGCCGTCCTCGAAGCCGTTCCGGGGGGCGTCCGCAGCGTTCAAGTGCGGGGCAGATGGCGCGAGAGGGGTGATCGACCGCGGGTGGGAGAGCGACATGGCGGTCGACGGCCCAGGGATCGCGTTGGCGTCCGTCGTCGCGGCGTGCGGCTGCGGCGGGCCGTACCGCGCCATGGCCGGGTTCGAGTGGTCTATCGGCGCCTGGCCGTAGCCTGCCATGCCGTACGCAGGCGGGAGAGACTGGGCGATCGACGGGAGCGAGAGGTTGAAAGGCGGAGGCCGGTACGCATCGTTCGACGAGAGGTGCGCGGGCGGGGTGTCGCCTGGCGTCGCCGAGTGAGAGCTCGAGTACGAGTGTTGCTGGGCGTAAGGAGCGTACGAGTCGCTGCGCGGATACGGCTGCTGGGCATAAGTAGAGAGAGCGGGAGTGACCGGTTGCTCGTACTGTGCGCCGGCTGGCTGCGAGCTGGGCGCGTCGATGGGCGGGAGGTGGTAGGGCTGGTAGGATGCGTGCTGGCCGTGGTTCTGCCACCCCGTGTACGCAGCGAGCGCCGACGGTTGCGAGGTCGGGTAAGGCACGGGGGTGGGGAGGTGTTGGGTCGGCGTGTACGTCGCGTACGGCTGCTGCTGCTGCGCGTGCTCTGCCGTGTGAGCACCCCCGTTCTGCGCCGCATGTCCCTCGTACCACCGCCCGGCCTGCCCGCCCGCCGCCGCCGCCGAGTGAGAAGCGTGCTGCTGCCATGGCTCGTACGAAGTCGTCGACGCGCCGGCGGCCTCGACACGCTGTGCGGGCATGGCGTGGAGTGGCTCGGTGGTGAGCAGACCGCCGTCAGCCTGGTGCTGGGTGGGCAGCTGCTGGGGCATGAGCTGCTTGGGCTGGATGTCGAACGCGAAGGATGCAGACGGCGAGGCGAGCGACGGCTTGTGCTCGTCGGTGCCCAGCATGCGGGTGCAGGGTGGGTGAGAGTGCGTGTGTAGGCGTGAGCGTGTGTGTGTGCGAGTCTCAGCAGAGCAGTGCGCTCCTGCGAGCGTGCGAGCGAGTGACGGCGGGTGGAAACCCAGGCGAAGGCCTCGAACTCTTCGATTGCGCCTCGCATCGTCCCCTCCCAGCCAGTCAGAACGCGACTCCTGCCGCGCATCTTTTCCCGGCGATCGCAACCTTCTTGCATGGCAGCGCGCACTACGATAGCAATCCGCTCGCAACAAAGACAACTCCCGCAACTGCCGCACTCCAGCCAGCGAGTATCGCAGGGTCGACGGCGTGGCCCTTGACAGCTGCGGAAGACGGGCTCGGGGCCGAGGAAGGCGCAGAGGGAGATGACGAGTACGCGGAAGAGGCGGACGAGCCGGAGGAAGGTGCGGAGGAAGAGGACGAGCTTGCCTTTGAGGTCGAGGATGAGCTGCGAGTGTTTGAGTGACAGTGATGTCAATTCTAGTCAGTCACCAGCCACAGGAGCGATTCGCAAGCGACGCACCTCGATCCAGCTCCGCTCGAAGCAGACGGCTGACTTGCCGACACAGCAGTCGTGACACTTCCCGCGCCCGCGATCCTGCCACACACAAATCCCAGCATCAGTATCCAGCCAGTCAGAAGCGAGCGCAAGGACGCACGAGGTAGGGACGTTGTTGAGGCAGTTGGTCGCGCCGGGCAAAGGAGTGGTGATTGCGCGAGTGAGGGAGAGGGCTTTCCCTGATCCGTCAGGGAGGAAGCCGAAGAGCTGTTCATCCATGTCAACTGTCAGCAAGAGGGAGTTTGGGCGAGGAGAAGAGGAAAAACGCACCTCTACAACTTCACCCTCCTTGATCTGCAACTCAAAGTCGTACTGCTGCGCATCAGGCGTCTCAATCCCCTCCAGCGCCAACACAGGGCTGTACTTCTCTGCCTCGCTGACGGTGGTCGTCCCGGACCGAAGCGAGTCCGGCACTTGAGAGCTTGGGAGGAAGAGGACGGAGAGGGGGCGGGTGTTGGAGGTGTCGAAGAAGAAGAGGTTGGTTTGCTCGCACTGCGCGCATTGAGTCAAAGCTTTCAGCGAGCCGCACGCCTCCGACCAGCATCTCCCCGCGCCCGACTCGTACGCAGCGGAGAAGCGGACCCCGGCCCAGCGCCTCTCGACGCACCTGATGAAGCGACCCAGGGATCGTAGCGCGCATCGACTGCAGCTTCGCGAGTGCTGGAGTCGCGGAGAGGGCTGCGAGCGCCGTCATGGCGAGGCGGGCGAGCATGCTGGGTTGGTGTTGGTTGATAGCGGGGAAGGAGGAGGAGGGAGGGTGAGGTCCGCCGGGGTTTGCTGGGTGCTTCGTTGGCGAAGATGAGGAGCTTAGGTGGCTCGCACGACGACGAGCGAGACGCCGGAGAGTGCAGAGAGGAGAGGAAGGAGAGAGGAGATGAGAAACCGGTCGAGATGAAAAGGTTGAGGAGGAGCAGGTCGTTCGCTCGCTTCCTCCAACCGTTCGCAAGCTGTCCAAGTCTTCGATTCAGAAATTTGCTCTCAGCGCACGCGACACTGGCGGTCCGTCGGCTCGGGACTTGGCTCGGTCGCGGGGAGCGAGGAAGCGACGTCAACGTCTCTCTGCTCGCTCAGCTCACCAGCGCTGCTCTGTTTCCTTCCGCACACTCACATCGACATTAGAAAGGATGTCGTCCGCACACTTCCTCGCCAACCGTCTGTTCAGCGTCAAAGGACTCGTCGGTGCGCACCTTCTGACCTTCTCAGCCTCTCGACGTCGACTCGTGTGCTGATCCCTCCCTCGCCCTGGACAGCACTCGTCTCGGGTGGAGGAACCGGTATCGGGTTGATGGCCACGCAGGCGTTGGCGGCGAACGGAGCCCGCGTCTACATTTGTGGGCGGAGGAAGGAGGTCCTTGACAACGTTGTCAAGACGTACTCGAATGGTATCGAGGGAGAAATCATCGCGTGAGTGTGCACAACGGTGTGTGGGAAAGGAGGCAGGCTGAGCTAACCAACTCCCGCCGTCGCGCAGCCTCCAAGGCGACGTTACGAAGAAGGAGGACGTCAAGCGCCTCGCCGACGAGATCAAGCAGCGCGAAGGTGGCCTGCACATCCTCGTCAACAACGCCGGTATCTCTGGCGAAGTCACCAAGATGGACGACAAGATGTCTGTCGAGGAGTTGAGCCAGAAGTTGTGGGACGAGCAGACCGTCGAGGGATGGGACGACGTCTTCCGCACCAACGTCCACAGCATCTTCTTCATGACCGTCGCCTTCCTCCCGCTCCTTCAGAAGTTCACGAACGGCACCGACCCGGCCGGACGCGCGATCTACGAACGTTACCAGTCGGTAGTGATTAATACCACATCCATTTCGGGACTTATCAAGAAGGCGCAGAACCACTTTGCCTGTGAGTTCGTTGTCCCGCGAGATCGGTTGGTGGAAACTGATCCCCTTCTTTCGATAGACAACGCCTCGAAGGGCGCCGCCAACCACCTCCAGCGCTTGATGGCGACCGAGTTCGCGCACACTGGGTGCGTGTCTCTCGTTCTGACTGGCAATGACCCGCTGACACGGCCGATTCCTCCAGCGTGCGCATCAACTCGATCGCTCCAGGCGTCTTCCCGTCAGAGATGACGGCGGGAGACAGCGATGACAAGAACAAGTCTTCGCTCGAGGACTTTGACCCTTCGTCGCTCGGCGTGCCAGCTGGTCGCGCAGGAAGTGAGGAGGACATGGGCGGCACGATCCTTTACCTCGCGTCTCGGGCGGGCCAGTAGTGCGTACACGTCCTCCTTTCCCCTGCTTCCCTGCGTACTGACTCTCCTCGCCTTCGTTTGCGCCGCAGCACCAACGGCGTCATTCTCCCCGTCGACGGCGGTACGCTGTCGACCAACCCGTCTGCGTACTAGGCGTCCCGCACGCTCGCGCTCATAACCTTGTGTACAGACGCTGGCCTATGCAGCCAAAACGAGCGTAGCAATGTAGCAGTACCTTCTACCTTTTCACTAGGAGAGAGGTCGGCTTAGGAAATAGCGTGAAGCGAGAAAGCGATCCAACCGTAATCCAGCCACAACTGATCTTGATGGAGGTTGCCAGCGGCTCCGAGCTGAGCAGCGCTGTGCACAGCCCAGAGCAGAGAAGGCGGAGGTATCGTTGAGAACCGGATTGCGAGGGAACGGGGAGAGTACAGGTCGACTGCGAGGTTCTGTACAGACAGGTGCGAAGGGGATGCTGGGAGGCCTGGACGGAAGGGGTAGCATCATCGTCGTGCGGCTTGTTCTTGAAGGATGTCGCGGAGAGAGCTACAGGATGGACAAGACGTCAGGGGCGAAGTCGACGAGGAGAGGGTTGCGGACGCACTTCTGGGCGGTGGTGATCTCGCCTTCCAGGTACTGCAGCGGGAATGCAATCTGAAGCGTCAGTGGTACTCTCACTGAGCATCCTCCAAGCGCAAGAGACGCCCACGCACCTTTGCCCGCTTCTCGAGAACCGACACCTCCTCTGTCGACTCCTTCATCTTGGCCCTCAGCGTATTCTCGATGTTGTTCCTCGACTCCTGCACGAACCTGCACGTCGTCCAGCAACTCAGCTCAGCCAAATCTCTCTTTGCAAGCGAGCGAAAGGACCCACATCCTCCCCACACCGCGGTAGACCTGCGTCTGCGACGGGTCGCGCGGTAGCTGCTCGATCTCGCGCAGCGTCAACGTCGTGAGCTTCTTCTCACGCTCGCGGGCGTTCAGCTGGGCGCGGATGGCGGAGAGCTGTCGCGACGCCTCGACTTGTTGCGCCTGGAGCTGCACGAGGACCTGGGCGACGCGAGCGGCGGATCAGCTAGCGTGCGAGGCGGAGTAAGAGCAGTCGCAAGCACCTGTCGAATGTCTTCTGCCATCTTTCGAGCGGGTGAAGGCGTGTCGTGGGAGCCAGGAGAGCGAGGCGAACAGGTTGCCCAGGACGACACCGCTTCCACCGCTTCACGGGACTCAGGAGGACCGCTGGACCTGCGCAGGACCACTGTGAGTACCCAGGATCCTACCAAGCCAACCCGCTTGCCCGCCCGCACCGTCGTTCTCTCCGCTGATCCCAACTTCTCCCAGATGAACTCGCTCGTCGCGACCATCCGCACAGCAGCGCGCCTGCAGCCTGCCCGAGCATTTTGCGCACCGGCACACACGTTATCTCGGGCGTACTCGACCCCCGTCACCTCTCCCGACCCCTCCTCATCCTCCTCTCCCTCGCCCTCACCATCTGCCGACTCGGCACATGCTCGCCTCGACGGTGTCATCCAGCAAGTGAAGGAGGCAGCACGGGAGCGGAATCACCTGCGACCAGGTGTCCGCGGGAGCCAGAACAGCTCCGCCTTCCCTCGCCAGCCCATCTCCTCCCCCTTTGGCCGTCGCACCCCCAGCTACGCTAGCCGAGGACCCGCCTACGACGCCGCCCAAGTCGATTTCGGCTACATGAGCTCGTCGCCTTCGCCCAAGTCGGTCCAGGTCCGCCCCTCGACGCCGGACGAGATCTGGCGCCTCGCGACTCCCGTTCAGTACTCCCCGCCTACGACGACCAACTCTGCCCGGTCCGTTCCAGTCAGGGACGGCGACGTCGCTCGCGCGTACAGGCTGCTCAACAAGACGCTGAACGAGAACCAGGTTCGGCAGAGGTTGAGGCAGCGCGATCGGTATGAGCGGCCGAGTGACAAGCGGGTCAGGACCAACAGCGAGAGGCACAGGCGCAAGTTCAAGATTGCGGTGGGCAAGGCGGTCGCGGCGGCGATGCGGTACAAGGAACTGTAGAGCGGCGGAGGCGTCCTGTATCGCTCCCTTTGCATTCAGTCGTTCTCTTTCTTCTCTACGAGCGTCCGACGAGAGACGGATGCCAAGAACGACTGTACGTGTAGATTGCAAAGTGACGAAGGAACCGGGACTTGCGAGAGAAAAAGGGGATTTTGCGGTTCCAAAACGACGCCTCCTCCCTTCCTCGCTTTCCGACTAAACCAATCAAGCGAACTCTCACTCGTCACCTACGAGCTCTCCTCCTTCTGCTTCTCCTCAGCCGCCTTCTTCGCCCTCGTAGCCCTCGTCTTGACTCCCTCAACAACCTCCTCAACCTTCTCCTTGCCCGCCGCGGCGACAGGCGCGACCTGCTCGTCGACGACTTGCTGAGCCTTTGCAGAGGCGGTCGAGGCGGCGTCTTGAACGCGTGCAGAGGCTTTTTGGGCCGTGGGAGTCGAGGCGGCGGCGGGGAGAACGAGGGAGAGGACTGCGCGCGCGGCGATGAGCGGACGTCAGTGAGGACTCGAGTTGACAAGAAAAGAGCGTGAGGACGCACGGACACCGATCATGCCGATGATAGACGCAAAGACGACGCCGAGCACTCCGCCCGTGAGCGGGTTCTCGACGAGCGCCTTCTTCGGGTCGACGACGGCCTCGTCAAAGAACTGCTGAGCCTTGAACCTCGCCCACCCAACCGGATCAACCTTGTAGTCCGGCTCGTCGCCCAAGTTGAGCTTCTTCATCGCCTTCTCCGACTCGGCTTCCTCCTTTGCCGTCTCAGCTGCCTCTTGCGCCGCCTCGAGCGGCGCCTTGATCGCGTAAGTCTCGGAGACGAATTGAGCGAGGTCAGACTCGGAAGTGCCGATGTAGATGTTGTCGAAGAGGATCGAGTCGGTCATCGACCACAACTCGAAACCGACGCCGGCGATGGGAGTGAGGTCGGCCGGCGTGAGGTCCTCGTAGTAGTCCGGGTTGCTGCGCGCGTGAACACCGTCAGGAATTGTTTGTAGAGGAGAAAGCGAGAACGCGAACGCACGGGATCTTGCGAGGCTTCCACTGCCCCTTGTACTCGGGGTTGTCGATCAGCGGCGCGAACCACTTGCCCTTGTACTCGGCTGCATCGTCAAACCGAAGAACCAATCAGTGCCTTCGCTCGAGGAGAGCACACAAGGCCGGAAGCGAATCGAGCGAGACGCACGGTTAGGAATCTCCGGCCTCTTCCACGGCCCGCACCCACTGACGCCCTCGCACCTCGGGTTCGGCACCATCGGCGCAATCCAATCACCATCGTCCTCGTCGTCCCACTCCTCCGGCTTCTGCGCCTCGGGGTCCGGAACAGTCGTCGGCTCATCCTCGAGCCAGTCCTCGGGCTTCTCTGCGTCCGGGTCGGGAATGGACGCAGGCGCGTCTTCGTCCCAGTCTGCGGGCTTGACGGCGTCCGGGTCGGGAATCTTGGGCGTCTCGACCCAGTCCTCGGGCTTCGAGTCCGAGGGGTCGTCCACCTCCTTGGGCGGGTTGAAAGGCGGCGCAAAGTCTTCGAGCAAGGAGCCCGACTTAACTTTCTCGTCGTTGATGCGGATCTCGTAGGTCTGGTCGGGGCGGATGAGGAGCGTGTAGAGCGCCGTGGTCTTGGAGAGCTTCGGAGAGGGCGGGGCCGCCAGGTGCTTCTCCTCGACCTCGCCCGAGAGGGGGTTTCGGTGGCGGACAATGAGGTGAACCTTGGACGTGCTACCGCAGCGATCCGGACCGAACATCAACGTGCTGAAGCGGGTCAGAAACGGCAAAGTGTCAGTTGGCTGAGACGGCGTAGAAGAGCGAAACCGTAGCGTACTACGGCGTCTTGTCACTGAACTCCTCGGCGTGGATGCCCTGCACGTGTGAATGACGCCGTCAGTGACCAGCAAGCAGGGTGAAAGGAGACAGAACTCGTGACGCACCTCATCGCTGTCCGTCAAGAGCTTGATGTACGCTCCTCCGCAGTCGAGTCCCTTCTGCAACTTGACCTCGTACGAGACGATCAACGTCTTGCCCTCGGGGTCGAACACCTCGTCAAAGGGCGCCGAGATGGCGTGGTGCGCGGCCTTGGTCTTGAGGACGAGACCTGCGTCGCCGGGGATGCCGGGCAAGACGGTGGGTTCCTCGACGCTCCACTTGCCGACGTACGAGAAGACCTGTGCGCATTCGACGGGAACTCGTCAGCCCTCGTGCGAGACTGGGCGGGTGGAACGCTGCGGAAACGGCGGTTCGGACGCACCTCGCCTTGCTTCTCCTCCTTTGTCGCGCGCGAAGGGCTCCAGCGGTCTCCGATGACGTCTGAGGAGAACTGCTCGACAAAGACGCCCTGTACGGACGAGGGCTGTGGGAGAGCGAGGGTTAGGACGTGGAACGGTCGAGTGGGGAGTCGCGCGAGGACGGACGGTGAACTGGGGAGCAGACTCTGCTGATACGAGCAAGGCGACGATGGCCGAGAGCGGCAGCAGTGCGTAGCGCATCCTGTCCAAAGCGAGCTGTTGTGTGAGAGATGCAACTTCAGGAGGAGGAGGGGAGCGATGTCGACACGTGTCGATGGGATTGCGCACTGGACTGCATGCACTTGCTGCTGTCCAGATTCCTGCAGTACTGGGCCAGCTTCCACCGCTTCACACGCTGGCCACTCAGACTCGCTCACTCGCTGCCCTCGCTCGCTGCTCACACACGCTCCTGCTCATCCGACGCTCTGCTCAACTCGCTCGTCTCGCTCGTCCTCCTCGACGTCACCTCGCCATGTCGTCCCTCCTCTCGTCCATCGCAGGTGAGCCCTCCCGCTCCCCTAGACGACGGCACGACTCACAGTCTTGGTGGACAGGCGCCTTCCGCGCACCCGCACCGCGCCAGCCAAAGTACATCTCGGCGAAAGAGGCGCAGGACATCGACGCATGGCTCATGGGCGGAGACGACAAGGGCGCATTCTCGCTCGACCAGGTGCGTCTCTACTCTCTTTCCACTCTCCAGAGACGCACGCTGACTCCCCGCGGCAGTTGATGGAACTCGCAGGCTTGTCGGTCGCACAAGCCGTCGCCCGCCTGTACCCTCTCGGACCGAAACTCCCGCCCGATGCGAACGGCGTCAAGCAGAAGCGTACAAACGAGCGCGTGCTGGTGTGCTGTGGACCCGGAAACCAGGGAGGGGACGGACTCGTCGCGGCGAGGCATTTGTGTGGGTTTCAAAGGGAAGGGGGCGAGAGAGGCTCGCGCTGACTGGATGACGACACGCAGACCACTTTGGCTATGCGCCGAGCGTCTTCTACCCTAAGGTATGCGTGGAGAAGCGCTTCACGCGAGGGAAAAGCTCGCTGACCTTTCCCTCTCGCAGGAGTCGAGCGGCGAGATATTCTACGTTCGTCCCATCTCTCCCTCCTCCCCGCTCTCCTCTGACGCCCAAGCACTCCCACAGCGCCTAAAGAAACAATGCGAGAACCTCGACCTCCCCCTCATCGCCCCTCCCGCACACTCAAGCTCCAGCTTCCCCATGGCCGCCGACGCGCAAGACGTCGCGTTCCGAAGGGCGATGGAGAACACGGATGTCGTGTTGGATTGCGTGTTTGGTGCGTGTGCCCCCGCCTCTTCCCTCGTTCCCTTCCTTCCGCTCAGGAGAGGAGGAACTGATGGACGAAGCTTGCTTGGTCGCATAGGCTTCTCCTTCCAGCCTCCCGCCCGCGCACCGTTCATCACCGTCCTAGAGGAGTTCAAGAAGACTACCAAGCCCATCCTCAGCGTCGACATCCCGTCTGGATGGGACGTTGTGGACGGAAACCCAGGCGATGGGTTCACTCCCGGTGCGTTCGGATGCTCATTCCTTCGGTCTCTCCTTCAGGAAGAGTAGTAGACTGATTCCGATATCTGGCGATCGCACAGACTCGCTCCTCTCGCTCACCGCGCCCAAACAAGGCGTCAAATCCTTCGTCGAAAGCGGCGGGAAACACCTTCTCGGCGGGCGGTTCATTCCCGAGTACGTCCCACGTCCTCTTACGTCTCGCTCCTCTCGAGGGACGGGAAGCTGACTCGACTCTGCGGGTGTTGTGCGGGAACAGCGAGTTGGCGGAGAGGTTTGGGCTGAATTTGCCCGAGTACCCGGAGGATGGGAGTCAGGTTGTCGAGTTGACTTGGAGGAAGGAGTAGAGCAGGCTCGTATTGCGCTTGAGGAGGAGGAGGGTCTTGAGGAGGGCGAAGGAGCGAAGGATCGAGGAGGAGAGTCGGCGGAATTGCGAGTTTGCCTCCGGTTGTTCCGCTCGCTTCTGCAAGTCCTCTACGAGACTGTTACGAGAGTGTACAGCAAGGCAAGCAAGCACCCCGAGCTGTTCGATGTAACCGATTCCTTCATCCTTGCTGCTCTTCCTCCGTCCGCTGCTCCTGTCACTCGCTCACACGCTTCCAAGACGGCCCAGATGGCTCGCCCGTGCTTGACAAGAGGCTCTGCACGGCTCGCAACTGCCGCGCGGACTCGCCCGAGCCCGCCGACGCCGCCTCCAGCTCTCGCCTCGTCGTCCTCATCGTCGAGCAGCACCCGTCGCCATGCGTCGTCCTCGTCCCGCCTGTCCGCCTGGACGACCGCCCTCCCTTCCTCAACCTCGTCCGCCATCCCAACAGCCAGCTCGAGCGTCCGCCTCGCCGATCCAGTCAAGTTGCTCTCCTCCGAGATGAACTTCCTCCGAGCGAACGTGACGTCCCTCCTCGGGTCGAAGCACCCCGCACTCGACACGATCGCAAAGTACTACTTCCAGGCCGAGGGGAAACATGTCCGGCCGATGATCATCCTCCTCATGAGCCAGGCGACGAACGGGATCAGTCCGAGGTGGGACGAGGTCAGGGAGCGAGAGGACGAGAGGGAGAAGGCGAGGAGGGAAGGGAGAGGGATGGGCGTTGATGAGCCCCTCGAGAAGGAGGAGGTCTTGCAGGATGAGAACCCGACCATGGTCGAGCGCGCGAGGGACCTCCTCAAGAACCCGCTTTCCGCCTTTTCTTTCCCGTCCGCCTCCTCCCCTTCGACATCCGATTCTGCCTCGCTCAAGATCCTCCCGACTCAGCGACGACTCGCCGAGATTACCGAACTGATCCACGTCGCTTCGCTCCTCCACGACGACGTGATCGACCTCGCCGAAACTCGACGAGCAGCGCCTTCCGCCCCTTCACTCTTCGGCAACAAGCTGTCGATCCTGGCAGGAGACTTCCTCCTCGCGCGAGCGTCACTCGCGCTCTCTCGACTCGGCAGCAACGAGGTTGTCGAACTCGTCGCGAGCGTCCTGGCCAACCTCGTCGAGGGCGAAGTCATGCAAATGAAGGGCAACATGCCCAATGCCTCTTCGACCACCTCTCCAACCGCAACCGCCGCCTCGCCCGCCTCCTTCTCCTCCCCGTCCACACAGAACCCCTCCATCATCCCCGCCTCCTCTCTCTCCGGCCGCGGCCCAACACCCGAAATCTTCCACCACTACATGCGCAAAACGTACCTCAAGACTGCGTCGCTCATCGCTAAGAACGCACGGGCGGCGACTGTCCTGGGTGGGTGCGGCGTCAAGCAGGGTTGGGCGGAGGGAGAGAAGGTCAAGGATATCGCGTATGAGTATGGACGGAATCTGGGTATTGCGTTCCAGGTGCGTGTCAAGACTCTGCGAAGTCGTGCTCGGTCATCGCCAGCAACCCGTGCAGTACTAATCTACGCTTCTCCCGCAGCTCATCGACGACATGCTCGACTTCACGGCGACAGCCGCAGACCTCGGCAAGCCCGGTGGAGGCGCAGACTTGAAGCTCGGACTCGCAACGGCGCCGGCGCTGTACGCGTGGGACGAGTACCCCGAGTTGGGCGAGTTGATCGAGCGCAAGTTTGAGCGCGAGGGGGACGTCGAGCGGGTGCGTCCGGCGTCTTCCGCTTCGTCGAGCGTGTCATGATGCTGACATTCTCGAGGTGGACGCTTGTGTCGTCGGTGCAGGCAAAACACCTCATCTTGCGTTCTTCCGGCGCCGCCCGCACCTTCACCCTCGCCGAGCAGCACTCGCAAGCGGCCATCGACGCGATCCGACGACTGCCCGAATCCGACGCACGAGATGCACTGGAAAAGATCGCGCGGGACGTCCTGACGCGCAAGAAGTGAACAAGAACAAAGACGGATCGGATCATAGACTCTTGGGAATAGATTCGGGATATCCGGAGGCGCTCTACAGCCCACCCTTCCTCTCTCGCACGCTCTCACCACGTATCGCAGCTCTCCTCCCTCGCCTGCACCCCGTCGTGTACCCTTGTTATATCCCGCTGCAAAAAGGCGCAGGCAAGAGCGCCATTGACCGACCCTCGCTTCCTTGTTTGTCGAGTTTGCCCAACATTTCTTCCCTTCCTCTCACTGCAGCGGGCGACTCGTGCCACGGAGCTCGGTGCGCGACCGTTGGGCGAGTCTGCGATCAACGACTCTTCTCCTCTTCCTCCTCGACGTTTCACTCTTGAACAGACTCCTCGCCATGGCTGCAGACCTCTCGCTGGAGGACTTGGTCTTGATTCTCGAACTGCAGAAGGCCGACATCGCCCAGCTTTCAGCCGCGAGGAAGGGCAAGTCGACCAGCCCAAACCAGGAGGAGGTGGCTTTCGACGTCTACCACGAGGAGCTCGCTCGACTTGCGCGGCTGTACGACGATGATAACATCGCGCACAGCATTGCAGCGGCCATCGCAACGGACACTCCGATCCTGGAGGCGTTGCTTGAGGAGGAGCGGCTGGCAAGGGAGGATCACGAGCTTGCTCTGCGTCTCGCGGCCGACGAACCCGATTCTGACGATGACTATGCGGTGTCGTACCGGTCCGCCGCACCTTCCGACCCCATCGCGTCCACCTCCGCCGGACCTTCGTATCTTCGCTCCCTCGAAACCTTCTCGCCAAAGGAGACGGCGACCTGCGTCATCTGCATGGAAGACTTCAAGCCGAGCGAGACGATCCCGGTCTACTGCAGCCTCAAACACCGATACTGCCGCGGGTGCCTCCGCGACCTCTTTCTCGCCGCCGCCAAGGACGAATCACTCTTCCCGCCTCGCTGCGACGGCTCCGTCATCCCACTGTCTTTTGTCCAGCCACATCTTTCGATCGAGGAGCTCGCCAACTACCGCTCCCGCATGCGCGAGTACTCGGTCGTCGACCGCTTTTACTGCGCGAACGCCTCCTGTTCCGCTTTCCTCGGTCCCGCCTGTCCCGTCAGGGTGAGCGCCCAGTGCGACAGGTGCGGACAAATGACATGCAGAGCGTGCAAAGCCCCTTGGCATGGGGCTTTCGGTCTTTGCGGCGCGAGTGCGGACGACGAGGCGGCGCGCGTCCCCGAGCGCGACCACCAGTGCAAGCGTTGCCCGCGGTGCAGGCGTATGATCGACCTAGCTACTGGATGCTGGCATGTGTGAGTCCTCTGCCTCTCGCCGCCTCTTCGGCAAGCAGCAGCGAGTGTCGAAGCGTCGACCTTCTCAAGCTCGTTTCCCTCTCCGCTGACGTTTGCCTGATGCCTACAGCACCTGCCGCTGTCGCCACGAATTCTGCTTCCTCTGCCTCGCCCAGTGGAAGACCTGCACCTGCGAGATTTGGGACGAGAGGCGACTTTACCGCGAGGCGCACCGCGACATCGCTCACGGCGAAGAGGGTGGAGACGTCGACCGTGATGACGAGGCGCTAGATCGGATGCTTCAAGGCATCGAGTGCAGACATGCGCGCTTCCGTCGCAAAGGAGGGTCCAGGTATTGCGACACTTGCGGAACTGTCGTCCGCCTGTTCCACTCTGTCTGCCTGCCATTCTTGTACGCTCGACGTGTATTGAAGGCGCTGACTCGTCTCCCTCACAGGCCTGCACTCGCTGCCATATCGTCCTTTGCCAGCGCTGCCGCCGTAATCGGTGAGGCTTGATCTCAAGGACAAAGGGAGTAGTCGGACCAACGAAAATCCTGCTTGCAACGTTGCTTGCTCTAAATTACGCGCTGCTGCAATGCGCGAACAAATAGAACTGATTGCGGGATGCGAGGAGAAAGGGAGACTACCAGGATACATGGCCCGCGCCCTCCTCGAAACGAGACCGGGCCGTAGATGGCACAACAGGGGAAAGGGAAAGGGGTTTACTGCTCGAGAATGTACGATAGATAGCTGGGGAGAAGCGCCGTGCGCCGCCGAAGCTACATGATGCAGCAGCCGACCTTGGACGAGCGACCCTCTTCGTCCTGACCTGCCTTCGGGTCGACGTAGATCCACCGCGGTCCGCACTCCTTTCCGTCAATGTCGATGAAGGGTTTGCCGCTGGGATCTTGGTAGTAGTAAGGCCGGTAGGGCGAGCCGAACACGCTGTTGTTCTCCCGCTGAGATCAACGAGAGGGGACAGAGTTAGCCAGATTGTCGTCGCGGGCGCCCGAGCACGAGAATCTGCTTCAGCGAGACTCACCAGTTGTGCGCGAGTTGGCTGCCGGACGTAGACGGCCGTCCCAGGACCGTCGTACGGGACCTTCTCGTTCCGCGAGCCCATGGGAACCGCGAGTTGCGGTGAAGACGTCCCGCTCGACGAAAAGGACCCGATCGGAGAGGTGTTGGAGGGAGACGTGCTCGGCTTGGTGTAAGGCTGGAGGTGCAGCGAGCCGGGCGAGAAGGAGGGGTCAATCGTCGAGAGGATGGGCGTGTGCCGGTCGTCCAGCGGAGAGATGGGCATGGGAATGGGGATAGCGGCGACGGTGGCCATGGTTGGACGTCGAGTGCAAGTGGTGGAAGGTATTCGGGAGGCAGGCGAGGGCGGGAGCGCCAAGGATTGACGAATTTGGAGTCGAGCGAAGGATGCGAGAGGAAGAGAGACGCCGTCGAAGCGGATGCACGTCGCCGGGCAGAGATCTGAGCTCTTGTAGGGTGAGCGAACAAAGCGAAAAGAAGGCTGGCGTCCTGAGCAAGGCGGGAGAGAAGGCAGGACGACCCTCCTCTTCCTCGCGAGGAGGCCCTCGCTTCTCCGTCGGGTGCTTGTTTGTCCAAACAAGGCGATCGCAGGACAAAGGCTGCGACCATATCCGAGCCTCCGCTCAGATCAGAGTTGCCTGCTCGGGAGCCAAGCGCTGTGTCGACTTCCCTTTGTCCTCCGCCTCGAGACGTCGCGCCTCCGCTGCTGACCCTACCCGGACCGGTGGTCGCGCGGCTCATACTGAGGGCTCGAGGCGTCGAAAGCGTCACTGGAAATGGGGTGCTGAGCTCGTAGAGGTGGTATCTGGACGGACGAACGGCGAGCAGAGTTCGAGAGTAAGATTGGCAGATGGACCAAGCGACCACCCCTCCCCTTGTCCTCTTCCTCAACGACCACGCCCGCTCGCTGCCTTCTTCCCAAAGCCCTGTTGCGTCAGAGAGAAGTAGGGGAAGCGCATCAGAAGCGGAAGGGGCGGAACAATCGGGACGGGCTTCGTCTGATACCGGCATGGCACGAAGCCATCGTCGGCGAACAGCCACGCGAGGGGAACCTTCACGCACCTTGAACGTCAGCCCGGAATCGGAATCCGAATCGTCGTCGTCGATCATGATGGTCGCGGGGGCGGCTTTACGGGCGGGGGCTGCGCGCTTCGCAGGCGCCTTGCGAGAGCCGCTGCGTCCGCTCGCCGTCGACCGCTGCGTCGCGGTGTCGTCGTCGAGCTCATCGATCTCCATGTCGTCGCCGCGCACCGTGTTCGAGCTGCCCATGGCGTCCGAGTCGTCGTCTTCCGAATCCGCAACTCGCTTCGCCTTGCCCTTCGCCTTCGGCTTGGCCTTGGACGTCGACGCCTTGGAAGTCGACGCCTTGGCCTTGCTGGCAGTCTTGGACGGGAAGTTGAGCTTGAGTTGGCCTTTCGAGGTCGTCATGGCCTCGTACAGGTCGTCCTCGTCGTCTTCGTCGTCCGCACGCTGCACCTGCGAGAAGGCAGTTCCCTTGCGCTCGTTGTAGCCTGATCGCATCGGCGTCAGTCAAAGTGCGAGCGGAATAGAGACGCTCGACGCACCTGGGCCGAGACCAAAGTCAACGGATTCCGGCAGGACGAGCGAGACTTGCGGGCGGGTTGCAAGCGCAGGACGCGGCGCTTTGGAGTTCTTCGGCTGCTCGTCCGGCATCAGCGGTCAGTCGCATAGTGTGAGAGCGGAAGACGCACCCGAAACTTCTTGAAGTTGGGGCGACCCGCCCATTTTGGGTCCAGGTTGATGTCGGTGCGAGGCGGAGGGCGCTGCTTGTGCTCGACGTCGAGCGTCTTGATGACGAACATGGCCTGCGTCGGACGCCTCCAGTTGTCGGGGTCCATGTCCTCGTCGTCGCTGTCGTCTGCTTGACGGCGAATGAGGCGCTCCTGGTCTGCCGAGATGAGGCGGTCGCGCTCGACATCCGAGTCCTCCTCTTCCCAATTCATGCGGTGATGGTCCTGTCGCGGCATGTGCTTGATGACGGGCTTGACGATCTTGAGGGCGTTGAAATCCTCGTTGAAGGCGCGATCGACCTCGGCGCCTTTGCGCTTCGTCGGCTTGATCTGAAGGAGCCGTGCGGCCTCACGCTCGCGAGCCTCCTTCTCGGCCTTCTTGAGCGCGGCCGCCTCCTTCTTGTTCTTCGGAGCGGGCGCTGGCGAAGTCTGCTCGGGCGCCTTGGACTTCTTGCGAGCCGTCCGAGAATCGTCTTCGCTCGAGGCCGAGGCACCTGGATCGCGACTGGCCGCCCGCGACCGCTTTTTCGTGGTCGCGAGAGGCGCATCGCCGGTCTTCTTCGTCGAACGCTTGTTCGCAGGTTCAGCGTCGTCCTCATCGGTGCTGCCGAGAGCTGGGCTCCTTCCCCTCTTTCGACGACCTGCCGCTGTGGCGCGTCCGCCGTCCTCGTCGCCCGCGCGACCCTTGCCCTTGCCCTTCTTCGCCGCGGCCTGACTCGCCTCCATCTCCTCGCGAGCGAGACGCTGGTCCTCCTCTTCGATCGCCTTGAGCCGCTCCTCGCGAGTCTTTTTCGTCCGCATGAGCTCCTCGTGCATGCTCTGCGTACCGCCACGGTCTTGCTCGGGCGAGTCGTCGCCGAGGAGGAGGTCGACTGCGGTCTTCTGGCCCGCACGGCGCCGCAGACGACCTGTCGCAGGCGGCGCCTGGGCCGGCGTTGCAGGAGACGCCTCCCGGCCCGCGTCGACTTCCATGGCAGCGCCGGCCGACGTGCCGGCCGAAGTCGAACCGAGGGTGCCGGTAACGAGTTCGCCGTCCATATCCTGCGTGAGCGGGCGCGAAGAGCCGGAAGCATCGTCGTCCTCGTCTTCGAAGAGGTTGTCGAGGATTGTGCGCCCAGTACGAGCACGGCGCGTGAGCTGCGTGAGCAACGAAGGACGTCAATTGAGAATCACGCAGAACGAAGAAAACTTCAAACTCACCCTCTTTGTTGGCTGAGTCTGCGTGGACGAGCCTTGCGCTTGCGAGCTGTCAGCCGCTGGTGCGGGACCAGCCGCAGTCGACCCTTCGCCGTAGACGCTCTCGGGGTGCGTCCCGGGCACTCCGCCGGTAGGGAAGGGAGGCGTCGCCTGCGTAAACTGCGATGCCTGGGTACGCTGCGTCTGGCGAGCTGCGCAGAGGAAGAAGTGTCAGCGTTAGTCGTGCTAGAGAGCGATGATAGTAGCGCACGGGTCGACGCTGCTTGGCCAGCTTGTTCAGGCGGCATTTCGGGACCTTGCAGCGGCGTCAGGTCGACCTCGTAGATCGCTTCGGCAATCTCGCGGTTATCGGTGTTGCAGACCTTGCCGACGCGGAGGCTGTGATGTGAGCGAGTCAGTCTCGAGCTCGTTCGAACAGGAGGAAATGTGCAGCTCACGCTCGCTGGAGGTCCTCGATCAACTCCTTCCGCTGTTCGGCGCCGTCTCCGCCCGGTTCTTCTCCTTCGTCGACGAACACGCCCGCAGGCGGAATGATGGCGATCTTGCTACCGCCGCTCAAGCCGTGGTCTGTCTTGAAGGTAGTAATGGCATCGAGGAGGTCAGAGACCGTCGAAGGCGGAGGGTCCTGCTGGAAGACGTTGCAAGCGAAGAAGCTTCCGCCGCCGAGAGTGACGAGCTCTGCTGCATGGTTGTCCTGCGACAAGAGTGTGAGCGAAACTCCCCCGAATGTGCGGGATCGGACGCACCGCGTCCTCCCGTCCGCGGAAATCGACGACCAGCACGTCCTTGAACAAGTCACCCCTCGCATCGTTCTTCGCCCAGACAGTCGGCTGGAAGTGCTCGAACGGTGCCGGGAGGTTCTTCGGGTCCGTCTCGCTCGGCCAAGCGCCGTCCCAGTCGTTCTCGAGGTGGCAGTGGCCCCACCAGCGGGTCGGGTCTCCTCCGACGTCCTCGTTCATCGCGAGCAGCTCCTTCTCGTACCGCGAAACCTCCTTGTCGTGCGCCGTAAGCTCCTCCTTCGACGCTCCTTCAGGCGGCGGGCCGGGACGGACGGGAATCGGTTCGGCGGGGAAGGCGGGCGCGGTAGTGACGGAGAGAAGCTCGTCGTACCACTCGTGCGAGACGATGTGGGTGAGATGCATGGCGGCGCGGAGGAGGAGAGCGTTCGGGATACAGCGCTTCGCGATGAAGTGGGTGTGGTGCGGGTGGGTGTCGCGGTAGGCGACCTTGATGCCTGTCTCCGCAGCATGTCAGGGGTTTCTCACGGCTGGTCTAGCGGGACAGACTGACCCAGCGCCTTTGCGGCCTCACGATGCTTCTTCTTGTCGGCCGACGAGGCATTCGAAAAGCACAGGTTGGTCGGCACCCATTTGAACCTGCGTCGCGAGCGAGGGAGGTCAGTACACCGAAGACAGAGAGGAAAGCCGAAGAGGACGCACTGGAACCAGTATCCCTTCGATCTCTCCTGCAAGTAATCTCCGTCGTGCACTTCGACCGTCACCGCGCCATCGTCCAGCTCCAGCTCAACCGGCTCGTCATCGCCGCGCCTGAGGAGGAACCGCTTGTGCAGGGTGACGGTGAGAGGGTAGGGAAGGCTGTTTGCCGGCAGTTCGGGGCGGTCTTCCTGTTTCACGCCAACGATCCATCGATTCGTCAGCTCTCTGACGTGCGCAGATGAGCTCAAGGAAGCGTAAGCGCGGACTCACAGGCATCCACTCCTCCCCTCCCGTCTCAAACTCCGCCAACCCCTCCTTCGACACGCTCAAACTCGCGATCCTGAAATCATACGGCCTCTTCCTCGACGCCGGTCCGGGCTTGCTCTGGCCCGCTTTCGAGGGAGCGCGGACGCCCCCTGCTCGGCCGACGCGGTAGAGGCGCGAGGGACGGAGGTAGTGAGAGGTGGGGTCGGGGAAGACTTCGGAGCCGTCTGTGGGCGAGGGAGGGAGCGAGACAGGGTCAGCGTGGCTTCAATGAGTGTGTGAAAGTATGTACGCACCGCTTGACGTGCTCTGCAGCGTGCCCTCGACCACCCACACCATTCTCACGCGCTCGAGACTTGTCGGCTGATGAGCAGAGGTAGGCGGGAGAGCCGAAGGCGGGCGAGTGTGGACCTGTAGTTATTGTTCTTTAGGTCAGTTCAGAGCACTGACATAAGCCGCTTGGCAGCCACTTGCGTCCGAACTTCGCCAGAGACGATGTCACTTCGAGGAGGAGGAAGTCGGCACCGTCCCGTTGCGTGCGGTGACACGAGGCAAGCGAGGGGATGGTAAGCGCACCTGGCGAGCGTAGCAGTAGCGCAAGCCGCCCAACCGAGCGAGCGAGCGGACGTGGAGAAGAACAACCCCCGTTGACCTTTCCCTCCTCGAGAAGCCAACCTCGTCAACTCGCAGTCCGGCAAGGAGCAGCGCCGAATTCTCTCGAGCGGAAGACGGAGGGCACGAGTGTCTATTCCGAGTTACGACAAGCTTACAACCCTGCATGCCTCCAACCGACAAAGTAACACACTGCGAAGAGAAAGCAAAACAATCGCGTCCCTGCTAGGCCGCGCCGAGCAGCGTCAGACCACCTAGTAAGAGGAGCGCCGCCGAGCCTGCTACCGCTGCAAGCGAGAGGGGCGTCGCTCGCACGCTCGTCGACCCGCTCAACCGGACCGCTGCCGAAGCTGTCACGTTGTCCGAAGCGAACGTCCCGTTGTACATCTCCTGGCACAGAGTGGTGTATGCTGCGCAGTTCAGGGGTTCGTCAGATTGAAGTGAGAGGTACACAAGGAATCTTTGTGCTCACCTAGCTCCGCCGAATTCCAATTCGTCCCGAGGCAGCCTGAGCAGTTGCTCGCTTGAACGAGTACGTCGGTTCCACACGAGCATCGGTTGTAGGCTTCGTACGACGTCGAGTTCTGCCGGCAGTTCTGTGGTGGTCGGGGATACCGTCAATTCCGTCGCCGCTCGCTCCCCTCACGCTCGACGTTCTAAGAAAGTGAACATACGTCCATGGACCCTACGATCTGTCTGCACTGCGACGCGCACCCCGTGCTGTCCGGCTTCTGCGAGTCGACCGCCAACAACAGGAACTGTTGGTATTTCGCCCTCACGGCCGTGTCGTCCTCCACTGCCGCTTGACGCGCGACGAGTCCGTCATTCTGGGATGGTGGAGAGCCGGCATACGAGGGAGAGCGCTGGAGGATGCGGGAGGCGGCAGAGTTGTAGGGAGTCGAGGCGAACGTGCTGCTCGCGAGGGCGAGGAGGACTGGGCGGGAAGGGAGAGGAGGGTCAGTCGACGCGTTCTGAGGGTGAACGAGGGTCGTACGCACCCAAGATGAAGAGGGACTGCATGGCGAATGAAGCAGAGGAAGAAGAGCGACGGCGAGAGGCCAAACAATTCCGCATTCCTCGCGAGCGACGCGTGTGCGAGTCGGGTTCCACGATTCGGCCTGGGCGTCGGCTTAATTAGGGGTCGTCGAAAGGAGCGCTGACAGATCTTCTGGGGATAGGAGCGTCGAAGAATAGGAGATCGAGGCAGGTTCGCAGGAAACTAGCTTGAGGAGGACGAGGTCGAAACAACGCACACAGCGCGCGTCTGGGGGCCTGGCGTGCGCCTCCGTCCGTCTTCGTCGAGCGAGTAGCGGGTCGAGCTGCCGCGAAGCCCTCTAAACCTCCGAGCGCCGTCCCGCCAGGGCATGAAAGGCCAAGAGGAGGCGAGCAGGGGTTGAAGGGGAAAACCGTGTGTCCTCACGCGAGAAATAATACGCCTGCCGACGCATGCGGCTGCCACCGGCGTCTACCTGCGTCCGCCATTGAGCAGCCAGCAGGAGCCGAGGTGGTACCTGGTGGAGAGACGTGACCCTGGTCGTCCACCGAGCGAGTCTGCGAGTGTGGCAGCTGGACAGGCGTCCTCGCATGTAGCAACAGAGTCCAGCAGTGCAGTGAAGCGCTCCAGTAACAGCCTGCGAGGGTGAGAGCGAGTGAGCGGGTGAGGTGGTCGAGGCGAGGAAGCGCTGTCGTCGGTTCGCCTCTGTGTGCAGCCCTCGACTCGCCAAGTGAGTGGAGCTGGTGGACGATAGAGACAGGCAGCAGCTGACAACGCACTCGCACACCCTGCTCACCCTCTCCCGCCGCCGTCGTCGCCGCCCGCCCGTCCACTAAAACCTCTGCGACCCTCGCCTCGTCGCCGTACGACCCCCGTACCGCCCTTTCCTGCCCATCTGAACGCGCAAACCCGCCTCTGAACCCTTCTCGCGACTGTCCGAACTCGCCCCGACCGCGCGTGCACCCTCTGTGACCCCTCGTCTACCCGCTCACCTCGACCTCGACACCCACCTCGACTCGCCAACCCACTCGACCACTCGCAGCGCTCAGCCATGGTTCAGCGCGTCACCCTCCGCACCCGCAAGTCGTACTCGACCAAGTCGAACGGCAAGCGCATCGTCAAGACCCCCGGTACATTCGCACCCTCCTCTCTCGCGCGCGATTGTCGAGCACTCGGGCTCTTTGGGTGCATGCGCTGGTTTGGCAGGGATGGGATCGGTACAGGAGGATCGGACGAGCACGCAGGCGGCCGCCCAGACGTTGCGGACGGGCGCACTGGCGGTGCTGGCGGGACGAGCTGAGACTCGGCTCAGGCGGAGCAGATCCGCTCGTCTCGTCAGCTGGGAGCGGAGGACGCGGCACGGACGGATCCATGGGCGTTCGAAGCGGCAGAAACGGGTGTCAGGCGTGCGCAGGGTGGTTCGGGTCGTGCGGACGAAGTGGAGCACCCGATTGAGGTGGGTGAAGGAGACGGCAAGGCTGACTGTATGGTTCGTTCGTGCGTTCTGCAGGTGGCAAGCTCCGCTACCTCACGGTCAAGAAGGCCGCAGCCGCCCCCAAGTGCGGTGACTGCCACATCGCCCTCCCCGGTGTTCGTCCCATTCCGTCCTCTCTTTCCGTCTGCTCGCTGACCATCCGGCTGCGCTACAGGTCCCTGCTCTCCGCCCCCGCCAGTACGCCCAGATCTCGAAGCGGGAGAAGACCGTCCAGCGTGCGTACGGTGGCTCGCGCTGCGCCAACTGCGTTCGCGACCGCATCGTCCGCGCGTTCCTTGTCGAGGAGGCCAAGATCGTCAAGCGCGTGCGTCCAGCTGCTCTCCGTCCCCTCTGCGTGCTCAGACTGATCCGCTTGTCGCGCTCGCAGGTTCTTGCCCAGCAGCAGGCCAAGAAGGAGAAGAAGTAAGGGCGTGCGGTTTGAGAAGACAGAGGGACCCTGTAGGCTACGTTCGTGTGCAACCGCGGACTGGCATCCATTCTACGCTGCGCTCGTCGTGCTCGAGAGTGAGCCCGTCAGTAAGCTTGGACGACGTCCGCCCCACTCGTGCTCGCTGCCGAAGGAAGAGGGTTGTGATCCGACGACTCGCTCAAAAATGACTGCTGCTGCTCCTCCTGCTGTGCCCGACGAGGATGTTGCGAAGCTCACGCTGAAGGAGATGAATGGCGCTGCTCCTGCTGTTTCTGAGGTGAAGCCGGAGGAGGGCGGTGCGGAGGAAGATGAGGAGGACGACGAGGGCGAGGATGGCGCTGAGGAAGATGCTGAGGCTACAGGTGCGCTCGTTCCCTTCTACCTAGCCACACAAGCTGAACGAACCGTCTCCCTTCCGCAGAGAAGAAGAAGAGCGAGTCTCCCTCCTTGGCTCGCCCTCTCGTCCCGACCATCCCAACTGACTCTCGCTTGTTGCGACTGGCAGAGAAGAAGAAGAAGTCAAAGGGCAAGAAGAAGACGAAGGCCGTGCAGACGGAGCCGCCGACTGTGCCCGTCTCGCGGTTCTTCAAGAGCAATGCGTACCCGGTTGGAGAGACGCACCCCTACTTGAACGAGTGCGTGCACCGCCCTCTCCGTCAGAACAGCCTCGTATTGAAATCCTCATCTCGCAGCAATGCCTACCGAACGACGTCGGAAGAGATGCGGCACAAAGAGCGACTCCTGCTGGACGAACCCTCCGACTCTGCCTTCAACTACAACTCCATTCGTCGAGCAGCCGAAGTGCACCGCCAAGTACGCAAGTACGCGCGGAACCACATCAAGCCTGGGATGACGATGACTGAGATTGCGGAAATGATCGAGAATGGAACGAGGGCGTTGGTCGAGGAGAATGGGATGCAAGCGGGTATTGGGTTCCCGACAGGGGTGAGCAGGAACGAATGTGCGGCGCATTACACGCCGAATGCGGGAGACACGATCGGTGCGTCCGCCCTCCTCCATTTCCTCGTTCTCAAAGGTGTTGACCGTTTCTTTCTCGCAGTCCTGCAAGCCGAGGACGTCCTCAAGGTCGACTTTGGCGTCCACGTCAACGGCCGCATCGTCGACTCGGCATTCACGTTGAACTGGGAGCCGACGTACGACCGGCTGTTGGAGGCGGTCAAGGATGCGACCGAGACGGGCGTGCGGGTGCGTCGCGAGTCTCCGAGTCTCGCATTAATCCTTTGCTGACGGTCTTTTTCGGCTCGCAGGAAGCGGGTATTGATGTGCGGATGGGCGACATCGGGCGGGCGATTCAGGAGGTGATGGAGTCGTACGAGGTCGAGGTCGACGGCGAGACGAAGCAGGGTGCGTGCGCTTTCTCCGCTACACTCGGAAGTATGCGAGCTCACGGTCTCCCGCTCGTCGCTGCCAGTCAAGTCAATCCGCAACCTCACCGGCCACTCGATCGCGCCCTACATCATCCACGGCGGCAAGAGCGTCCCGATCTGCGCACCACAAGGCGACGATCGGGAAGAGAACGACGAGGCGGACCAGAAGATGGAGGAGGGAGAGTACTTTGCGATTGAGACGTTCGGCAGTACGGGGAATGGCTACGTCGAGCACAAGGTGCGTCTGGCTTCCCTCTCCACTTCCTGCGCGAGTGACTCATGCATCACTCTCGTTGATTGCAGGGTGCCTGCTCACATTACGCCAGGATTCCCGAAGCTCGTGCACCCTTAACGTCCGTTCGTACCTCTCCAATCCGTCTCTTCGTCTGCTGAGTCGACTACCTCCTGCAGTTTCGACTCGTCCAAGAAGCTCTTGAGCGTTATTGAGCGACAATTCGGTACGCTGCCTTGGTGCAAGCGCTACCTCGACCGGATCGGCCAGAAGAACTACACTGTCGCGGTGCGCTCCCGTCTTCTGTCTCGCCAAGAAGAGACGAGAACAACGCTGACGAGTCATTTGGTACAGCTGAACGAGTTGGTGAATAAGGGGATCGTGCAGGACTACCCGCCCTTGGTAGACATGGCGAAGGGAGGGTGCCAAACTGCGCAGTTCGTGCGTCGCTTTTCCTTGCCGTCCCTAATCTATCGCTCGCTTTGACGATGCTGACGTTCTCGCTATCCGCAGGAGCACACCATCATCCTGCGACCAACCTGCAAGGAGGTCGTGACCCGCGGCGACGACTACTGAGCGGCCGCGACGTAGCCTCGTTGGATTGTATCCGCTCAGCAGCATTAGACGACACCTTGCCTTGAAGCCTGCTCGGTGAAAGCGAGAGAAGGAGCTAGCCTTCGCCATTCCGCATCAACCTCTGCTCCTCGCTTTGCTTCGGGGAGAGGTAGAACGACTGCTGTATGACATGTTGCGACCGGCGTGTATAACCGAGAGATCCTTGCGTGTATAGAGGATGGTGGTGGCGACAATAAAGGAAATACCCAGAAGACGACTGAACCGAAGGAGAACATGCGATGGACGTGAATGCTAAAGACAACAACGGGAAGGACAGCGCACGTAATACGACGAGGGACCCAAAAGGAGTATCTATGTGACGTGTGTACAGCGAAGAGAAGCGATGGAGTGGGTATCGCGATATGATATGTTCATGCCGAAAGAGGTTCGGGGGAGGAAGAGAGACGGCTTGGGGTGCAGATGCACGTCGTAGCGTCGCCGTCGTTGACCTGAGCCTGCATGCGAGCCAGCTCGGCGGTGAGGACGCGGAGGCTGTCGCCCCCTTTGAGCAGCCACTCGTCGATGGGTCCGCCGTTGCTCATCGCCTTGACGCGGTCTTGCTCATTCGAGAGGCCGGTGAGAGCGATCTGCTCGAGCAAGGGAAGTCAGCAAGCAAAGCAAAGACGAAATGAGGAGCGAAACGCACGATGCGATGACGAGGCCAGCCGTTCGCCTGCTCGACTTCGCGCATGACCGTCGCAGCTTCCAGTCCGTCCATGACAGGCATGCCAATGTCCTGCATGCGGGAGCCGATTAGAAAAGCACGACTATCAGAGGAGCTGCCGACGCACCATGACCGTGACGTCTGGGCGGTACAAGTCGTCGCGGAAGATCGAGACGCCTTGCTGTCCGTCTGCAGCGGCGCGAAACTCGTATCCCTGCTCCAGCACAAGTCAGTACAGCTGTATTTGAGGAGGAGAGCGCGAGCGCACCTTCTGCTTGACAAGGGCAGCAAGCAAATTGCGGGCGATCGCGTTGTCCTCGCACCCGAGCACTCGGAGCGGGCGGTTTCGCGTCGCAGGCGCAGCGGCTTCGCCAAAGGTGACCGAATTGTGCTTCGACGAGTCTTTCTGCTTGGAGGGCTCGTCATGCCGAGCGGGCGACTCGTCCGGCGTTGTCGGGCGACTCGATGGCGGGCTGGAGGAGCGGGAGGAGCGACAGCTGGGACAGTCCGACTTGGCGGATCCGGAAGACGAGAAGGCTTTGCTGGCCGTCATGATTTCGTCGGAGAGCGTGCGGCGGATGGCAGGTACTGGGCGAGAGGCGACGAAGAGCATGGGGAGGAGGATGTCGACCGTCGTGCCTGTGAGTTAGCGGTCAGAGCGAACTTCTCGTTTGGAAGATGACGGCATGAGACTCACCCTTGGCCGGCACGCTCGTGACGTGGATCTGGCCACCATGCTGGGCGACGAGCAGACTCGAGAGCGGGAGACCCAGACCAATGCCGGGTACGTATGCGTCGGCTCGTCGGAAAGGCTGGAAGAGCTTGCCGCTGCGAAGGAATGCCTCGCTCATTCCTCGGCCGGTATCCGCAATGCTGACCTTGACCAGCTGTTCGCCCGGTCGACTCGTCAAAGTTCCGTCCGCCAATTGAAGCGAGACCGTGACTTGGCCCGCATCGGTGTAAGACCAGGCGTTCTCGATGACGTTGCCAAAGATGCGACCGAGGTCGCTCGGCCTCGATCGTGCGAGCCAGCCGTTCTGGCGGGCAGCAATGTCGACGACGACGCGGACGTCCTTCGTACCGGGCGCATCCTCGCCTTCTTGCTGCGCGAGCTGGACAGCACGAGTGAGCGACCGCGCCGTGACGTCCTGCAAGAGTTCGGCGAGGTCGACAATCTCGCTCGACGAGCTCGAAGTCGCCTGCGTCGTCGGCTGGTCATTGAGGTTGTAGAAGTCGACCGAGTCATCGAGCAGGCTGCGGAGCGAGTCCATGCAGACGTCTGCGACGCGGAGGTACTCGTCGACGCCTGCGCCTGCGCCGCGCATCAACTCGAGCTGACCGGCGAGTCCGTGGAGCGGAAGTCGCAAGGCGTGCGAGATGCTCGAGACGAAAGCCAGCTTTGTCCTGTCGCTCTCGCTGCTCTGGTCGCGAATGAGGGCGGACAGGCACACCCAGCCGATGTTTTTGGCGAAGGTGCGGTCGCCATCGCCGAGCTCGAGGAACGGGTCGGGAAGGGAGACAAGGATGAGGAGGGCGAGGGCTTGGTTGTGGTCGAAGATGGGGATTAAGCGAGTCGAGTCGGCCTTGCCGACGACGAGGTGCGAGAGGATCTTGTCGGGTAGAGCATCGGCACCGTGTTGACTCTGCGTGTGAGCGAGTGAGTCCAGAGTCCTCGCAGCAATATGAGGAGATAAACGCACGATTCTGAGCCGCCTCACAGAATTGTCAAAATTCCTCAGATCCTCCTTGCTCAACACCTCCGCCTTCTCAAGCTGCTCCTTCGGCACGCCCGCCTGTCCCAACACCGCAAGCGGCGCGACTCCCTCCTCGATCTCATACGTCGATCCCTCAGGCGTCTCGGCGCGGTAGACGATCCGCGGTCTTCGTGCGCTGCCGAAGGAATCGGGACACCATCCTGCCGAATTCTGCGGCGAGGCGGTCGAGGAGCGCGTGTCGACGATAGCGGCGCTCGAGACGCCTGTCAAGTCGCATAGGCGCTGGGCGGCGTGCATGAATGCTGCGCTAGTCGGGCTGGATGGCGCAGGAGGGTCGTTCGGGTTCGCGCTCAAGACCGCCTCCATCCCAGGCGAGGCCTTTGACGGACTCGCCGAACCACCGAGCGTGAGTTGCAAGAACTCGGAGACGAACGCAGCCTGCTCTTGTCCTCGTCGTCGCAGCCTCGCCTCGTTCTCAACGAGGATTTCGCGCTCGATCCGCCGCGCCAGCGTCTTGAGTGCCGTAAGCTGAGGCTGCGTGACTTCGCGCTGGGCTTTGTGGCTGACGGCGCAGAGAGTGCCGATGGGGATTTGTCGAGAAGGTCCGCTTGTGTCGTCGTCGAGAGCGTCCAAGGGGAGGCTGATTCGGACGCCGGCGTAAAAGTGCAGCTTGCCCGACTCGGAGTAGAGAGGACTGCACATAGGTCGTCAGCGGGTTCGAGCGGCGCAAAGGTAGAGGAAGCGAGCGCACATATTGCCGACCCGCCAGTCTTTCGCCGTGTCGAGGACGACAAAGGCGTCGTCCTCGCCCGCGAAAATCCCGTGTCGACACAAGCACCATGTCGACTCGATCTCCTCGAGCGAAGTCTGCCAGTCGAGGTCATCCAGCGGAGACTGCGAGATGCCGATGAGGCAAGTTCTTGACGCTGTCAAGCTGGTTGCGAGGACCGTGATGTCGGGGCCGAAGAAGGTGCGGACTAGTTCGCATAGCTCGGATACGGCGACGAGAGGCGTTGAACCTGCGAGAAGAGGCGGAAGAACTCAATACGAGAATAGTCGGAGCGAGCGAGGACGACATCAGCGTACCATCGAGGTGGAACTTGTGGACGAGTTGGACTCGTTTCCGCTCGTCTGGCGAGTAGGGCGGAGGGATGTACTTGTGCCGGGCGTAGAACTCGAGGGCTGTGAGGCAGTACGAGATGCGGCAGAAGCCGAGAGGTCAACCTGGTTCGGAGGGTTGTGGTGCGAAGACGAGCGCACCTTGTTCCGCCGTCTCTGGCCCACCCGAGTAGTTGCCCGCATACGACGGTTCTCCCGCCTTCAAGTTCGCGCCGGGATTGTCGAGGAGTTGCTGAAGAGTTGCCGGAGGAGTCGCGGTCTCTTCAAAGTGGCCCAGCGAGTACTCCATCCACCAGCACCTCCAGGCATTCAGGACGTCGCTGTCGACGAGTGCGCTCGCTGCTGGCGCTGCCGTCGCGGGACCTTGGCGTGCGAGGCGAGGCGTGGGCACGCTGTCGAGCGGGAGAGCGTCGGGTTCTCTGGGCAGCGACGTCGGCGGGAGGGCAGCGGCCGCCATGGTCGCGCTCGAGGGGTGAGTGACGCTGCTCTGTTGTGTTGTGGTGGTGTGTCCAGTAATGAAGCGTCTGAGCGCAACGACGTGAGCGAACGACGACGAAGAGCACCGCAGAACAAGCCGCATCGCCTTTCCATCTCCCCGCGCGAGAAACGATCTGCAGCGCCAGCTCTTGCTCCAAGTGGCAGGTCTCGGAACGCGATCTCGCCTTGCTCAGCAAGCGGAACAACAAGAGATCGTCTGCGTTACTGTGCGAGCTGCCGGCATACACACGCCCCGCTAAGTTACTGCTCGTCCGCCATCTGCACATCCTCACCCGCCTCGACAGCGCCAGCGCCAGCACCAGCGGAAGCTGAACCGTCCGTAGCCGCCAGAGCCGCGCCCGCGCCTGCCGACGGAGCCTCCGGCCTTCGTCCTTCCTTGGCCTCCTCCTCTCGCGCCGCCGACTCGGGGTGAAGCTGCTCCTCCAGCCACCGGTTGAACCGCTCGCTCCGCCGCGTCGACAGCGAGCCATGCTCGTCCTGCTCGTCGTCACCGGGTGGCGGTCGTCGTCGTCGCAAAAAGTCCCTGCGCGCGCGGGAGAGAAAGCCAAGGTTAGCTTTTCCTCGCGGCCCAAGACTCGTTGCTCGGAGATCCGAGATGGAGGATGGAGGAGTCACGAGACACACTCGGTGTTCGCCACGAAGAACAGCTTGTACCCTGACTCGGAGACCTTGGCCTCGAGTCCTGGCAGCAAGTCAAACTCTTGAGGGTCCTCGTTCGCCGACAGCACGCGATTCCTGCGTCACGAGCGAGTAAGCATGAGTCAAACCGAAGGCAACACGCGAGATGGGAGGGAACGCACCGCTTGAGCAAAGGCGCTTTGACCTGCGCGCCGATCCCCTCGCTCGGCGACATGAGCGCGAACGAAGCGAGCCAGCTCTGGTGCATCTTGGCCTCGGACTCGTACGCGTCGTCCATCGTCAAATCCTCCTTGCCGAGCAGCTGGATCGTCAGTACTTGCGACGCGGGAATCTGCGCGACGTCCAGGTCAGCGCTGATCCGGGAGAAGGACAGCTAGGCGGGACGCACCCATTCGATACGGTAGATGTGCTCGTCGGTCTCGAGGACCTGCTCGACCTCCATGCGATAGGCGATCTGCTGCCGAGGCGTCGTCGTCTGCCGCGCGCGGTCCTTCTCGAGCAGCGTCACGATGTCCTGGCACCGGTTCTCCGAGTTGATCGTGTGGATCTGCAGCACGCGGTGAGCAAGAAGGAGAGACTGAAAGAAGGGCGGGCGGGCGACTCACGTGCTTGATCGCGGTCGAGATGAGCTTGTCGAGCGTAAAGAGCGGGTACGCGCGTACGCCAGCCATGTACCTCAGCTGCTCCTCATACGTCTGCTGGTCGATCTCTCCGTCGAAGAGCTTCTCCGCGAGCTCGAGCATGTGCTCGTAGTAGTGCTCCGGAGGGTTGTCGCCTGTGTCGACGACGGGAACGGGAGCGGAGAGGCCGAGGTCGACGCCGATGGGGTTTAGGCGCTTGTCGCGGTGAGCGGAGGCGAGGTCAGCAGCAAGCTGCTTGAAGGCGAGCAATCGGTGGTACATCGCCTGCGAAACAGAGGGAACGTCAATTCGGACGCTCGCTGAGACGTTCACAAGCTACGCACGTGAAGGACGCGGACGAGGCAGTAGAAGGTCGAGTTGGCGAAGAAGTTGTACCGCCGAGGGTCAAGTACCTCATCGGGACTGGGCGGCGACACAGGTTCGCCGTTCTCCCTCGTCTCGACGAGCTGAATCCACGTCGCGTCTGCGAGCCTGCCCAGCTCGCTCTCGTCCGACGCAGGCGAGCCCTGCCGAGAAGCCGACTTGCCGTTCGCGCCGGACGGCACGCTTCGACCGGCAGTTGCAGCCGCGTGCCTGAGCAGCCGTTTCCGCAGGTCGGCAGCTCCCCCTCGCCGCATCGACGAGCCCTTCCTGCCGCTCCCTGCACTTGACGAACCCGCCTCGCTTCCCTCGGCACCTGTCTCGCCCTCGGTCTCGGTTGTCGCGTCTCCTGCTTCAGTCTCCGCCTCGTCCTCGTCGACATCGGCATCGTCGTGCTGAGACTGTCCGAGGTTCGCCTCCATCTCGCCGATCGAGATGCCCCAAAGCAAGGGGACGAACAGGCGGAGGAAGGCTTCGAGTCGCGCTCGTTCGGGCGTCGAGAAGCCCGATTGCTCGCGGTCGAGGTACGAGAAGGTGAGCTTGAGGACGTCGAACAAAACGCTCCGGTCGCTCATGTGCATCTCGAACTGGTGCAGCGGTCGGAGGGGAAGAGGAAGAGAAGGCGAGATCGAGTCCGTCGGGTAGGTGATTGCGCCGGTCGGCTGCGAGGGGTGTCGAGGAGGTTGGTGGCTGGGAATGTCGAATCGCTTCTGCTGCTTGTCTCGTCGAAGCGTCTCGATCTCGGTCGTGAGGGACTTAGACGTGGTGGTAGTCTTCTTGTCGATGGCCTTGAACGGAATGCCCTGGTGGTCGAGGGCGCGGTAGAAGTTCTTCGCGTCCTGTTGCGGCCGAGGAGAGTTAGCGGGTGACGAGATCAACAAGAGCGTCAGCGAGACGCACCACTTCTCGCCAGACCTTGTTCCACTCCCGCTCGGCGCGCTTCCACTCCTCGTCCTTCTGCTTCAACCTCGCCAAGACGATCGGAACCGCGACGGCCGGGTTGTCCTCGAGTGCCTGCAAGATCTCCCAGCCGTGGTCCTTGCCGTAAATCTTCCGCACGATCCGCTCGTACACGCTCGGCGCCGTGCCGCCCAACCCGCCTTCCTCGCCGCCCAGCTTGAAGTTCGCTCGCTCGTCGCTCGACATGAGCGCGAGGCGGGCGGCGATCGTCTCGAAGTGCGAGACGGTTCGAGCCATCGACTCGAGGTGGAACGAGTACCAATGCCGCTCTTGCTCCGAGTTGTAGAGCGCCTCCTCGTACGGGTTCTTGCGATGCGCGCCGGAACCCTCGGACGCCCAGGTCGCGAAGGCAACCCATTCGTCGTTCAGGACAGACCACTCGAGCGGTCCTCGGCCGGAGCAAGCGAGATCAATTTCCTGGGTGAGCGTGGCGGTCAGCTCGGCATGCGTCGAAGAGACGGCTCGTCACGCACCGAGTCGGGCAGCTTGCGGTAGCTCGGCCCGAAGCTCTTGAGGAGATGCAGCTCAACGCGCGGCCGCTCGAGCACTGGCTCGTTGTCGATGATCCAGTCCTCGCCGTCGACGCGTCCGTCCTTGACCGGATCCCAACCGACCAGATCCTTGAACTGCGCGACGAGCGTATCATCGTTCCCGATGAAGAGGAGGCTCTTGCTGAGCAGCGTCTTGAGGTCGATGATCTCCTGCGTGTATAGGTTCAAGAGCTTGAGGAACTCGGTGTACGCCTCGCGGTCGTCGATGTGCTTCTTGACGCGCTCGAAGAAGGTGAACTCTTCGGGCTGGACGAGCGGCGGATTCTGGTGCTGAGCGAGATAAGCGTCGTAGGCCGACTGCATCCGCGGTGCGCCAGGGAAGCCAGGCGGAGGCGCGCCGTACGGGTGCGCATGAGGCTGCGCGGGTGGAGGCGGAGGACCATACGGCGAAACGGGCGAGTGCTGAGCTGCGAGGTCGGCGTGGTGCTGTTGTTGCGCCTTCGCGACTGGAACGCTGGGACCGTGACCGAGAGGCGGCGACTCGATGCTGGCGGCCTGTTGCTGCTGTTGCTGCTGGAGGTGCGCCATCTTCGCCCGCTTCGCCTTGGCCTTCTCGCTCGTCCCGGGCGCCGCTCGCTTCTTTTTCTCGCCCGGCGCGGGCGCAGCAGCACCTGCCTTTCCTCCCATCGCCGCACCTGTCTTTCCACCTACGTCCTTCTTCTTCCCAGCTGGTCCCGCCGGCGAGGCTCCGGCTGCGTTCTCGGGCGCGCTCGTATCTGGCAAGAACGCCTTGAACTCTTCGAGCAGGTCGGGCGCCTTGCAGAACAGGATCGTTACCTGGGCATAGACCTGTTGCGAGCGAGTGTCAGTCCGCAGATCCTGGCTGAGCGGGCGAGTTGCTCACCTCCTGAATCGGCCGCTGGTCCTTCTGGTACGTCTGCAAGATCTCGAGAAACGTCTTGTACGTCTCAGGCTCCTTAGCGAAGCGGTTCTTGATCTTGTTGACGTAGTTGATCGCGTGGTTGAACTCCATGACCTGCGGCGGACCGCTTGGCGGTTGCGCGGCCTGCTGAGCGGGAGCGGCAGGCGGTGCGACGGGAGCAGGCCCTGCCGCAGCCTGTGGGTGTGGCTGTTGAGGGACGGCTGGCGGGACCGCATGTTCGCTCGCAACGTTCGGCTTGACATCGTGCGCAGCGTACCCCGCGACCGGCTTCGGCGCCTGCGCCGCAGGGCCGAGCCTGGTTGGTGCCGCGGACTGTTGCGCAACAAACGATCCGCTCGAAGGTCCTGCGACAGCGCCAACCTTCTGCCCGGCCTTCGCCTGTTGCTGCTGAGCCGATGTCGGAGCGTTCCAAGTCGTGCGATTGCCGCCAAAGGGAGGGATTGGTGCGGGAGGAGAAATTGCGCGGGCGGCTTGGGCAGTCTGGCCGGGCGGGAGAGGAGGAAGGCGGGCCTGCGGCAGGTTTGAACCGGCAGGCTTCGACGTCGCGGGCGCCTGAGAGGTCTGAGGCACTGCCGAAGTGCTGGCTGCGGGTTGCTGAGATGGCGGAGGACCGCTCGAAAGCGGAGTCGAGGCAGAGACGTTCTGCGTCCGAGTTGTGACGCCCATCGGTGTCGTGACGGTGATGGTGTTGGTGTTGCCGGCTGCGCTGCCGGGTGCGCCCGAGTCTGCCGAGGGCGTGACATGGCATTCGATGCGGTAGCCGGGAGGGAGGAAGGTGTTGAAGCCCTGGATGAGCGAGGGATGGTCGCGGAAGAGGGTGGAGACGCGGTCGATGACGCCGGGTGTGTCGATGCTGCGAGAGACTGGGGTTAGCCAACGGTGGAAGACGATGCGACCGAAGAACGAACTTCTGCGTCTTGAAGTCCTTCATGATCCTGCTCGGCCGGAAGAAGCGCGGTGTCAGCTAGTTTGCGTGTCTGGAAACGCTGGATGACCACGCACGTCAAGAACTGATCGTAGACTGCAGCACAGGATACAGCAAGTCAGCTAGCAGGCCAGAAGACGCCCATCGCATGCTCGCCGAGCAGAGCGCGGGGTATGTGAGGACGGCGGCCAGACTGACCCTCGTATTCGTTCGCAAACTGCTGCTTGACCCGATCCAGGTAATGAAGCGCATCTGCAACAGTGCAAGGAGGTCAGCCATCGTTCCGCGAGCGAGTTGAGCGAGAACAAGCGTACCCCGGACGTTGAGTGGTCGGAAGGCCGCCTGTTGCTGCTGCTGCGCCTGTGCGGGCGGCGGTGGTTGTTGGCCGGGCTGCCCAAGCTGCTGCGCACGCTGTCCCTGCCCCTGGAACGCCGGCTGCCGCTGTTGTGCCGGTTGCGATGAGGCGTGGGCTGGCGGGGCGTGGTGCGCGGGCGGGACGGGCTGCGGCGGAGCTGGTTGGCCCTGCGGTGGTTGTGACATAGCTGTAGCGGCCCCTTGAGCGCCTTCGCTCGTCCCGATCAGCCAAATGAGCAGAGTCTGGTTCGTGGTCGAGCGAGAGTACGAGAGTTGCTCTTCGAGGAGAACAAACGACCTTGCTCCGCTTCGACTGCGCTACTAGGCTTGCTGGACTACTGGAGCTTGATCGGAACACTGATCTCCAGCCTCTCCACCGCCCCGCCATGGGCAAGTCGCGCCCCGACAGCACCGCTCCTCCTGCGGCGACAACGGCGGCCGCTGGCAAGCCTCAGCAGCCACGCAGGAAGGCCAACATTGTCAAGTCGGGCAACGCAGGGTCCAACAAGCCGGCGCCCGCCCCGCTCGCGCCAGGAGAAGCGCCCCCTCCTCCTCCCCTCTTCCGTACGTCCTCGTCTTCCAGCTTGTCAGGCGGTCCTGGGCAGAGCTGTTGAGTTATGCGGATTGTCTACGGGGCTAAGAAGGGCAATATGCTGACAGGACTGCTCATCTTCGCAGCGATCGGCTATAAAACCCCTCTCTCCCTTCTCTCGGAGCGATGTCAAAAGTCTGGCTGGGACAGGCCTTCTGTTGATCCGAAGAAGGGCACCCTGCCGAACTCCTGGACGGCGAGCGTGACCCTGAAGCGGAAGAACCCGAAGTCGGGAGACTTCGAGACGGTCTACATGCGCCCTCCTCCTCGTAGGTCTCCTCTGGCTCGCCATTCACCTCGTTCTACGTTTCGCTGACAGTCCTTCCCGTTCTTACAGCTCCTTCGGACATTGCGGTGGAGAAGCCGAGCGCGATGGAAGCCAAGTATGTTTCTTCTGCTCCTCGCCGCCCGCAACAGTGGGCTGATCCTTACTCCCACAGGCACTGGGCTGCCGTCTACGCCCTCTTCCGCTTCTCGAACAACCTTCGACTAAACCTGCAGCTCCCTCCTTCGACAAGAGGTGTGTTTCGGTGCTTCTGTCGCGACTGCCGCAAGCTGACTTCGCAACGACAGACTACTGGGCTGCGCTGAAGAAGGAGAAGGCGGCGTCACCGCCAAACAAGCAATGGCTGTGGTCCACTACGCCCTTCGAGACAGCCGCCGCCGCTCCTCCCCCGCCAACCGCTTCCACCGCTCCCACCGCTTCCGCCTCGAAAACCGCCTCCCGCGCGCCTTCCGCCTCTACCTCTCGCTCGGCAACGCCAGCTTCCAACGGTCCGGTGCTCCCCACAACCGGAAGAACAACGCCCGCGCCGCTCCCGAAAAGCTGGCAAGAAGCGCCTGAAGTCCGAATGCCAACCGCCCTTCGCGACCTCGTCGAGCGTACCATTCGCGACTCCCTACCCGACCTCACAGACGCCGATCTCGGCTTCGGCGAGAACGGCAACGGTGCGGGCAACGACCACGACCTTGACTCGCCCGGTCCTGGCAGCGGAGCGGCGACACCAATTGGCCTTTCACCCGACGAGAAGGCTGTCGAGCAGCACTTCCTTTCGCTCGGTTTCCGCAAAGGCCACGTCTCTCGCGCTCTCGCTTACGTCCGCTCTTCCTCGGCACCTACCTCGCAACACGCCCTGCGATCCGAGGTCATGCAACACCTGCACCTCCTCGTCCCCGAGTCCGATCTTCCTCCCTCGTTCCAGTCCAGTCGACCGCCCGATGCGACAATACGAAACGCAACGGCGAAGGACAGGGAGGAGCTCGGACGATTGTGGCGAGCTGAGGGTCTTGCGAGAGAGGTGGGCGTGCCGGTTGAATGGGCTGTCAAGGAGATGGAGCGGGTGCGGGTGCGTGGCGGACCCGCTTTGACGGACGAGGAGCTCGAAGGTCGCGTGCTGGATGTCCTTGTGAGGCGTTTGATGGACGGCTCGTCGGGCGACGAGGTGGACGAGGACGAACGATCGAAGCTTGCGGAGGAGCAGCTGCTCGAGTGGTGGGCGACTGACCCGCTTGCCGCGCTGTCCAAGGAGGACAAAGCCGACCTGAGGCAGCGACGAGACGACGAGCTCCTCGGCCTGGAAGGCCTCTTCGGCTCGCGCTTCCAGCGGCGGAAAGACGGATTCGAGATCGCTGTCCCAACGTCTGCCCGTGGCGCAGCCCTAGCACTGCGAGTCGTCTTTCACCCTTCATCTCTCTACCCTTCGCCCCTCGCACCCGGCTCGCCCGTCGCCCTACCCACCTTCTTCGTCTCATCTCCCTCTCTCCCGCCCTACATCCGCCTCCACCTTCTCTACCTGCTCGCTTCCGCCTTTCCCTCCTCAACCTCGCCAAACAGCGGCGCATGGCTTGAACTCGCCGAGCTTGGGTATGGAGGCGTTGTCGGCGAGATGGTCTCGTTCCTTGAAGAGAACGCGCAGAGCGTGATCGACCATCCTCCCGATGCGAGGGACGTGATGGACCGGCTCGTTGCGCCGTCAGTGCGAGCATTGGCGCTCAGCGTTGAAGCGAGCAGGCGGATCACCAAGGCGCCGGGAGGCGATGGACGACGGAAAGGCCGCCAGAACACCCTTCGCGCGACGCCGGAACAGCAACTTGCGCTCAAGCGGGCGTACGAGGAGCTGCAGCAGACACCGGCGTACCAGAACATGCTCGAGCAGCGGAAGAGGCTGCCGGCTTGGGGGATGAGGGAGAAGATTGTCGACCTCATCCGCAAGTCGCGCGTGGTCATTGTCTGCGGCGAAACAGGTTCGGGAAAGACGACCCAGGGTACGTTCTCGCTCGACTCGACCAGCCGACCCCTCACTGACTCTATCCCCTTTACAGTCCCAGCTTTCGTCCTCGAAGATGCCATCCTCCGAGGCGAAGGAGCGTCAACTAACATCGTTGTAACGCAACCTCGGCGAGTCAGCGCTATTGGTGTTGCCTCTCGTGTCGCAGCAGAGCGATGCGAGGACCTCTCGCCTTCATCGCCGCCTGGAGCGGGCAACCTCGTCGGCTATGCGATCCGAGGCGAGCGCCGCGCAGGCTCAGGCTGTCGCGCCTTGTTCTGCACGACCGGTGTCGTCCTCGCTCGACTTGGTCGTGGAGGCGACGAGGACCTGTCTGGCGTCTCGCACATCTTCATCGACGAGGTGCACGAGCGTAGCGTAGACTCGGACTTCTTGCTTCTCGAGCTTCGGTCCATCCTCGCGCGCAACCCGAACCTCAAGGTCATTCTCGTGCGTCGCAGACGGGTCTAGCTTCTTGCGCTCTTGCTGATTTGTCTCGCAACCCGCAGATGTCGGCTACCATCAATCAGCAGCAGTTCTCCGACTACTTCGGCGGAGCGCCTTGCATCGAGATTCCCGGGTGAGCTCGACTGTTCTATGGCTTGCTCCGCAATAGCTAACGACACCTTCGGCAGCTTTACCCACCCCGTCCAGGACTTTTACCTCGAGTCGTACCTCCCGTCACTCCTCTCCTCGGGCGCCTACCGACCCAGCGGCAAGCCCGCTCGCAAGGCGACACAATCGCAGCTCGACCGAATGCGATCAAGCTTCATCGATCGGGGCGTCAACTCGGACGACGTGCGGTCCTTGCAAGCGCTCGAGCTCGCTACCCGAGCCGAGAAGATCGACTTTGGCCTCGTTGGCGCGACAGTCGCGCACTGTCTCGAGTCGTCACAAGACGTCGGAGGCGACGTCCTCGTTTTCCAAACTGGTGTGCTCGAGATCAAGCAGTCGATCGAGGCCATCCGCTCCGCCGTCCCCTCATCGATGCTCTCCTCCCTCCTCATCCTCCCGCTCCACGCGAACCTCACCTCGCAAGAACAGACAGCCGTCTTTCGCCCCACCCCTCGCGGGAAACGCAAGATTGTCGTCGCTACAAACGTCGCCGAGACGTCCATCACGATTGACGGGATCATCTACGTTGTCGACTGTGGGCGGGTCAAGGAGAACCAGTTCGACCCAGACAGCGGGATCACACGGCTCGTCGAGTGCTGGACGAGCCGCGCAGGGTGCAGGCAGCGCCGTGGACGCGCGGGACGAACGAGACCCGGCATGTGCTACAAGCTCTTCACGCACTACACCGAGGAAAACGCCATGTCGCCCCAGCCTACGCCCGAGATTCAGCGCACGCCGCTCGAGGCGCTCTTGTTGCAGATCAAGTCGACGAGGCCGACGGCAAATGTGCGCGAGTACCTCGGGAATGCGCTTGACCCGCCCAAAGTCCAGGCTATCGAGAGCGCTTGGGCGACGCTCAGGATGCTCGGAGCAGTCAGTAACGATGCGGACGGCGCGAAGGACGGCGATTTGAGCGCAAGGTTGACACCGCTCGGCATGCACCTCGCGATGATACCGGTTGACGTCCGCCTCGCCAAGATGCTCGTCCTCGCAGCCATCTTCCGCTGCCTCGACCCGGTGCGTGCACTCTGCCTCGACTGATCGCTCTCTAGCTGACGCTGTTACTCCAACGCAGGTACTCACCATCGTCGCGCTCCTGTCGAGCAAGCCCTTCTTCCTCAATCCGATGGAGCAGCGCGACGCAGCGAAGAAGTGCGTCCACCTGTCGACCTTCCGCTCGACTGTCGCTCACCCTCGCTTTGCAGGGCCCGCGCGAGCTTCTACACAGCGAGGTCGGACTTGCTGAGCGACGCAAAGGCGTTCGAGGCATGTCTCGCCGCTCGCAAGGACGGCCACAGCGCGCTGCGACACTTTGCCGATGAGGTGCGTCTCCCTGAACATCACCGCGAGCCGTCACTGACGAGCTCGCCTTTGCAGAACTTCATCTCCCCCTCGACCTTCCGAGACGTCCTTTCCCTCCGAACCGACTACCTGACCGCTCTCTCCTCTGTCGGTTTCGTCCCCCTGCGCGCGACCGCCTCCGACCCGTCCTTCAACGAGAACAGCCAGAACGAGAACCTGCTCAAGGCGATTGTATTTGCGGGCACGGCGAGGTTGGTTAGAGTCAAGGTGCCGAGAGCGGTGTTTGATAAGGGTATTTCCGGGGCGGTCGAGAGGGAGAGGGAGAGTAGGGAGGTCAGGTTCTTTGAGCCGGATGGTGCGTCCCGTTTCGCAGAGTCGCTGCTTCGGCGAGCCGGACCTGACAAGTTCGCCCTCGCCCGCAGGTCGTGTCTTCCTCCACCCGACGTCGCTCCTGTTCGAAGAGACCCGCTTCTCGACGCCGTTCGTCACCTACTTCAACAAGCAAGTCACGTCGAAGCCGTTCCTCCGCGACGCCAACGAGGTGAGCTTGCGTCTACCTCTCCACAACGCCCGTCTCACGCCGCTCTCGCGCGCAGGTCCCACTCTACGCCCTCTTGCTCTTCTCGTCAGGCCGCATCTCGATGGAGATGGACCGCGGCGTGACAGTCCACCTCGTTTCGCCAACACCGGCGACGACCGACCCGCGCGACCAGGTTGTCCACCTCCGCGCCTGGCCCCGCATCGGCGTCCTCGCGCAGGGGCTTAGGAAGCTGTTTGATGCGGAACTCGTGCGAGAGTTGGAGGAGCCGGGCTTTGGAGGTGCGCTGCGTCCTGTGTCTCTCTTGTCGCAGTCGCGGTCGCTCACCGCTCACCCTCGCTCGCTCGTTCGCCCCGCAGGTCCGGTGAGCCCAGCAGTGCGTGCGATGCTCGAGTTGCTCTCGCAGGACGGTGGTCTGAGGTAGACAGTGCTGGTGCAATAAAGTGGCGAGTTTCGCGCCGTGTCAACGTGTCCGAGTGCGAAAGCGAGAGCGAGTCGCTGGGCTCGCCGTCGTCGCTGCTCGCCCTCGTCCTCGCTCACTCGCACTCCCCCGTCGAAGATGGTCGCGCAGCTCATGGGAAGCCTCTTCCAGGGATCCTTCACCACCCCCGCCCTCCCCGCCTTCTCCCTCGGCGGCGTCGCGGCCTCGGTCGTCGACGGTCAGTCTCGTCACGGCTTTGCTCAACCAACACTCGCAACGACTGACGCTGCGTGTACGCCACACAGATGCCAAGTCCAAGGCTGAGGACCTCAAGAACAAGGCCTCGCACGCCGCCTCGGTGAGTCGCCAGCTCAAACACGCCGCCCAACTCCCGCGAGCTCAGCGTCGGCCCTTCTCGGGGTCTGCCTGTCGTCGAGCCGCAAACTCACCCGGTTGCCCTTGCGCGCATGTGTGACAGTCTGTCGGAGACAAGGTTGACGGTGCCCGCGCTGCTGCCACGACTGGTGCGTTCGCCGTTCTCGAGTTCGCCCGGGTCAAGGTCGAGGAGATGGGGGGTTGGCTGATCACGGCGATGGCTGACCTGTTCGCACGCAGGCGCCGCCCAGGCCGTCTCGAAGGCTGCCCCCGGCACCATCGAGCTCTACTCGGGCAAGTACTACGCGACCTGCGCCCTCGGCGGTGCGCTCGCCTGCGGCACCACCCACGCTTTCGTCACCCCGCTCGACCTCGTCAAGTGCCGCAAGCAGGTCGACAAGAACATTTACAAGTCCAACATGGACGGGTGGAAGAAGATCCACGCCACCGAAGGCGGCATCCGCGGCCTCTACACCGGTGTCGGCCCGACCTTGATTGGCTACTCGATGCAGGGAGCGGCTAAGTACGGGTTCTACGAGTACTTTAAAAAGTTCTACTCGGACCTCGCAGGTGCCGAGAACGCCGTCAAGTACAAGGACGCCATCTACCTCGCCGGTTCCGCCTCGGCCGAGTTCTTCGCCGACATGGCCCTCGTCCCCATGGAGACCGTCAAGGTCCGCATGCAGACCACCTTCCCTCCCTTTGCCACCTCTGCCGTCTCGGGCCTCAACAAGGTCGTCGCCGCCGAGGGCTCTGGCGCGTGGGTTCCGCGGGCTTTGAAGACTTGCCCTTTCCTTTCGCTCGCGTTTGGGCTCGCGCTGACTCCGAGTCGTCTCGCAGGCTCTTCAAGTCGCTCCCCTCGCTCTGGGGCCGTCAGATTCCGTGAGGAGGCGGTCGTTCGTTCGCTCACTTCGGCTCGATCGCTGACTTTGCTCGTACCCGGCAGCTACACCATGATGAAGTTCTGGTCGTTCGAGGCCACCGTCGCCGCCATCTACAACGCCCTCGGCGCGCCCAAGGAGTCGTACAACAAGCTCCAGCAGCTCGGTGTCTCGGCCACCGCCGGTTACATCGCCGGTGTCTTCTGCGCCGTCGTCTCGCACCCCGCCGACACCATGGTTTCCAGTGCGTTCTACTATCCCTCTGCGAGCGGTGGGAGCGACGAAGCGAGCGAGTCGGGCGGACGCGAGGTGGACCTTCCCAAATCGCTGATTCTTTTCTCCCGCAGAGCTCAACGCCCCTCTGGCCCCCGGCCAGGCCAAGCCGACCGTCGGATCGATTTACGCTGACATCGGATTCGGTGGGCTCTGGGGAGGACTCGGAACTCGTATCATGTACGTTTCGGAGGCCTTTGACACCCTTTCTCGATTCCTGCTGACTTCCTTTCGTCTCGCAGCATGATCGGAACCCTTACCGCTCTTCAGTGGCTCATCTACGACACGTGCGTTATAACCCAGCTCGAAAACGACTCGAGAAAAGGCCATCCCGTTGACTCTCTTGCTCTCCCTCGTCCAGTTTCAAGGTCACTATGGGTCTCCCAACCACCGGCAGTGCCGCCCCCGACCCGACCAAGAAGTGAAAAGGCTCCCCTCGTCCGTAGCCCTAGAATTGCGACTTTTTCACCTTCTCCATGCCCGATCTTTCTGTCTATTCTCCCCTTCTGCCGTCCTCGAATGCAAGGTGTTCTCCCGCAGCATCAGAACAGTGATGACGGCTGAGAATCATGGCTGTGGCTTTTCAAGGTCGAAGGCGAGTTGTAGCCGTCGGGCGAGAGGGCGGAGGAAAGACGACTTCCGCAAGGAGGAGCAAGTCAAAACGAGACCGTGTTCCCGCTTCCGCTTCAAATAGTCCAGCTCCACTTGCCTCTAGGTCTGCTCAGCTGTCAGCCAGCTCAAGGGAGACGAGATTTAGACACCTCCCAATGCTCCGCCCTCCCATCCCTTCCCTTGTGAAGAACGCGCCCACTCCACTGCAGCCTTCCTCCACCTTGGCCTTGCTTGAGGGTGGAGTATTGCTTTGGTAGCGCCTTCTGCGCAAGAAGCCCGTGAACGCCGTTCACGCAGAGAGATAGAAGGAGGAGGAGGTGTGGCTTTGCAAAAAGCAGGCGAAGCGGCGCTGATCCTGCAGTCGAGTATCTGACTGTGAGGGAAAGAGCGCTGCCATGTCAGTCGTTTGTCACTAGACCGGCACTCGTCGTAAGTGAAGCAGCGAGGGAAGCAAGGAAGGCAGCTGAACGCGAGCGGATGCGCATATGGGTCGAGCGGTGTTGTAAGTGGTCAGCGGATGGCAGACGGCTGTTCCTCGACGTCGATTCTACCGTCGATGTGAGGAAGCCATGAGAAGCAGTCTCGTGAGTGGAGAAGGGAGAAGAGCAGAATGCCGGTGAGGAGGAGGACGAATCTCGTCGCGTCAACCATCGGCAGCCTCGTCGAGAGGCTTGAGCTGCTTCAAACGTCGTAATGAGCGAATCCAATCAGCAGCTGTTCCTTTTTACTGTCACAAGTCGTCCTCTTGCTCCCCCTCCCTTCTCCTCGTCCTCGTCCGCTCACATCAACAGAGTTTCGACCTGCTTATTGCCTGCTCACGCGCTACTCGGCGTCTATCGACCGTACACTCCCGCATCAGCGTCTCCCGACCCGCCACCGCGACTTCATCGACCCCACTCCAGTTCATCAGTCGACGAGCGATGTCGGCTCGCGTGCGGGTGGCCTCGGGCGTGGCGGCGCTGGCCAACTGCCTGACAGCTGGAGGTGAGTTTACGAAGCCTATCGCGAGCGCGAGCGGGCCCACAGCGCGACGACGCCCGCACATCGCCTCGTCACTCCGACAGCTGACTCTTGCGCGCGCACACAGCACCGTTCACGTTCCCGCTGTGGGCGCCGACGCTCGAGCGGACGCTGCACTTGTCGTCTTCGCAGCTCAACATCGTCGCCTCGGCCGCCATCCTCGGAGAGTACGCCAGCGCCGCAGGATTCGGCGCACTGGCGGACCGACGAGGACCAGGAGCGGTCTCGTTCGCTGCGGCGGTCCTGTTTGGCGTCGGCTTTGGAGGACTTGCATGGAGGTACCAGCGCGGCGCGGACTGGAACGGAGCGGGAGGACAGCCGTGGGAGTACGAGTGGGCGGCGCTCTCGCTCGCATGGTTCATCTGCGGCTGCGCCACGGCGGCGAGCTACTTTGGCGCCATCACGTCGCTCACCAAGTCGGCGCCGTCGAGCCACTCGGGCCTCGCGATTGGCGTTCCTTGCGCCGTCTTCGGCCTCTCGCCCCTCTTCCTTTCAGCCATCGCCTCGTTTTTCACGACGCACACCGCAACAGGCGAGACGCTCGATGTTGCCAAATACCTCAGCTTCCTCGGCGCGCTACTGCTCGCGGTCAACTTCATCGGCGGCTCTCTCATCAAGGAGTTGCCGTGGGAGGACAACCTCGACAAGGTGATTGTCGACGCCATCGAGCCTTTCGACGACGAGGCGCGTGTCGACGAGCCAGACTCGGGCTTTGCGACGTCTCCGCCCCGCTCCATCACCGACGAGGCGAATGAGCGCACTTCGCTCCTCGGCAAGCCCGCTCCCGCCCTCGAAGCGTCGAGTGGCAGCCAGCCCTTCACCGCCGTTCTCGCTTCGCCATGCTTTTGGCTGCTCGGAGGCGTCGTCTTCCTGTCAACCGGGCCAGCAGAAATGTACATGGCGTCGGTCGGCCAGATCCTCGACACCCTCGTCTCGAACAGCGTCGCGGCAGGCGCAACGACGCAGAGCGCACTCACGCTCGCCAAGCGCCACATCGCACTCCTCTCGGTCACCAATACAGCCTGGCGCCTCATCGTCGGCGCAGCTTCCGACTACCTCGCTGCGCCCTCCGACAAGCAGGCGCCGGTCTCCGTCTGGCGACGCCACGTCCGCCTCATACTTGTCGGCGCAGCCTGCGCGCTCCTTGCAGCGACGTACGGCTGGGGCGGAACCGGCCTCTCGACCCCGAGCGGTCTCTGGATCATCACCCTTCTGACGGCCTGCTCTTACGGCACCGTCTTCACCCTCACACCGACCCTGATCCGCTCGCGCTGGGCTGTCGTCGACTTTGGCCGCAACTGGGGCGCGGCGACGCTCTTCTCGGCCGCAGGAGCGCTCCTCTTCACTCCGCTCTCTGGCGTCCTCCGCGACTTGGCGTCTCGCAAGGACGGCGACGGACCGCGTTGCGTCGGCCCGCGGTGCTACAGGCCCATCTTTGCGCTGTCAGCGGTGAGTGCGCTCCTGGCGACTGCGCTTGTGGCGGTCCTCGCGAGGAGGTGGAAGAAGAGGTTGTAAGGCGGTCACCTGTCCTCTCGTTCGCTTTGTTCCAAGTCCCGCTTGTTGCTTGTTCTCTCACCCTTTGCACTGTAGACCCCAGCACACTCTGTAGAACCCCTTGTCCTTGTTCTGCCATGACCCCCTTTTGCTCGTCACCTTCGTGACCCGGCGACTTGAGCGTGCGGCCGACGTTGGCGAGTCGCTTCTTCCCGCTCGCCACGCTCTCGCTCGTGCTGCTTCTGACCAGCTGTGACCACGCTTGACAGACTCGCTTGCTACTCAGACCGCCTCACCCAGCCCAGCCCACTTCACCCCCGTCCACCCACCCTCTCCCCCGACTCCGAAAGATGAGCGCCGTCTACATCGCCAGCGCAAAGCGCACGGCGTTCGGCGCGTTCGGCGGAGCGCTCAAGAGCTACACGGCTTCTCAGGTGCGCACACTAGTTTTTCGAAGCGCAGGAGGAGCTGCCACAGCGTGCTGACTGTCGGATAACCTCCCCACTTTGCGTGCAGCTTGGTGGCTTTGCGGCAAAGGCTGCGCTTGCAGAGTTGCCCGAGGGCACCAAGGTCGACTCCGTTATCTTCGGGTGCGTCGCCGCCGTTCTGCGCTACCCTCGCCTCGAGCGGAAGAGCTGACCTTGCTGGTTCCCCGTGATTGCAGCCAGGTTCTCTACTCGGATCCGTCGGCAGCGTACTTGGCGAGGCATGTTGGACACTTGGCGGGTTTGCCGGTGGACGTCCCGGCGTTGACGGTCAACAGGTGCGTCTCGAAGCCAAAGTCCCGGCTTTCGCGAGGGAAAGGACGGTTTGCCTTCCGGTGCGATCTTGATGGGTTTGCTTGCACAGGCTCTGCGGAAGTGGCTTCCAGTCGATCTTCAACGCGGCGCAGGAGATCAGGCTCGGCGAGTCGCACGTCGTCCTGACCGGCGGAACTGACAACATGTCGTTGTCTCCCTGCGCGTCCGCCTTCCCTTCGTTGCTTCTCTCGAGCTGCACGACTGACTCCTCTGCACGACAGACACCCTCTCTGGCGCTTCCCGCTTCGGCACCAAGTACGGCGTTGACCTCAAGCTGGAAGACTCGCTTGCGCAGGCTCTTACCGACCGCGTTCCGAACTCTACGTGCGTCCCATTCTCTGCGCTACATGAATAGTAAAAGAACTGACGCCCGCTGTCCCGCAGACCCATGGGCATGTGAGCTGGAGGTTTGCGGACGGAAGCCCCTTGTCGACTAGAGACTGACGGTTCTGCTTACGCGCAGCACGGCCGAGAATCTCGCGAACCAGTACGGCATCACCCGCGAGGACTGCGACAAGTACGCGCAGCAGAGTCAGCAGCGATGGAAGCAGGGTGCGTCGGCATTTCCTTCCGAATTTGCTCCTGAACCCCGCCCGCTCACTCGCTCCTTCGCGCAGGACTCGACTCGGGCGCTTTCGAGGGCGAGATCGCACCCGTCACCCTCCCCCCGAAGAAGAAGGGCGGCGAGCCGATCATCTTCAAGCAAGACGAGCACCCTCGCCCTTCCGTCACCCTCGAGCAACTCGCCAAGCTCCCGCCCGTCTTTGCCAAGAACGGAACCGTCACGGCTGGAAACGCGAGTGGGATCTGTGATGGTGCGGCGGCGAATGTGGTCGTGAGCGAGGAGGCGATCAAGCGCTACGGGATCAAGCCGCTTGCGAGGGTTGTGGCGTACCATGTCAACGCTGTTGAGCCGACCGTCATGGGTGCGTCGCCCCTCGCCTTCCACTAGTATCGTACTCTGCTGACTCTCTCGCCCGCTCCGCAGGCATCGGCCCTGTTGACGGCATCCGCGGTGTTCTCAAGAAGGCCGGCCTCAAGATTGAGGACATTGACGTGCGTAGTCTACCTCCCGCCGGGTCTTTCGACTCCTTGCTGACCTGTGTGCGCATCCGCAGCTCTTCGACATCAACGAGGCTTTTGCCGCCCAGTGGCTTGCGGTCCAGAAGGAGCTTGGCCTGCCCATGGACAAGTCGAACGTCCACGGCGGTGCCATCGGTGCGTCCCAAACCCTACTCCTTCCGCCGCCTCTTACTGACGCTCTCGACGCACGCAGCTCTCGGCCATCCGCTCGCGGCCTCCGGCGCCCGCATTACCAACCACCTCGTCCACAACCTTCACCGCCTCAACAAGCGTTATGCGGTCGGCTCGGCGTGCATCGGTGGTGGACAGGCGTGCTCGATCGTCCTTGAACGTGTGTAGGCCCCGGAAGGGAGTGTGCAAAGCAGTTCTTTGACGTACAAAGGACTGGTCGCAGGGTCGGAGACGCCCGCTTTCCGCTCGTTCGCTTCTCGTGGTCGTCTCCAGGCTGTGAACCAGCGCGTAAAGCCCAGTACGCTCGCCCCAAGCTGAATGTCAACTTGTCCTCGCGAAGTCAACTTTCGCGTCCGCTCGCGAGCAAGACGCGACTTGGTGTTTGTTGACATCCTCGCTCGTCGTTTCCACCGCTCTACGGCTCCAGCTGAGCAGTGCATCATGTCACAGGCATCTCAACAGTCGCAGGGAGAGGACGCCTACGCCGGCCGCGTCCTCCCGCAGCCCGTTACCGTCCTCGAGGTGCGTCCTCATCGCTCGCTCGCTGTCGGCCATCGCACGCCTCGCAGGGCTGCGCGCTGACTTCGGTACATCTGCGCGACGTCCGCAGGGCCACTGCTGCACAAAGAAGGACGTCGAGAAGCTTGTCGAGGCGGGGTATGCGACCCTCGAGGCGGTGGCGTACACGCCCAAGAAGCTCCTCTGCCAGGTCAAGGGTATCTCGGAGGCAAAGGCGGATAAGATCATTGCTCATGGTGCGTCACAGGTGGCGAATTGATTCGGGAGGAGCTGACCAGGTTCTCCTCGAGCAGTGAGCAAGATGATCCCGATGGGCTTCACCACCGCGACCGAGTTGTGCGTTCTCGCCTTGCCCTCTGCAACGAAGCACGAGCTGACGATACTGGCGGAACAGCCATGCTCGCCGCGCCGACCTCGTCATGATCACCACGGGCTCAACAGCTCTCGACAACATTCTCGGGGGTCAGTCTCGCCCGTTGCTCTCTTCTCCGGCAGCTTCGCTAAGACGCGGCTATTCTCGCAGGCGGCATCGAGACGGGCGCGATTACCGAGCTGTACGGCGAGTTCAGGACGGGAAAGAGTCAGATCTGCCACCAGCTCGCCGTCACTTGCCAGGTGTGTCGCTCAGCTCGCTCTCATGCCTCTTCTGATAGCTCACGAGCGTTCTCTCGGCCGCAGCTCCCGGTCGACATGAAGGGCGGCGAGGGCAAGTGCCTCTACATCGACACCGAAGGAACCTTCCGTCCCGAACGCTTGCTCGCCATCTCCGAGCGCTATGGCATGAACGGCGAAGACGTCCTCGACAACGTCGCGTACGCGAGGGCGTACAACGCGGATCACCAGTCGCAGCTGCTCGTCCTCGCTGGCGCCATGATGTCCGAGTCGAGGTGAGGCCACCCCCCACCCCTTTCCTTCGCTGACCCGAGCGCTGCACTGACTCGCGGCGCACTCGCCAGGTTCTCGCTCATCATCGTTGACTCGGTCACCTCTCTCTACCGCACCGACTACTCTGGCCGTGGCGAGCTCTCCGCGCGCCAAATGCACCTCGCCAAGTTCCTCCGCTCGCTCATGCGCCTCGCAGACGAGTTTGGTGTCGCCGTCGTCGTCACGAATCAGGTTGTCGCGAGCGTCGACAACGCGCCTGGTGCGCCTGCGGATGCGAGGAAGCCGATTGGAGGAAACATCATGGCGCACGCCAGTACGACTCGGTGCGTTCAGCTCGCCGTGCACCCATAGCATACCGCGTCAGCTGACGGTTTTTCGCCGCTCGCAGCATCTCGATGCGCAAGGGTCGCGGCGCAGAACGTATCGCCCGCATCGTCGACTCGCCCTGCATGCCCGAAGCCGACGCCAAGTTTCAGATCACGGCGCAAGGCATCACGGATGTCAACAACGGCGATGGAGACGGTGACGACGACTGATTGATCTCGCTTGATTGCTCTGAAGACGCTCGTGCTTCGCCTTTCGCTTGTTGTTTCTCGCTCTTCCTTCGATCAGTCCCTTCATTCGTACCCTCCGCATCCTTGTCGTGTACAGATCCAGCGCAGCTTTGCAACCTTTCGTTCCAGCAAGTCTCTGGGGTCGTGAATCCAAGCAAGCGTTTCAAGCGGTCCATCGTCCTCCAAGCTAAGTCGCCTCCCGTTCCGCCTTGAGCGCCTCCACCCTCGCCCAGAGCGTTCCCACCGTCGCGATCATCGCCGCCACCTGCGACTCGAGCGCGGCGATGCGTTTGGTGTCGTCGCTGCGTAGGGCGCCGGCAGCTTCCGAGCCGGATGCATCCTCGCACATCGTCTCCTTCTTCAGCTTCGCCTCCTCCTGCACCCTCATCTGCTCGCCCGCGTGTTCCAAGCTCTCCAAGCGCCTGTCCATCTCCTCGACCCGCTGAAACATCCCCTTCACGACCTTTCCGTCGTTCGCGGCCTCGCCAGCCGGCGACGAGCACATACGCATAACGAGGTCTGCGTGGCCATGGCCGAGATGGCAAAGGTAGGCGTACATCTCGTTGTAGCGCGCTTGGAGGGCGGCGAAAGCTTCGGGCGAGACGGCAGGCGGCTGATTGGGAGGAGGAGGTTGAGCGGTTGGTGAGAGTGAGGGCGGTGCATGGCCGTTGAAAGGAGAGTGAGGAGGATTGAAAGGTGGGACAGCGGAAGCGGCGGTCGTTGAACGAGGGGGTGAGGCGGCGGCGGGAGTAGTGGATGAGCGACGACGTATGGCGGGTGTCTTGAGCGTCGAAGCGGCGGGTTCAGCTGCGAACGAGCACGAAGGGTGCGTCAGGAGGACCGCAAGACCGTTCTGCGTCACAAGGAGGGAAGGCTCACCAGGCTTTGTCGGCTGCGGCTCAAAGTCTGAATCGGTCGTCAAGTCGGGGAGCGTATAAACCGGCTTCTTGATCGTCGCCCTGCGCTTCTGCCTGCCCGTATGCGAGTAGACCTCCTCGCCAGCCTCGAGCGCAGCCTCTATCAGCGCCTGCTCGCGATCGTAGTCCGCCTGCTCATTCGCCTCCGCATCAGAACCTCCGCCAGTCTTGAGCTTCTTCCGAGCCGTGCCTTTCTTCTTCGTCGTTGATCCACCGACACCGCCTTTGGTCCGCTTCTTCCCCTTCCTACCCTCGTTCCCGCTCGTCTCCGTCTCGTCCACCTTCTTCGGTCCCCCCATCGACGGTAGCAAGACTGGCGCGTCGTCTTCGTAGAGCTTGAGCTGTCCAGCGGAAACAGGAGGGAAGGCCGCCACCCATGTCGACGAGTCAAGCGGATCGTAGTCGGGCGGCGGAGGGATGCGAGCGGCGAGCGAGACGCCGGCGGGAGGGATGGCAATGGCGCATGTCGAGCTACAAGACACAGGGGTCGTCAGCTAATATGACGCATGCGCACATCGGCGGCTACACTTCGCGCGAGTACTCACTCAATCTCCGCAGGAAAGCCGTGCTTCTGCTGCCATGACACGAAGAAGGCTTTGATGTGCTCGAGATCGGGAGGCAAGAAGCCGGCAGCGTGGCGGACGTCGAGCTCGAGGGAAAGGACGCATCGAGGGACTGCGCGCAGAGACGGGAGGAGGGTCAGTAGTGCACGAGTGGAGGATCGAGTTCGCGCAGTCCTCACCGTCTGCAGTGGCCTTGAAGGCACAGCTGATCACGACCTCGGATCCCTCGCGAGGCATCGGCCAGCGCTTGACGTCGACCTGAAGGCAAAGTCATGTGAGGCGTAAGGGCAGAAGAGGGGAACGATGCTACTCGCCTTGACAGCTTCGATATTGTAGCCGAACTGCTGAACCTTCTCCGTCCTCGTATCGCTCGAAACTTCCTCGACCGCGAGTCCCTTCGAGTCAACGACAAGCGAGTACTTCACTCCGCTCTCAGCCGTCCACATTCCGTTCCTCCGCCCGTCCTGCTCGTCAGACCATATCAATGCCCACTTCTTCACCGGCACGGCGACTCGTCTCGCCTGTCGAGGGGTCGGGCGACGAGCTGAAGGGGGGTTGTCGATGAAAGGGAGACCTGAAGCGTCGAAACGGACGTCCGGATCGACTGCCCGGCCGGAGTAGGCAGGTGCGCCCGCTTTGTAGACGTCTGTAGGCTCGCCCTCGTGCCCCTCGCCCCCGCTCGGGCGCGCCATGACCCGCAAGTCTCGTTGACAGATGAGGCGGTACGGAGAGGTGGGAGCGCGGGAGTTGAAGCGGTGGAACAGCCAAAGCAGTTCAGGTGGCTTCCTAGGGTTCCTAGCACGTCAACAGCAAGCGTTCAGCCCCAGAATAGCTAGTTGTGAGGAAGTCAACCTCTGCGCGACGTCCGCTCACTGGTCTGCCTCCCGCCACCACGCTCGCATACCACAGACTTGCTCGGTCGCGGCTCAGATACGCTCACAGGCACCTCAGGACCGCTCCAGACCCATCCGGACAACTCCCAGCGCCGACCACCGCCCGCTCATTCAGCACGACCATGCCACCCAAAGGCCCTCAAGCGATGTCCGCCAAGCGGATCGCAAAGGAGCTGAACGACCTGAAGAAGGATGCGTTGCCACAGGGATGCACGGTTGGACCGGCGTCGGATGAGAACGTCTACGAGTGGTCTGCGTCAATCGGTGCGTTCGCTCGTCTTGAGGGATGGAAGGCGCGAAGAGGAGCATGCAGGGACGCCAAGCTGACGCCCGAGATTTATTCGTACGCAGAGGGGCCTCCCGATTCGCCTTACGCTGGCGGTGTCTTCCAGCTGCACATCACCTTGCCCGCTGATTATCCGTTCCGTCCTCCTCGAGTCGTCTTTATGACCAAGATCTACCACGCGAACATCAACAACCAGGGTGGCATCTGCCGTGAGTTGCGCGCGGAGCGACCATACGCAAGGAAGCCAAGCTGACCTCACCTGCTTGACAGTCGACATCCTCAAGAACCAGTGGAGTCCTGCGCTGTCCATCGTCAAAGTCCTCCTCTCTGTCGCCTCTCTTCTCGCCGACCCGAACCCGCACGACCCGCTCATGCCCGACATCGCGCAAAGGTACCTGAAGAACCGCAAGGAGCACGACAAGACGGCTCGGGAATGGACTCGTGCGTCAATCGGCCGTCCTTGCTCCGAGGGCTTGCACTGACTTGTCGCGATTCACTGCTGCAGAGAAGTATGCCATGCCGGTCAAGAAGCCCGCGACCGCTTCCGCCGAGTCGAGCAAGGAGGGCAAGAAGAAGGAGGTCGAAGTCCTCGTCATCGACTAGACGTCCATTCGCCTCTAGACAAGTCTCTCAACCCCCTTTCTCTACGGTCGCGCAACTGCCGCCTCGCGTGTACCTCCTTCGCCTTTTGCGTTCGCCTCCAGCTTTCGCCTCTCTCGTTCTCCCTCGTCCAGCGTCGCCCTCCTGTTTTGTCCACGACACGCAACATCTCCGCCTCGTTGTGCCTCTACCCAGTCCCCTCACATACCCGCTTGTGTCCGCCTCGCCGTTGTACATGCCCTTCTTCCGCTTGCTTTTTGTACCACCACTCGCAGACCTCGCTGTCCTTGCCACGCCTTTGCACCTCCTCTTTGCTTCCCGCGCGGAAATCGCGCGAGAGAAGTCCGTGGTTGCGATATCTCCAAGTTCTTCTGCTCCTCTGCCTCTCTCTCTCTCCTCCGCTTCTCTCGCTCGTCGTCTCGCATCGCTACATTCCGACTGGGGGTCAATTACACCTTCTACAAGAGCTAACACAGCACCAGGCTAGTGTCCAAGGAGCTAGGAGGGGGGCGGCTACTGTACTGGCGGAAGGAGGTTCCGGGTTGACTGATGAAGGAGAACGAGCGAAGGATACGGGGCGAGCGTGTGTGAGAGGGGAGGGCAGGGTATACAGGGCTGGTGGGACTGTTGGACTGGGTACAAGCTGGTCCAGGCGAAGGAGACGTGCAGGGGTATCGCGAGAGAAGGGTGTCGCGTCGATGGAGGTCGGAAGGACAGGCGAGCAGTTGAGCGGTCGATGGAGGGAGTGGGAGTGTCTGCGCACGGGTATTAGGCGTGTACAGATGCGGGCAACAGGCGAGACAAGCGACTCGAGGCGACCTCGACACAAGCGCATCCTGCTCGAGAAGCCGTCAGCGATGTGCTGCGCGGACGAGGACAACGCCAGACGCACTGTTACTCCTCGTCGCTTGCGGGCTGCTCAGCCATCTCGCCGCCGTAATCGGCCTCGAGGCTTTCCTCCCGACTCTCCTGCTTGACGATCTCGCCCCTCCCGTGCTCGCCGAAGTGCTGCTGGATGGCGGCGGAGAACTCGGCGTCGCTCGAGCCGGGGTCGCGGTGGACACGCAGCTGTTGACGAAGCAGTCAGCGGGGGGGGCTTCGGACGGGGCAAATTGGCGAGACGCACATGCTGCCAAAGGTTGTCGTGCCTCGTGAAGCGGCGCTCGCAGCCAGGCCAGCGGCACTGGAACGCTGTGAAAGAAGTGGAAGGTCAGCGAGGAGGTCGTCTGGCAGAACGGAAGGGGTTCGCAACGCACGCCTCTCGTTCGTATGGATCGAGCGAACGTGACGCTTGAGATGCTCGCTGCGCTTGAAGAGCTTGCCGCAGCCAGGGACCTTGCAGACGAAGATCTTCTTCGGCTTGCCTGTCTTGGTGACGCCGGCATAGGCGATCTGCGCCTCGGTGAGCTTGAACTCGGGGTCCTCAAGGTCCTCCGGGTCGAGGTCGAGGTCGGGCGTGCAGGGCGGACGACGACCGCGCGAGCGCTTCGTCGGCATGCGGGCAAAGTCCTCGTTGGAAGGGATGGACGCAGAGTTTGTGCCGGGGAAGTTGGCGGGATCCTTGTCCTTTGGAGCGGCGAGCGCGCCAGCTGAAGGAGCGACGACGCCGGGCGCGAGCATCGATTGCGGCGTCGGGTGGTAGATGTTCGACGAGATACGGCGCCTCGCCTTGCTGCCGGAGTCCGCTGCCTGAGTTGACGACGACGACGATCCGGGCGCGAGCGCGCGAAGGGTGTTCTGGCTCGACGACGAGTATGGCCCGCGGATGGTCGCATCGCGCGACTGCTTTGTCCGCCTCGTAGGACCGACGATGACCATCGCCGAGCGAGTCCTCATTCGAGGCCTGGGCTGCTCGTCTTTGTACTCGTCCTGATCGTGCTCGTGCTCGTACTTGTCCTGCTCGTCGAGGCGGAGCGCGTCCATCTCGCCCGTCCCGCTGCTGACATAGCCGCTGTCACTGTTTGCGCGTCCAGCGGCGTTGACGAAGGCGGGGTTGACATGACCTTCGTATTCGGACGACGTCGAGTGCGACTGGTGCGACGACTCGGTCGACTCGGTGTAGGACGACAAGCCGGACTGGTTTGACGTCGAGCGACCCATCATGCCGTAGGCGTGCTGGTAGTAGATGGCCGCATCGGTGTGTGCCGAGCTCGACTGGTACCGCGACGTTGAGGCGAAAGACGAGGCGTGAGCGCGACTCGCCTGGCTGCCCGACTCCTCGCCACTACCACGCGGTTTGGCCCACTCGAGCGTCGGAGGAGGCGAGCCTGCGTTGTAGGCTGCGCCGCCGCGAGCGAGCGGATGGCCGGCCGACGAGCTGGTCGGGTAAGGGCGGTAGGTCAGGTAGCTGTGCGGGAACTGAGCGAGGGGAGGCGGCGGGAGATAGTTCGGGGGATACGGAGCTGAGTGCGAGGCGTAGTCGGGGAAGGTGAAGGACGGCGGTCCCCTCTGCTCCGACTCGCCGCTCTCGGTCCTCTCGCGGGGTTCATGGTCGTACGCCGCCATTGCAGCAGCGTACGACTGCGACGAGATGCGTGCGAGCTGCGCCTCGTCGAGCGGAGCAAGGCCGGCATTGCTGAGGGAGCGAGGTTGCTGGTAACCCTCGGGAAGTCCGCGCGCGTCCAAGCCGTACATGGTCGCAGGGTGGTATTGACGGGCGCTCAGCGCAGACGACCGGTACTGCTCTTCGGCGTCATCCTGGCGAGGTGCGGCGTAGCTGAAGTTGGGCTCGTAGCGAGACGAGGGATGGGTGTATTCGCCGAGGGCGGGTGACGCACTCGCAGTCTCGCGCCGCACCTGCAGGTGCTCGTCGCCCGAGGCAGTGCGAGGCGGCGCAGGGAATGCGTACGCCTGGAGCGCCTGAGCTGGAGGCGAGCGAGACGTCGCTCCCTGGGTGGACGAGTCGGGATTGTAGGACACCGACCGCGCGTGCGGGATCTGGACGGGGCTCGCCGAAGGTTCAGCCTGCATCGCTCGTGGTGGATTTCCTGCGTGAAGCGCAAATGTCAGCTTGGGTGGGCGGTTCATCGCCGGAACGAGCGGAGAGACCGATGACACACCTCGCTCGCAAGTTGCTCGGTGCTGACGGCGCTGGTGAGGAGGCAGTGGGCGCTCGACGACGAAAGGAGTCGCAGGCAGGAGCGAGATGGAGGAAGAGAGGAGAGCGAGAGAAGGGCGCGAGGAGGTGAGGGTGGTCGGAGGTACCGCGGACGTCTGAGGCCGCTCGAAAAGGGGTGAGGTAACAGGGGTGCCCCTAATCTGCACAGACAGGAGAGCAGGGCGCCAGAGAGAGGAGTGGAGTCGCAGAGAGAGAGGAGGTCTGGCGAGGACGAGAAAGACAGGCGGACGGCGAAGAACAGCGTCAGCCTGGATGAGCGAGCGAAGCCGGATGTTCTTCCGACGCGGGGTAGACAGGAGGCTCGTCCGCAGACACAGACGCTCGCACGCCGTCTGCGCACATCCTCCTCCCGCCAGGCCTGAGCTGACTGTCCGTCCTTCGTGCTCCGCCTAGGTTCGTCGGATGGGTGCAGGATCCTCGACGACGACGAGAGCAAGAGTGCGAACAGGAGACGCACTGCGGATCTCCACGAGAGGAGCGAGCGTCGACGGTCAGGTTGCGAAGGTCGTGCCGGGAGGAGGTCGTCGCAAGGTCGTGAGGGGTCGTCTAGTACAACAACAGGAGGTCGTGGCAGCACAGGAGAGCGAGTGGCGAGAGCGCAAGGAGGAGGAGAGGAGCTGCTCGACCGTCGGGAGCCGGCGTGGGCCCCATCCCAGCATGCCGACAGTTGTTCCGGAACACACAGAAGCTTTCGTGCCCTTCCACAAGCTCGAATCGAGCGATAGCGCGCGTGCGTGTCCCTATCTTCGTCGCCAACCGTCCTCGACCTTCCGTCGCGAGCAGGTCGTCGAGGAAGAAGTCGTCGATCGCAGAAGTCCGCCTCGTCGACCTGGCGCTGCCTTGACATCCTCCAATGTCTTCCCAGCGCTGCGCTTCTCGCTAGACTATGAAGGACGGTGGCGAGTACCTCAGCTGATCAGCAGGCAGGGCACTGATTCCGACAGACAGTTCGCTCAGGCGCAACCTTCCGTTGCTTCGCAATACGCACAAGCATGCCTGCCGCACGTCGGCTGACAGGCTGCGCAGCTGCTCTCGTCATCTCTCACACTGGACGGGCTGGATAAACACCTTCTCTCGCCTCTCGCCTCGTTCTCCATCCAACTTCCACTGGGCGGAAGAAGCGACTGCTGCCGGCTACTGTACCTCGATCGGCTTGGATACTTGGACACTAGCTCGAGATAGTATCATGGCGTCCATTAAGCACCCTCGCGATCTTGCGAGGTTGAGGCTCCCGGTCGTTCGCCCCTTTGTAATGCCTCTTCTCCTCGGGCTCGGCTCCATCGCTCGCGCTTCGCCTGTCAGCTCGTTATCTGGCGTGCATGACGCTCGCTCGTTAGCGGGCCAGAGGGCAAAGGAACACTCCCGGCGAAGGGCGATCCTGGGGAAGCTTTCCCGGCGGTCTTGGGCAAACAACGATGAGCTGCTCGCCGGCGCAATCTTCCGATCGTTCACCTGCATTGCTGCAATAATTGCTGTTCTTGCGCGTAGAGCAGAGCTTTCACGCTGCACAGGAACAGCGAAAAGTCGACTTGCGGGTACAGCTCGAGAGTGAATCGAGTGCACGAGTAGCGGCGGAGGCCAGAGTAGCTGCTCCTGATATCAGCTTATCTGGTAAGGCGTCCTCGCTACTTGACATGGCGAGCAGCATCAGTGTTGACGCAGATCGAGCGAGAGCGTACTTGCGACGCCAATTTGAGAAGGTCACGGTCCTGCTTCTCCCCCTCGAGGACCACGCAGTCAAATCGTGCGGCTGCACAGCCTCCACAGCGCGGCTTGCCCGGCTGGGCGCGAGCAAGGCGCCAGTGCTCCCGCCCCTCCTCTCGTTCCTCCGCTCACCGCACCTCGCTCATCTCGCGCGCTCGCTCAGCTTGACTGATACACCGGCTATGGCTCAGCAGCAGCGAATCATCTTCTACGACCTCGTCGCCGAGCACGGCGGCCCGTTCTTCTCACCCAACACGCTCAAGACCCGCTTCTCCCTGCTGCACAAGGGCGTTGACTTCGAGGAGCGCGAGGTCACCTTCATGGAACTGCGGGAGATGGGCCCGAAGATGGGCTTGGAGCGAGCGATAAGTGCGGGCGACTCCTCCTTGACATGCGGGCGATGGGCTGATCATCTTGTGCGCGCCTCGCAGTCCCTTGTATCGAGCTTCCAGACGGAAGCTTTATCTACGACTCATGGAACATCGCCGAGTGAGTAGTCGATGCCGGCCAATCCTCCTTCTCGTCCTCGTTCCCGCTGATCCTCTTTCGCCCGCAGATGGCTCGAGAAGGAGTACCCCGACAAGCCTTCCCTCTTCTTGCCCGACTCTCCTACGCCTCTCAAGGCCGGCGCGCCTGAACTCACAGTCGCAAAGAACTTTGCGCTGGTCTTCTCGGAAGGTGCGTTGACTCGAGCACCTGTTTCTGCTCTCTTCACCTTGCTGCATCCCGACTCACCAGTACTGACTCATCCTCGAACAGGATTCGGCAGCTCTGACGCACAATGGAGCACGTTCTTCGAGATCTCGGCGCAGGGGATCTACGACTTGATGCCTGGAACCGAAGAGACGAACCCGGTTCGTCAACTGCGCAACAATGATACTGGCCCTCGACACTGACCTCCTCTTGCGAGGCAGAACAAAGCGTACTTTCGATCCGATTACAAGCTGGGTATGAAGGGTGCCTGGGAATGGCTGCAGTCGCTGGACCGCGGTGAGCTTGCCTCCTTTCCACGTTTCCACAGATCGCACGCTTACACTCTCTCACAGAGACCCTTATCTCGCATGCCCAAGCGTCGCTGCTCCCGCTCGACAAGATTTTCTCAAAGACCCCCTTCCTTGCCGGCAACAACCCCGGCTTCGCCGACTACGTCGCTTTCGGACGGTAAGCCAACTCTGTCGCCACGTCCTTCTTCCCACACTGACGAGCACGCGCTCGCAGGTACTACATGATGCGCTGTGCGTGCCCGAAGGAGTGCAAGGCGGTTTGGCTGCGGCCTGAGACGCTTCCGCACGTCGCGGAATGGGTAGAGAGGCTGGACAAGCGGTGGGAGCAGGAGATGGCGGATGCGACGAAGCGGTTGCCGCCCATGTAGATGTTTGGCACAGACTCGACTATTTGAAGCCAGCGCAACGCATGCTCGATTTGCCCTCACTTAGCAGTGGGAGGTCTCCTTGAGCATAGCAGAAGTCTACTCCAGCTCTTCCGACACGTCTAGCCCGACCCACATCCCCTCCGTGCCCAGCTCAACCTCGCCCAGCGTCCACCGCACACTCTCCCTCCCTCCAACCGTTCCGTCTAGCCCGAGTTCCCGCAGCGGCAGCTTGACCTCTTGCGGCTCGTAGACGTGCATCGGGACTGCCGGCGGAGCGTGCGGATTGGGCGGGCCGGATGAGGAGGAGTGAGGTAGCGCGCCTAGACCTAGTCGGCCGTGTACGGTGTTGAGGCCCCAAGTGAAGAGCGCGGAGCTATCCTCGGCGTCTGCGGACAATAGCCGTCAGTCAGCCCGGCGAGCGAAGTAGGGCACGGCTCGCGCACCTCGAACAGCCGCAGCGTAACCCCAAGCCGCTTTGATTCGGTTGATTCGTGCTCCTTCTAGCGAGTCTATTCGTTGCGGCTTCTGAGACTGCAGCTTGTCCTTGCCGAGCCCAAGCGCGCCATAGCCTGCCGAGTAGACGGATCCTCGGTCTGCTCAAGCGAGAACGGGCGCTCGTCAGTTCTGCATCCGCTAGACGTGCGGACGTGCTGAGCTTCAGGAAGATCAGGAGACGATGTGACTCGGCCTCGAGGACCGAGACTCGTCTCGAGCGACGTCCGAAGTGTGCTCAAACCGGTGTTTGACAGTCCCTCCCGCTCCAATTTGAGCAGATCCGATGGCCCCGGCATGGTTCATCTTTTCCTCCCAGCGCAGCACGAATGAAGGAGAGCGACGCACCGTCGAGAGCGAGAGCGAAGGAGCCGCCGCAGCGGTAGTCGACGATTCGGCGATTCGAGGGGAGGAAGGACGAATCGATTGGGAGAGGCGAGACAATTTGGTCGATCTTCTGGCCGTGCATGGCCTGGCAGTACTCCTGCGGTACAAGTGGTGAGCGCAGATGGTCGCCAGAGAGGAGTAAGACAGCGGTCGCACCGAGTTGCCGAACGTCCACACTTTCCCGCTCTTCGTGATGAAAGCAGAGGTATCCGCTCCTGCACTGATCCGCTCGACGCCACCTTCCTTATCAATCTCGCGAGGTAGTGGCAGCCGTGTCAACTGGTAGATGTCGGAGGACGCCGAAGCAAGGCCTAGCTGGCCGTCGGTATTGCAGCCCGTTCCGAAGACCTGGCCGTTCTCTGTGAGTTCGTGCGACGTGAGCGACTCCTCAGCAAGCGCCTGAAGCAAAGCAAGCATACCTGTCAGGACAAGCAGGTGCTCGAAGCCAGTTTCGATCTGCTTTATCCGGCCAGCTCCTTCAGGTAGCTCGACGACCGTTGCGCGAGGGAGCGTATGTTGCCGAGGTGCGTCGGTGTCCTCCGTCGTATTAGGCGGAGGATATCGCGCAGGTTGCCCTAGTCGACCGCGAGCGAGTTTCCCGCTGGAATACAGGATCGTCCTGTCTTCGAGAAAGCGTGAGCGAAGGTGCACGGAGACCGAGGCTGGATGCGCACCTTCGTCACGGACAAGCACGTAGGTTGCCTGCACTCCAGCCCGCACGGAGAGGATCTCCTCGCCCTCGAAGCCCTCCACAAGCCCACGCGTTCCCTCCTGCGACGCAAAGCCGACGCCCAACTGGCCCGCCTCGTTTCGCCCGAGCGCCATGATCCTGTCTGTGCCCTCCCAATTCCGGTACGTGACGAGCGAGTGTCCTGCTCCACCAGCGATTCCACCAGGTCGAAGAGAGTACGGTCGAGCGAGCGGGTCGATAACGTCCGCTTCCCTCCCCACCGCGGCTAGCCATCCCGAGAGCGGTACCGGAGAGAGTGATGGAGTCGATAAGGATTCCCGCGCTTGTCCTTGAAACGAGGAGGACGCGGTCGAGGCGAGGGGGTTGAAACCGGCGAGGAGAAGGTGCGACAGCGAACGGTGGGTCGCGTGCGCCCGTGAGACGGCCATTCCAGCCAGAATCTAGCGGTGTGAGCTGGTTCAGGCCTGGTTCAGCGGCGAGCAGTGACCGGTGCAGGCCAAACCCGCACCTTCTCCCTCCTCCGTCATCTTTGGAACCCCTTGCTCCGCCTGACCGCCACTAAGAGCGACTTGATAGGCTCCGCTGTGACCCGAGGACTTGCCCGCGATGTCCACACCCACGCAATTCTCGGCAGAGGACTTCTTCGCCCAGCAACCCCCGCCGAAGGACCTCGACAAGCGACTCGAGGCGGTCCAGCGCTTCGTCGAGCGCAATGTGAACGAGGGGAGGAGGGTTGTGCTCATCACGGTGCGTCTGGCAGGCGCTTCGGAGCTCTTGGAGGCGGGCTGGGGCAGGGTGGACTCGCTTCGGGACCATGTGGAGATGAGGTCGACGGAGGGCTCGTGTGAGAAGGAGGGGTCCTGAAGCGAGATTCGGGCGAGTCAGACAGTCTTTGAGACTGGGCAGAACATACCGACGGGCCAGGATGCTGACTTCACCCCGTCTTCGTCGTTTCCAGAGCGGAGGAACGACTGTTCCCCTCGAGCACAACGTGTGAGTCTCGCTTAACGACTCACACGCTCTGTCTGAGCTTACACTGCTGTCTACAGCGTCCGCTTTCTTGACAATTTCTCAGCCGGGACCCGCGGCGCCGCATCCGCCGAGCACTTCCTCCGAAGCGGTCGCTACGCCGTCATCTTCCTGCACCGCCAGCACTCGCTCCAGCCTTTCTCTCGACACTACTCTCACTCGACGAATCCTTTCCTTGACCTGCTCGATGTCGTGGAAGCGGACGGAGGCGTGTCGGGAAAGGGAAAGGCGGCTGCGGAACACCTCCCTCTGCCCGACGGACACCTCTTCCCGCCCATCCCGTCAATGCAGTCTCCCCCGTCGTATCCTCCACTCGCATACACCCCGCTGCCGCCACTTCACGCCGACGAACCACCCAACACCGACCACGGCCTGACGATCCAAATCCGCCCGCCTCACCTCGCGCCTATGCTCTCCCTCCTCCGCTCCTACAAGGTCGTCAAGTCGCTCGGCATCCTGCATTCGATCCCGTATACGACCGTCAGCGAGTACCTTTGGTACCTGAGGGGGATCAGTCGGGTTATGGGGCAGACGAAGGACAGGCAGGGACAGGCGCTGGGGCGGAGAGGGATGTACTACCTCGCTGCGGCAGTCAGCGACTTCTTTATTCCGTACACGAAGATGGTCAGTTGTCCTTCATCTCGTCTTTTCGCCGTTTGACGATGCTCACACTCCATCGCGCAGTCTGAACACAAGATCCAGTCGGGCAAGGGCTCGCTCGTGATTGAGATGGACCAGGTGCCGAAGGTGCTCAAGACGATGGTGGACGAGTGGTCGAACGAGGGCTTCATCGTGTCCTTCAAGGTGCGTTTCGTCGAGGTCTCTGAAAGCCTTCATTGCTGACGCTATCTTCCCCTTGTAGCTCGAAACGGACCCCTCCATCCTCATCCCCAAAGCACGCACAGCACTCGAGCGGTACGGCCACCAAATCGTGATCGGCAACCTCCTCGACACGCGCAAGCACGAGGTCGTCTTCGTCCAAAAGCAAGGCGAGGAGTGGCTGCGGATTCCACATCATGACGGGCCGGACGGGAAGGAGATTGAAGAGGATATCATTGCGAGGTTGATGGAGTTGCATGAGGCTTGGACGAGCAAGGGAGGCGTATAGACGGTTGCAAAGGGGTGAAGCATTTATCTTCGTCTCTCTCGTCGGCTTCGCCAGGGCATGTTTGTGAGAGATGCGCATCCTGACCACAAGCTATTGCTATCGAAGGTACCGAGCACGAGCTTGACAATCTCAACCTCGCTCACTCCTGCTCTCTTTCTCCTCCACCGCTCCCATGATGACCCACCCGCGCCCTCTCTACCGAGCGAGGGCGCCCAATCCGACACGCTCGTCCCCGCGTTAACCCAAACCGCCCTTCTCCCTCCCTCCCACGCCCGCCTCGACTCACAGAAACGGAACCGCCTTGCGCTGGTAGACGAAGTCTGCGAGCGGGGTCTGAGTGGCTGGGAGGGAGGAGAGGGACGGGACGCGGGGGCTTTGAGCTGTGTGAGGACTTGTACACAGTTTGCAATCTGATGGAGCTGGTCACCGAGCGCTGATGGTCGAGGAGGAGGAGAGGGTAGTGACTTCGACGCGCGGGCGGGTTGTGCGGTGTTGTAAGGGTTGATGGGATGGCTACAGCGTCTGACGCTGCATTCAGTGCTTTCACTGAAGCTCAGGAGGCGTCGGAGAGCGTCTGGAGGGCAAGAGGAGAGGTCTCGCGCTCCTCGACGGCCTCGTGCGGGTTCGATGAACACGCCAGAGCCATCCAGACAGTCCTGAGAGCGTAGCGAGTGCTTCACTGGGCCTCGCCGTCGTTGTCGCCGCCGCCCTCCTCCTGCACGCGACGACGACGCGACTTGTCCTTCGACTTCATCGCTCAAAGGGCTCACACGGCTCTGCTGGACTCGCTGGCTGCTACAGGGCATCGCCGAAGATTGTTAGGCGACAAGTCACGACTGCCAAAGGGACCGCAACCTTCCTCTCGCCCCTTCTCACCCGCTCCTCCCCACCGCCAAACTCTCGCCCACTATGCCGCCATTCCGAGACCCGAACCGGCTGTTCTACGACCCGGCGAACCCCGTCATGTTGCCGCAGGAGGAGATCATGCAGCTGTCGCCCGCCGAGCTGCAAGCCGCGACCGACCAGCTCGACCAGAACCTCGTCCTCCTCCTTCGCCGCGTCGAGGAGAACTTTGCGAGGTGCAATCAGGTTGTGACGGAGAGGATTCTGCCGGCGGTCGAGGTGCACGGGGAGAACAGCGCGAGGATCTACGAGTCGATCAAGGTCCGTCCTCGCTTGTTTACCTCGTTCACCAAGTCTGTTCCGCTGACCCAGTCTGTCCCCCTTGCAGTTCTGGAGACCCTTCTTTGAAGCTGCAGCTTCGATCCGACTCAACGAGCCTTATGTCGACGATTCGAGCAGTGTCGGAGCAGACGAGCGCTCGCAGGGAACGGTTATTGCCTCGCCAGACCGCACCATCTCCGACGAGGGCGACACGACCTACAGCTCGCACCCCTCCCTCACCCCCGACACACCTCGCGGTGCACCCGCGACTCAGCGCGACGAGTCGTCCGACATGAGCCTTCCTTCCGCGCCTCACTGGTCGACCGACATGTCGCCCTATCAGGACTTGCAGAAGGAGCTGAATCGCGACAATTCGGCTCTCGGGGACTTCTCTGCGTTGCGGAAGGGTTTGCCCGAGGTGCAGCGGCTCAACTTGCGAGACTTGCCGCCCGACTCGCCCGACCTGCCAGAGCCTACCGCGTTCGGTGGCGACTTGCCGGACCTTCCGGGCAACGGGCGTGCGCAGTACCGATCTGCTACGGCGGAAGAGCCAGCATCGCCTGCACCGCGCGGCGTACGAGCCGGAGGCGACAAAACGCATTCTGCGCTTCTCGAGAAGATCCTTCGCAAGGGTCTCGCCAGTCCTGCGCCGTCTCGTATCGGCCGAGGACCGGACTCGTCAACGCCGAGCGGTGCACCAGCTACTGGCAGCCGGCTCAAGTTCCCCAGCGACGTGCCGAAGAACTGGGACGGGATCGCCAACCTCTCGACCGCCTCGCTCAACTCGTTCCCGTCGCCTATCAAGCGCCGACCAGGTGCGCAAGACGACTCAATGTTCGGCGCACCTCCTTCGATCGCCTCTTCGCGCGCCTACCTCTCCTCGCCCGCACCTCCCGCCACGTCCTCGAACCCGCTCAAAGCGTCCACATCCCGCCGCGCTCCGCCGTCACCCTCCGCATCGAGCTCTTCGTTCCTCTCGCGCACGCCGGCGAAGGAGGCAGCTCGTCGGACAGCGCTGAACGTGTACGACTCGCTCGCTTTCGACTCGCCGGGTCTCGAACTGGCGCCGCCGACCGTCAAGTTCGAGGACATGTTCGGGAAGCGGCCCGAGGAGGAGACGCCGGGATTGGACAGCCCGAGTCAGCGGTCGACGCTGTCACGACCGGGAGGAGCATTGCGAAGCGGAGCGTCCAACGCCGGAAACGACAGCTACCTCTCTTCGGCACCTGCGCAACCCAGCTTTGTCGACCGCAGCCCGACTCAACTGTTTGCCCAGCACGACCCGTCCTCGTCGTCCGTCTCGCGCGACGTTCCGCTCGCCGACTTTGGAGGCGGCACGACCGCCAACATCGACGACCTCCTTGCTGGCGCGCCGACGATGACCTACGACCATCATCACAACCCACTCGCCGGACCTATCGACCCGCAGCAGTACGCTGGCATCGTCAATGACGACGACGAGCCGCATCAGCCGACGGGAGGATACGGCGCGGACGAGTCGTTCACGGGCGACGCCGAGGACGACCAGCCGCACCACCTGCACCGGCGCGAAGAGCCGACGTACACGGGCTACGACGACTACGAGCAGTCGCTTGCTGGCGAGGGAGGCGGGCGCGGCCTGCGGCTGCCTGGACAGGATGGGCCGGAGGACACGCTGTTTGGCATGCCGCCTGGACGAGGGGGCGCGGATGCTGCCAAGGCGGGACGGACAGCCAGGTTCGCGGGTGTCGAGGACGACAGCTTTACCGACAGCGGTGGAGTCGACGGCGGGAAGAGCGGGTTCAGGCTGCACGGGCTCAGCGACATGGAGACGCTGCATGGCGGCGAGTTGCTCTCGAGTGGTGCGTTTCTCTCGCCTTCTCTGCTATCGTTTCGGCACCGCTCACTGTGATTGTCCACTGCGCAGAACCGTTCCAGGCGAGTCCGCTCGCAGGCAAGAGCTATCAGTAGACGGTCTTCCGGTCGCGCAACCTCTCGCGCGCGTCCTTGTTGTAATCATCTATTCGTCGCCGATGTTTCCATGCTTGTAGCGGCCCCTTGTACGGCTGTCCTTCGCTTCATCGCTCGACGCGACTGCACGTCAAGACGCGAGGTTGCTTGTCGTCGACCGCACGCTCTCACTCGCTTCGCTGCTGGTCTGGACGGGATGTCGGGCATGTTTGGGACACCAGGCGTCAGCAAGAAGCCCTCGCCGTACTCCGCGTCGCGGCACCACCCCTCGACGACCCCCTCTCGCCAACAACCATCGCAACTCTCGTCCGACCAACAGCAGGAGGTGCGCGAGGCGTTCGAGCTGTTCGATCTCGACAAGGACCAGAAACTCGACTATCACGAGTTCAAGGTCGCGCTCAGAGCGCTCGGGTTCGACTTGAAGAAGGCGGAGGTGTTGAAGCTGATGAGGGAGCACAACCACGACGAGGGGGGCAGCGGGAGCTTGACGATCGGCCTGAGCGGGTTCATGGGCATCGGTGCGTCTACAGAGCGCGTCCGGAGGCTAGAAGAGCACTTGACGAGCGGCAACGCTGACCTCCTCGTCCTCGACCCTGTCCCTCACTCCCTCACACGCGTCGTTATCGTTCTCTTCACACAGCCGAGCAATTGATCTTGGCACGGGATCCACTGGACGAGATTCGACGCGCGTTCAAGCTCTTCGACACGGAGGGGACAGGTCGAATCTCTTTGCGGGACTTGAAGAAGGTCGCGCGAGAACTTGGCGAGAACCTCGAGGAGGACGAGCTGTGAGTGCAGGACCTTCTGAGCGTCCTCCAACTTGCACGGAAGCTGACCGAACCTCGCACCCGCAGCAAAGCGATGATTGACGAGTTCGACCTGGATATGGACGGCGCCATTTCGGAGCAGGAGTTTATCAAGTGCGCGCGCTGACGATCCTGAGCCTTGCACGCAAAGCTGACGCGCTCATGCGCGCGCAGGATCATGTCGGACGATGTCTGAGTCCCCAGCTCACCTATCTCGTCACTCTGCCTTTCGGCTATACCCGTCGTCCAGCTGTTTGTATCAACAGTGTACCACCAACCTGCAACAACCTTGACGTCCAGCCAAGCACCGGAGAAGCCCCGCCTGCGCAGCTCATGAGCGAAACCGACCTGGCTGTGCTCCCTCTCAAACGGTCGTGCCAGCGCTCACGTCGTGCTGCGGAGCGGATGGCCATGCATTGCGAAGTCGAACAGATAGAGACTGGGTAAAAAGAGAGTGCTCGCATACTAGATAGCTTTTGGTACTGGGCGGAAGGCACGAAGGAACGTGTGGAGGGAATCGGACAACGACGAGGTATACGTGCGAAGGAAACGTCTAGGCGCTGCCGTCGAGCAGCTGCGACTCGGTCTGACCGCTGACGCGGATGCGGTATAGGCAGGTGTAGGCCGACTCGCCGTGGTTGCTGAGGACCTTGACGACGACGACCTGGACAGGGAGGCCGAGTCGGCGAGCGGAGGGAGTGACAGGGAAGGACTGCACGGGCGAAGGAGCAGACGGGTCGTACGAGCCGACGGCGAGGAGGATGTGGTTGGCGCTGGGCGGGATCGAAGTGGGCTCGTTCTCGATCGCGTCGAGGTCGTCGAGCGGGTCTTGACCGGCCGCACGAGCTGCGCGCTTCGCCTCGCGTTCCTCGAGGCGGAACTGCGCGACTTTGGCGACGTTCTGTGGGCCGTCGACGATGCCCCAAACCTCAAAGTCCTTGGGCGCCGACGAGACGTCTCCGTCGAGCGCGACGTCCGGCGAGATGTGCTCGAGCGTGATGTCGGTCGGCACCACGCGTCGACTGAGCTGGATGCCGATCTGGCCGTGTTGGCCCGCGAAAGGCCAGCATGAGCCGGGTGTCCGGTCTGGGTGGAGGGCGGTGACGGGCGAGCGACCCTGCGGAACGGAGGTTCCGGTAATCCAGGCGAGCACTGAGCGACTGCGACTGACAGGGTGTGGCTCGTAGGTGCGCGAGGTGAGAGACCGAATGACCCGTCCTCCCGCGGTGTACAGGGCGTAGTCGGGGCGGGCGAGAACGTCCTTCGAGTACCGGAGCAAGGCCGAGTCGACCAGCGACGAGATGATGGCGGTGACGTTCTGCCCGTCGGACGACTTGATCGTGACGGGTCCGTCGGCGGTGGGCGCACTGTGGTGGCGGGCGAACGGGTTGAGGTGGGAGGCGAGAGACGCATCCTTGCGACGCATGTCCTCCTGCTTGGCGACCTTGGCGAGGATCTCCTGGCCCATCTGCTCAAAGTTTTCGTTCGCCTTGGCCTCGAAGTCGCGCTTGAGCAACTTGATCTCGCGGCGAAGCAGGTCGAGGAAGGTCTGCTTCGAGACGAAGGCGTCGCTGCCCGTGCGGCTCGACAGGTCGGATGCGACCCAAGCCTTGAGCGCGCCCTCGTTCGCAGCGAGGAAGTCGTCCCATGAGGGCAAGGCGACTTGTCCCTTCGCCTCCTTCGACGAACCGAAGAGACCGTTGCGCTTCGAGCCATCCAGCGCAGCGATCTTGGCGTCGACGGTCCGCTCAACCGCTCGCTTGTCAACGAACGCGTCCTTGAGCACACGCCAGAACGCCGGGTCGATCTCGAGGCGCCCGCTGTCGTCGAGGCGGACCGCAACCTTGCCTGGCAGCTTCTTGGCGATCGCGTCGAGAGCAATCTTGGTGATGCGCTCGACGTCGGTGGCGGCGGCGACGTCTTTGGCGACCTTGGCGATCTGCTGATCCAGCGCAGCGACCTCGCGAGAGACGGCGGTGACCGTCGTTTGAAGGTGTCGCAGGTCTGCCGAGTCGCGTTGCTGCTCCGTCGTCAATGAGCGGATACGGCTTTGGAGAGACTCGATGTCGCCCTTGAGGTCCTGCGCCGCCTTTTCCGCCGCCAAGCTGCGCGACTCGTCGGCTTTCTCGAGCAACTGGAGAGCAGCCTTCGCGCGGGCCTGCTCAGTCGACAATGTTGCCTCGAGCGATTCCAGCTGCTCGGACAAGCGTGAAACGTAATCGCGATCGTCCGAGGATTGCTGCCGGTCGTTGTCGGAAGCGGAAGAGAGGCGGCTCATAGCAGACTCGAGATCGGAAAGGCGAGCGACGAGACCCTCGAACGAGTCTGGCGGCGCGGAGGGAGCAACAAAGGATGAAGAGGGAGAGGGAGACGGCATGGTGAGGCGGTTCGATCGGCTGCGGGAACGAATAATCAGCCTAGAAGGGTCGGGAAACGGAGGCACTGCTACGCACAGTACCGCAGCGACGATCCCAAGCAAGAGAAGTGTCGTAGCGATCGCCTTCCAGATCCTGCCCCAGTGTAGCAGCGGGTCCTGCGTCTTCCGCCATAGTCGCGCGACGAGCTCGACGAGCGGCCGCAAGGCGTTTCCGCACTTTCTTCCCCACTCGCCGCCCATCCGTTCCGCGCGCGCAACATCGTCTTCATCGTCGTCGATCGGTCCCAGCGGCGTACCAGCACCCAGCATCGACGGCGGGCCGGGCAGTCGCCGCTTCCGCAGCGCGCTGACGGGACTTCCTGCTGCTCCAGGCGTGAGGGGATAGGCGCCAGTGGTCGGCATCGGCGTGGCGCCGCTGGTGCCGGGAGTAGCCGCAGCTGCAGCACGCTGATGTTGCGGAGTGGGCTGCGCCTGCTGTCTCCGTCGCTGCTCCTCCTCGAAATGCCGCTTCTTCTGCGCTTCGAGCGCCTGGACGATGCGCTCCTCCTCGCTGTAATCGTACGAGCTGCCGCGGAGGACCGAGTCGTCGAAAGAGGCTGAGAGACTGTTGCTGTCGTTACCGGGGCCGAGCAAGCGGTCGAAAGCGGCAAAGGCGGGATCGACTGGACCTGCGCCATTGATTCGCGAAGACGATGCTGCGGCTTGCTGATGACTAGTCGAGGTGCTGCCGTTCGCTTGCGGCGAAGGCGATCTGAGACGAAGGAAATACGACGCGGCAGGAGTCGTGCGGTCGGCTTCGTCGTCGTCGAGATAGTCGTTGCCGGCGGGGTGATCCTGCGGGTCCATGCCGCCCAGGTCTTGCCCCTCGTACTCCAGATCATCCTCTTCGTCCTCCTCCTCGTCGTCTTCCTGCTCGTCACCCTCCGCACCTGCAGTCGACCTTCTCGAACCCCGCTTGCCCTTCCGCTTCTTGCCGTACCAGATCTCGCCGTCTCGGATACCGCGCGGGATGGCCTCCTGAGCCGCAGAGCGACCGCCAGTACTCGCGCGCCCTTTGCCCTTGCTCTTGCGCCGCTTCGTCGCAGCGCCATTGTCCGAATCAGCGGTCGAAGTGTCGCCGGCATGGTATGAGGGGTCCTTCGTCGGGTTGTAGGACGGGTCGGCGGGCTTTTGTGAGCGGCGGCGAGGCTTGTTGGCAGAACGAGGGTCGTCTGTCGGTGGCGATTAGTTAGTCCTGACCTCCGTTGACGAAACAGAATTTAGCGCACCAGCGAGATCATCTTCTTCCGAGTGCACCTTCGTGCGCTTCTTGCCCTTCGCGCGCTGGTCGAACTCGGACTCCTCGCTACTTGACGTCTGGCCCGCCTGGTGACGATAAGTCGGGTCTTTCGGCGCGTGTTTCTGCGGTGCTCACGCGGCTGTCAGCGAAGCCCATTGAAATGAAGTCGGGTGCGACGTACCTTGCGCTTCTTGCCTGCGCTGGCGGGCGCCTTGGCCGGCTGCGGCAGATCCTGCTCCTCTCCCGCTTCTTCCGCCTCGCCCTCACCATTCTCTTCTCTCCCATTCAACGGCGGGAAGTCCTCCCTCCTCCCGCCGGTCACAACCCCACCGAGCCCGCTCGTCGCCGCCTTGAAAGCGTTGGCAATATTGACGCTCGTGTTCTGCAACCCGCCGTACGCGACAGGCGGCGGAGGCGGATAGGCGTTCCCTCCCGTGTCCTTCTTCCTCTGCGCGAGTCGTGCGTACCGGACTGCAGCAGGCTCAGCAGCTCGACCCGAGTCGGCTGGTCCCGGAGCCGCTCCCTGGTCCTCCTGCTCGCCCTCTTCCTCCTCCTCCACGGCGCCGGTTGAGCTCCTCGCTCGTCGAGGCGGAGAAGCCTGCATACGAGCGGACGACGAGGCGCCTACGCGCGGCGAGGCGGGAGCGCCGTAGGCATAGCTGAGGTTGAGAGAGTGGACTGAGGCGCGGCGGATCTCGCCTTCGACAGAGGGCGAGCGGCCGTGCGATGAACGCGAGTTGGGCGGGCGGGACATTGATAGTGAGGAAGAGAGTCGCTAGGCCGGCAAGTAGGGTAGGAGGCGGATGAGGCGGCGAAAGGAGGTCGAGTAGGCGGTGAAGGGGTATGAGACGAGCCGGTGAAGGGCAGGCCGGGCGTATAGTGAGAGTGCGTAGCCGGTCGTTGAGGGTATTAGTAGCTGTGGGTCTGCTCTGCACGCCTTCTCGAGCAGTTGAGGCGAGAGACGAAGGCGGCGAACCTGCGTGAACCGATGAGGAGAGGTCAATTCGCGAGGACAGGCACAGAGGCGACGGACGCACCTCGGCTCAGGCGTAAGGTAGCAAAGAGCTGCAGCAAGTGCCTCAGCGAGCCAGCAAACGCGACGAGAGCGAGACGAGGGACGAAGTTGAGCGAGACGAACAAACGCCCGCTCGCACCGCTTGACCTCTGGTTTGCGATGAGCTGGCGAGTGGACGGAGCGAGAGTACAGAGAGCCACGCGCAACGCGAGCGCAACACCCACGCGGCAAGAGCGAGCGCAAACCGGATAAGATTCGCACAGGTTACGAGAGAACAAGGCCAGAGGCGGGAACGAGGACTGCAAGACTACCAGTAAGACGAACGGAATAACGAGGGTATGAGTAAAGCCGTAGGGGAATCGAAACCGAGATGAGGGGGAACGAGGGTGACGAGTCGAGCGAGGAGGAGAGGCGGAGTGGAGACAGGGTTGGGCGAGATGCGATTAGGCGAGATGCAGTGTCCGTATGGCGAGGCGCTTTTTAGCGAGTGGAGACAAGATAATGCAAGGCGAGGCGAGATGGGCGGGGAGGAGGTTAGAGAGCGGTCGCAATGCCGTTGTCGGGTCGAGGATTTGCGTAAGGGTGGTGCGACTGCGGCTGCGGCGACGACCGCTGTTCCCGCATCTCGAAGCTCTGGCCCTCGACCGGCGTCCGAGACGCCTGTCGCATCGGCGACGCCCGACCCGCGCTCGCGTTCGACTGGGCATCATCCGGTCGACCTGCCAGCTCCCTTGGTCGGACGGGCGACGACGAGAGGTACCCCGCGTTTCCCTCGTGCAGACCCGGCGTCACTGGCCCCACACTCACACTCGTCGTAGTCGCCGTCAAGTCCGCCAGCGGCTGCTCGTCGATCCGGACCGCCTGAGGGTGAACGCCTGCGTCCGATCCCATCGCAGGACTGCGAGGCGCTCCAGAGGGTTCTGCCGCAATGCCTGTTGTTAAGGAGGACACGCCGGCGGAAGCTGCGGTGCCGGACTCGTCGAGGACGAACCAGGACTTGCGGGGTTGTCGGAGGTAGTCGTAGGGGAGGAAGCTGCAAACTCGCAAGGTCAGCAGCGATCACACGCAAGGAGGATCGGGTGAACGCACTGCTGTTCCATCAACCGGTAGTCTGCCGACAATTCGGACAAGTCGATGTTGGGATTCCGTTTCCGCGCCTTGAGCGGGTTGTCCTCCAACAAGAGCTCTTCCAGCTCGTGCGTCGCGTCAAAATTCGCCTTCTTAGACTGTGCCATGATCTCATACCGTCAGCTGTAGAGACTTAGGAGGATCGGGAGGGGAACGCACGTCGGGCTCGAAAGGAGGTATCGCCTCTTTCCGCTCGAGGACGTCCCAGTCGTAGTCTCGGAACCACGGGTGTCGCTTGAACGCCTCGAGCCCGCCTGTGCCGGGACAACCCAGCCGCTTCTTCGGATCTCGCTGCAGAAGCTGCGCATCGCGGACAAACTGGAGTCAGCGCCACCTCGTTAACCCCCCCCCCCCC